TGATGGGCCAACCTGACTATGCCCTGGTGATGGACCCAAAAAGCGACTATCCGACGAATACCTTTCTTACTTGAATCTCCTACCTGGCTAACTACCTACATAAGATGTCTCTCCGCTGTCTGCTAGCCATTCCCGTCTCGTTTCGCTTTGCTTCAAAGCACAACCCCGTTTGCCCATTCTGTTTTCTTCCGCTGGGTTACCGCTGCTTTGTTTTCGACGAGTGCTTGCTTGCTGCCCTGTGCTCCCCCGTCCGGTGCATCCAACCTTACCTGGAAGCCTTGAAGGTGAGGTGCATGGAGGTCCTGTGCGATGTTTGTCTGGGGTGGGGAACCCATTCGACACATGTCACTCTCCGCAGCCAGATACCGCCAAAGTGACCTCGACCGGGATCCTGAGCCAGACGGTGGTCCGGTCGATGGCTGAGGAAAGGTACCCACCAATGCTGGCGCCAGCCAGCTGATGGCACTAAAACCGTAAAACGAGACTGCGGGTGCGCTAGGTGGATGAACCCCCCTCGGGTCGCTTTCTGGGCAGTGTAAGGCTGAGGACGCGCCCAATGGCCCCGATGCTGCCTCCGGATTGGACTGAACGGGTTTAAACTGGCTGCAGGGCGAGTTGGATGTGGAGTACCAGGCCTACGAAGTAGTGAGTTCGACACTGTTGGTTGGTACCTCGCACGTATTGCTCTGCGTGCGTTGTAGGACTTTCGCATCTCCAAGTGGGATAGGACTCAGACTACCTTTGGTAGTTGCATGTCGGCGCACAAAGCATCGTGAGAGACCTGAAAAGGCACCTTAGCTGCCAGCTCTCGTCTCGTCTGCGGCCAGATCAGATCACCGACGGGTTTCGTCCCGTCTTCCGTCGCCGTTGTCAACGTCTGGGACATGGGCAGAGGAGGAGGCCGTAGCCATCTACACGAGGCATCTCGAGTCTGGTTTCTCGCCGGTGTCTGTGTCAGAGAACCCCAAAACATTGGACGACGTCTGTAGTGGGGATCTTCGTCTGCCCACCCCCAAGCCCCTAGTAGTGACAAGATACAAGGTTGACGCCAAACTTCGAGCTGAACATCAATGTCTCAACCCCGGACGGATACCTGCTGTGTGCTACTGTACTTTGATCGTGAAGGATGCAAGCAATCTACTGAGAAGGCTTATAGAAGTCCCAACGTTGGAGGCAGTCAGTCGACCGCAATCTCGATGCCTACACAGGAATCAATACTTGACCCTGCCGTTCCCATCAGAGGTGGCTGACAGCTGACACTTAAGGACGAACCAGCGCCGGGGCAGGGAAAATGCTGAGGCGACTCTCGTGGAGCAACTTAGGGGTGGGATTCCCGTTGCGTGGGTTACGATTCTTCTGGGCGTCGGGATAACTAACACAAGGTATGGACTTGATTGTCGGTCTGTGGCGATACCTTGCTACGGGGACCTAGAAATCCGGCAACCCCTCTTCATCTTTCCAGGTTGACAGAGTCGTTCAACAGGGACTTCAAGGCTTCAGGTGAGCTATTGATGCAAGCTATTGACTGCCTTTAGTCAGGTTTTGCCAAGGACTCTATGGAAGCCTGTCATGGGGTACAGCTCGACTTCTACCATGGCAAGTATTGACGCACAATGATGATATCGTGGAATCAATAGCAGTGAGCGAGCGCGTCTCTCAATGCAAGCCGGTCGAACCCTGGTAATCAATGCTGGGGGCCTAGTAAAGAAGCCGGCACGCCGGGTCGGGATACAATGGAAGGGAGGAGTCTGGCTGGACCAAAGGTCGAAATGCAGGACTTTTGGCGTAGGACTTTTTGAATTGAGGGAATGGCATACCTGGGCGGTACTTGGTGTGCCCTGAACCCCGAGGAGGATTCCACACGTGCAGCTCGCCGCCTCCAAAAGCTTCTTCGGCTGGTAGCCTTCCTGTCGGGGTCGTGATCTTGACATCATGAGAGCAAAAGGGAAGAATTCAGAGTTCAGGAATCATTGCCATTGGCTCTGCCTTTCTGTCATCTTTGCATCGTGAGTCTATTAGATTAAGGAACCATACCTTGGATGACTAGGAAGGTACCTAGGTAGGTACCTAGGTAAGTAGGTAGCGAAACCATGGCTCTTTCCTTTGTCCTGGAAAACGTACTTGAGAGGAAGGGTGGCACGGTGGGCGGCGTGTAACTACCTAGGCAGGTCCCTTGCCTTTCCCCTCTCTTTCTTGCTCCTTCTCCCTCATGCCTGCCCGCCAGATTAGGTTGGGCCTGTCCTGCCGCTTTCCTCTGCTCAAAGCTGCCCACATGGGCCCCTCCCTTAGATTCGTCAGCACCTCGAGGACCTCGGGTTCCTGCCATTGCTTTGTCAGACGGCAGGAGGGGAAAACAGCAAGAACTGCCATCGTCTCTTCCGCTTGTTGCCTTGGCCCTGTCTGTACAAGATACCGTACCTAATTCGACGGGGGTGCTCCATGAATCTAATTGCGCGCAAATCACTCTCCAACGAGGAAAACCATCTTCGAAAACCCTCCCACAAGGACATTCCGCTTCGCATATCCGAGCGTCCCACAGAATGCTGAGGCACAGTGCACACCCAGCAAGAGGTGGAGTCAAGATATCCCTCGCATTCCACCCCTTCCTCTTTCTACGTGTAATACTACCTATATCGTTCGTTCGTGTTGCCCTGCTTTCTCCAGTCCAGAGCAGCCACCGACAACAGTTCAGAGGTGCTTACTCGCCTAAGAAGCAAGAGAGCCTTGCACACGCCAATCTTTGCCCGTCTCGCGAGCACCAGCTTTAGGACCGGCCAACGCCAAAGCTGCACCTCCAATCCCATCCTCGTACGACTACAACATACAACGAGACCTGGACCCGAGATTGCCATCGACAGACGAAAGAGACTTTTCGTTACGAACCTTGCCCTGCGCGAGACACTCCAGTTCCCACAACACTGCATGGAAGCCAGCCGTCGCGAGGCGTAGCACAACAGCCATGCTGAGCCCTTTGGGCATGCGATAGGCCGGACAGGGGGCACCCCTACTACCGCCGTCCTCTGATCGGCCTCCGCAAGCTCAGCCGCACATCTTTGGGGGTTCAGGCTTCAGCAGCTTTTCCCGAGCCGGCGCCAAACTGCCGTCTTATCCATTCCAAAAAACCAGATCGATTGATGTGTGAGCTGAGCATGGCAGGATTGGATCCTTCAGAGCCCTTTGAAGTTTGAATCGGACCTCGGCGCTGTGTTGGCATGTCGATAAGACCGGGAACATACCGGACGCCAGGCTATGGTGCTCAGCGCAGCTCCAACTGATCTGATTCCATCCACTTGGAGGCGCTTTACTGGGTTCGCGATTACGGCACGTCGATTCCCATTCCGGTACGCCGTTACTCCGGGCGGGCTGTCTACGTCCCGGATCCTAGTCGCTGGCACGCCCCCGTTGCGTTGTGTTTTGATCGTGCTGTGGGCAACGGCTGAACGGTTACGAGGGTCCCACGCGGCCTGGAGTCCTGGACACCGCCGATTCTTCTCCGCCTTGCCCTCTGCAACCCTGGCTTCTCGAATCCGCGTAATTCTAATGGAAGCACTGCCCCCAACCCCGTTCGTTCGGTGGCCCCACGTTCTTCGGAGCACCTTGGATGCTCCGGACTTGCTACGGCTAGGTTCGAGTAACTTCTACCAGAGACATGGAAGAATGTGGGCTGTACCTGCCGCGTGGACAGGCCCAGTGTCGCCGTCTCCGTGACGGCGTGACCCGGGATGCCTCCAGGTGTCCGAAGGTGTCCCTCGGCGCTCCGACCATTGCTGCCGATTGCAAAGGGCAGGTGTCCAATCACTTCCCCGCGAGTGGGAACACTGGGGACCGGATTCCGAGCCGTGAGGACCGGCGGTAGCATAACATGCCGGCGACTGGGTCTCACCGTGTCGGTGCAACGGTCCAAATGTGAGACTTGTTCTTTTGAATACGCACTCAACTTCAGGACCCATTTACGGCGAGTTCTTGTACATCCCTTGTCACTGCTTTCTCCTCTTGTTTCTTCCAACGCTTCGTTCGCTCTTGTGCCTAGCCCCTACTAAGCTTTGGTGTGGTGAAATTGCCCTGCATGTCTTGGGGCCCAGCTCTGCCTCAGTGCACAGGGGTAATCGAGGGAGGCTTTTCTCGCAAATTTGCGTGCCGCTTCTCTCCCTTGGAGGCTTCGATGCGCGAGGCACAACCTCTCTTTAGTCCCAATGGAGAGGAATGTACGTCTGTACGAGCAGACGGGTACGATTGAGTCGAGTCTACCTTATCCGTACCTTGCCATGTACCTAGAAATCCGTGCTAGGTGTGGCTAGTGCCCGCCATCGTCCCTTCCTTGCTCGTTCGAGCGGCCGAGAGGTGGATGCGAAGCTGGAAGCTACGGACGGCCTCTCATTGGTTCCAGCCATTCTCCCTCCTTACACGCCGCATTTGTCTCCGCCGGTTTGGAACAACAACAGCGGCAGCAACATTTGGGTTCGGATAACAGGCCAGCCAAACTCTATCGAGAAGGGGACGGCAGATTGCAGCATGAAATGGCAGCCGCGGCAAGTACACTGTAGGGGCTGCGTGACAGATTCAATAGCACAGCCAAGCCACTGAATCAGCATGGCGTCCCATGTTGACGAACATGTCTTCTTGTCATCCGTTTCCAGACAGGGTTACCTCAGCCGTCACAGCTGCCGACTGATGTTGAGCAAGAACGTTCCAATTCTTGCAACAATGTGAAAGTCTTCCCTCGACATCGATGCCGGGCCGCTGTCTCTTCCATCGTCTCAATTCGCCCGAGTATCCTCCAATAAATGCCAAGCTGAGGCGCCACCGACCAAAGGGCAACTGAGACACCACGAATGTCAGGATATCCCAAGATACGCGACGCCTGCTGATACTTGGCCCGTGGAATGGAATGCTGGTCTGCCGCGTCGACAGCCTTATTATAGCGATCCAACGTCCCACAAGCATCTCAAGAAAGCCTTCATCACCTTTCTCTACCAGTTGAAAGTCACAGTTACGACAAAATGACTTTTTACCAGGTGAATCTAGCCGTTTTCGCGGCGGGCAACGGATATTTGCTCTACCAACAGTACAAGCGCCAGGAGCAGGAAGTTATCGAGGAGTTGAAGCAGGAGGCGGCCGACTCGGAGGAGGGTTCCGATGGAGGAGATGTTGAGCATCAACAGTTGCTCTCCGCACCTGGCGAGTCTCAGAACGCTGTTCGCCAGTTCCAGCTGGACTTTTTCCCGGTCTACGCACTGGCGATGGCAGCAGATTGGCTTCAGGTAATGCACTCTGCGACCGTTCTCAAGGAACCAGACTGACGTCGGGACAGGGCCCCCATATCTATGCCATTTATAGATACGAGAAGAACATCCCCGAGAAGGTTGTGGCTGCGCTATACGCTGCGGGCTTCGTCTCCGGCGCCATTTCTGCGTCCTTTGCTGGCGAGCTCGCTGATCGGTATGGCCGCCGACTTGCCTGCCTCACGTATTGCGCCACCTATATTCTTACCTGTTTGACGATGCTTACCGATAACCTCTTTATCCTTTTTCTCGGCCGATTTGCCGGTGGTGTTTCGACGACGCTTCTCTACAGCGTGTTCGAGGCTTGGCTGATTACGGAATACAACCAGCGTGGTCTTTCGAGGACGAACCTCAAGCTAGGCTCCATCTTCGGCAACATGACCACCATCAGCTCCATCGTTGCAATCCTGTCCGGTGTCATTGGCGACATCTTGGTCAACTCGCTGGGCGGCCGCGTCTGGCCTTTCATGGCAAGCGTGGTCTGTTCCGGGGCCGCCATGTGGTTGATTTTGAAAGGATGGACTGAAAACTATGGAACGAAGCAGAACGGTCCGGCAACGAGCTCTCTCGCCGATGTCAAGAGCGGAATCCAGATGATTATGGCCGACATGCGAATCTTGTCATTGGGCTTGACATCGACCTTCTTCGAGGGCGCCATGTACCTCTTTGTGTTCTTCTGGTCTGCTGCGCTGAAAAGCGCAAGAACCAAGGCTGGGTCTGACGAGGAGCTCCCCTTTGGACTCATCTTTTCGAGCTTCATGTGCGCCATGATGGCCGGATCTTCCTTCTTTTCGCTCTACACCAAGACGCACTCCAAGGAAACTACATCACTTATCCTGATGCTTGTTGTGCTCGTGGTGAGCTGTTGTCTGTCTGGCGCTGTCGTGCTGGACAACGAGAAGCTGTTGTTTTGGGCGCTGTGCATGGTTGAGGCTAGCATCGGAGCCTACTTCCCAAGCATGTCGTTCCTGAAGAGTCAGGTTGTCGAGGACGGTGTGCGCGGTCGTGTGTACAGCCTGCTCAGGCTACCTCTCAACGTGTTTGTTGTCGTGGCGCATAGCCTGGATGAGGAGGGCAAGTTGCGAGGATGAACCCCATTATTAAGACGCTTGCTAACAAAGAAACAGGTGATGGACATCGGAATGCCGTCTTCATGACTTGCGCTGCGCTGCTCATGATGTCCTTTTTCATTGTCAAGAGGAACTTTGCACAGGGCTAGATCAGGGTGGACGAAGAATAGCGGCACAATATCTCCCGCACAGGGTAATAGGCTGAAGCGACTATTCGACGAGCGAGGGAGCATTATGAGACCAAAGGTCGAGTTGCTTGGTAGGTTACCAATGGGTCGCGGGCATCATGGCGGAAAGCAAATGATAATGGCTCATTACTACGGAAAAATACAGTATGTCACGTAGACTGGAAATTGCTGCAAGTTGTTCAAAAGAAGACAAAGTGTCCTGTCACATGTAGGTTTGGCTCGTGTGCGAGGCTCCCCCAGCTAGAGGGGATATTGAGTGCTGGGTTTTCGTGCCAGCCGCCAACCAAATGCTGGGCGGCAACATCGTGGGGAGACACCTCGCTGTTGAAGGCAGGGCCCGTTCACGCTGGGGGTTCCGTTTCATCAGCTCCCAGCGTCCTTCCCCTTTTGGGAGGGCCATTCCTGCAGTCCAAATACCTACTTAATGTACACGGAAGTCCTTCCGGCATCGTCTTCCTTCGATTCTGGAGTTGTTTCCCAAAGTTTCTTTCTTTGTCAAAGTCTGTCCAAGAAGTGGCCGGCATCGTCCATCTTCCCATGGCCAAGGGGCATACTCTTCCTCCCGCAGCCGGCTCTCATTCGCAGCAAGGCACTTGAAGATCCTCTCTCCAGAGTCCAACGACCCAGATTCTAGACAACCACCCCGGTCCTGCAGCTCACACCGCACAGTTGGGCGGGACCCTGCAGCGGTTCGATAGCGATCTGAGTGGTCAACCCGAGTGAATCTCAGTCTCAATCCGGCGCAAACCCTCCACTCTCGAATCCCAGGAGGCTTTCTCCTGCGAGAATAGCGCTCCAGAAGGAAACCCGCCTCGGCTCACGAGAGAGAGAGAGAGAGAGAGAGACGAGGAAAGAGAGAGGGACAGAGGGGAGGGGACGGAGGTAGGATCGACTTGTGTGCCAACCTCCTCTTTGCCCTTCGTCTTCCTGTCTTGATTTGACTAGGACTTGACCTGTCGCCTCTTCTTTCGATTGTTCTGTTTCCTCCTGAAACCAACAACTTTTGAAGAACTCATCGTCTTATCTTTCCATCAGTTTGTTCCACGTCAACCATAAGTAGTCCGACGGCGACAAATTCTTGTCCGACAGTCTTCGCTGGTAAACCAGAGTAACAACGCTTGCTTGCTACTCTGAATTACACTATCTGTACCACCACTACGGCTGCCACCAATCGTCATCACCAAGACCAAAACCGGGAAGCTCGTCAATACAACGCGAAGCACCTTCGGACACCTAGTCATCACACTTGACTCTGCACTTTGACGTGCTGTCCGACCTGTAAAAGGGCTAGACCGCTGCATCTTGGGCAACTGCGTCACCTCACACTACGGCGTCTGCCAACTTCCTGCGGACAGGACCGGCCTGGAAAGCCAAATCGTTGCGATCGCATGACATACTATTGCAGACGCTAATTTGGAGAGCAACTGCGACGAAGAAGAGGACATAGACCGAGCGACATTGGTCTGCCACATGAAGTGCAGAGAAGGGACAGTCGCAAGCCGAGGAGCCCAGTTTATTAATACCAAGTCAAGCCACCAACCATCCGAGTCGAACACCAACCACCAAGACGCACCAGGGAACCTCCCGACCGACTCAGATTTGAGACCCTAAGGATCTAGGACCTAGCCAGACCCAGACCCCAGAACCCAGGACCCAGCAGCCCAGAACCGACGGACCCTGATGATCGGTCTGAGGTGACGAGCGCACGACCATCACGAGCAATTGAAAGAGACAAACGTTTGCGATTTCCTCACGAGGCTTGGAAGGGACTCTAGAGCCTTGCTCTTTCAGTACCTTACCTTTCTACAGTACTCCTCTCCATCCCATCATTCCACAATTGTCATCTTTTGATCTTATTCCCCGCTAGCCCCCGCCGCCGCCTGGCGCAACCCACGAACCCACGATAAAACGGCACACGAGGACATCAGAATTTGGCGCAAACCCTGCAGGAGTCTTCCCACCTTTTGCGAGAGTCCAGTCCAGGTACATCCAGGATCCCCATTTATGACCTCATTGGGGCACCAGGCCTGGGTCCTCTTCGTCTATCCGCAGCGTCACACCCGGGAAACTAATTACAGACGGGCCGTTTAAACGTGTGCTGTCTCCTCCAAAGGGCCGAGAGGGAGAAATTCGGCGCCAGATTCACCACCACCATCGTCGCTATTATTCCGCACCCAGGGCCGCGCATCACTACTGCGTTGCGCTGCTGCACTGCGCTGCGTCTCGCAGGTTGCACACACCCAGGCGAATCTGGTCGCTCAGCTGGAGCCAGATTCCGTTTCTGACACAAACTCGCCTCCATTTAGGCCTCATAGAAGAGAGGATCGAAAACTCGTCTGGCCGTCCTTCAGTGCAGGGGTGCGCAGTATACCTTATCTCAGCAAGACGCTTGAGTTTTCGCAGTGAGGTGCAGCACGGCGCCCACAGCGAGAACCCGTGCGTTTTCAATCAAACACCTGCACATTGTCGGCCTACGTCCGGAGGCGAGGCGCCGGTTGGCGCGCGGGTGGTCTTGGTGCCGATTATGAAGACATCAAAGACCGGGAGGATCGACGACAAGCCGGAGAGGAGGATTTGGCCAGCCAGCAAGAGCTCCCGGCCATAGCTGTATCAGACGTGGCATTTGACAACGATACCAAGGGTATTAGCAACAGCGGGATGGTGTCGAGTCAAGGCGCTGTCGATGGCGGCAACGTCGAAATTAACAACAGCGAGACCAACAAGATAAGCGGCGCCTGCAGCAAAAGCGATGGTCACGTCAAAGGCCACGGACCAAGACACCGGAGAAGGAGGAGCAGCTTCCTGGTCTCCCATGGGGTCTCCTCGTTTTGGTACGGCCTTTGCTCGGTCGTGTTTTTAGCACTCGTCCTAGTAAGTACCTCTCTCTCCATCCATCTTATCAGACAATTTCTTCTTTCCCACACGTCGGTTCCCGTCCGTTCTTCCATTGCCCTGAATCCACTCTTTCAACGCCCCCGCCCCCTTGTTTTCATCCCGCCGACGGCGTTGTGCATTTGCATGTGCTCATTTTCCGTTCGATTTTTCCTCTGTGTTTGACCAAAGTCTCTCCATTTCCGGCATGTTCGATGGCCCGCCCGGGTGTGGACGATTGTGGATGGAGACGGGAGCTTCTTCGGCGTAGAAGTGGGCCACCGTGGGACGGGGGATAGTGTCGCCTGTCAATGTCCCTGCGAGAGTGATGAGCCGCCGTGAGCGTCAGTCGCGCGCGTGGTGGCCTGGCCGCCAGGGGCCGTGTGGTTCTCTCCCATGTCCCAAACTTGGGGGAGTTTGCCCCTGGGGCATCATGCGGACTTCCACGGGGGCCCAGGTTTTGGGGAATCTGCTTGTTGGGGAGGAGACATGGGGCAACACCCGACTTGCGCCGGGAGAAGGGCCGGAGACAAGAGGTGAATCTTCCTTCACCTTCACCACAGACGACAAGTGGTTGGCTGTCTAAAAGCGCAGTTGCAGCAGACCAGGCCAAAAGGACCAGCAATGAGCAGGGAACTCGGTGAGCGAGAAGGTCGAGCGAGCGACACGAGAGACGAGAGGCATCGATGATCAGGACCTTGCCAAAATCAATTGGGGCCGACGGCGGGGCCGAACGTTGTCCCAAGATCCAATGGCAGGCGACCAAAGCTGTTTCCGGCTCCCGAGCTTTTTCCAGCCGTCGTTTTTGTACGGATATTCCCATGGCTAAGGCCAAGGAACGGGACACCTCACCGGACTCTGCCGCCGCCGCCGGTGCCAGCCTCAGGAGTCAGGCCGTCGGTGGCTTGTCCTTAGGCCAAGCAAATCTGGCATGACGACGAAGAGGTGTTTCTCGCTGAAATACCCTGCCTGCACACTGGACATTGGGCGGACGATTCCCCGCAGCAGTCGACCCCCTCCAGGTGCGAGGTGCTTCCAAGGTTCCAGGTTCCCGAAGCCACACATCTAGCCTCACATCACGCAGCTGTGGCAGCCCAGGCCGTCCATTCACCATGCTTGGTTGTGCTGCAGAAGACCCTATTCTCGTCACGCAGCTTGGTGCTCCGTCCGGCCCGACGTATGGAAAGGAGAAAAAGGTCTCAAGACCTGAAAACTTGGAGACCTAGGTGGGTGTGACCCAATGGCATTTGCATCCCATATGCAGGCCTGGGGAATCAACTGAGAGTTAGTCAATGACAACTCTAGCAGACAGGGTCCCTCTGCAGCTCTGCGCTCCCTGGTCTGGTCCTTATTCCATGTCTTTGGCCTCGCCTGGCATGATGGTCAATTGCCAAATGTCGTCGTGTCTCCCAAGGTACAAGACCTGGAGAGCTGGGAAAATCGTGTCTAGTAGCACGAGGCCTGTCACCCCACCACCGCATTACCTCACTTACTGCCTTCTCCGGTTCTCCCCTGGGACTCCGCTGGTCTGGCTCTGGTACCGAGTTACCTTGGTCGCATGCCTGTCGCCCTGCTCCATGGGTTAGCTCCACAGATGCTCCATGCTCCATGTTCGCCCCATGCCAATTGAACCCCATCCCCCGTTCATTCCATTGCGATTTCGTCACATACATCATCTTCAGAGCTCCCCCAAAAACTTCCTCATCCTCGCTCAGCCTGATCTTCTTCTCCGTTGTCCCCTACCTTATCCTACTTCAGGTGCCTGGCTTTGCCTCGTTCAAAACTCACAAAGTCCAACTCTTTTCTTCCTCAAACCCTGCTCACTTTTACTTGGGGAACCTAATTCTTTCCCCCACACCATCCCACCTCCTCCTACAACGAAGATAACCTACCCTGCAGCTCTTGGACTAATTCGTACCCTCCTCACCAAAACAGCTCACGCAGCTCCTCCTCCGCGATACCAAGCTCCTTCCGCCGCACCTCCAGCTGCAACTTCGCTCTTCCTTCTTCCCCTCTCACCACTTCTTCCACCCACCTCCTCCCTTTTACTCTCCCTCGGCCCAAATCTACCAAGAGCCCGTCTGCGAAAATCCAGCACCTTTTCCTACTACGCCGCCAATCTCCATACCCCTCACAATGGCGCTCGAAGCAGAGACAAAACGCGTCGTCGACCAGTTCGAGCTGTCCGATGCATACCTCAATGGTGCCGTCAGTGAATTCCTTGGTCAAATGCGTAAGTTGGCTCATCTCTCCCCTCCTCGTTGTCTGCTAGCACTCAACTGCTGCATCTGCTGCCACGGCCACATCTGTGCGCGAACAACAATTTCGCGCGGCAGCACTCAGCTGTCTGTCAGACAGCCTCATACAGCTTTTGTCAAAGAGGGAATTGAGCTGATTTTGGTGGTATCTTACAGAGACTGGCCTGGAAAAGGATGGATCCAGCATGAGCCAGATCCCGACCTACGTCACTGGCGTGCCCAATGGCACCGAAAAGGTAAATTACGCAGCAACGCAGCTTTGCATTCGCCAACCCACTGCGCGAGATTTCGCTCGCTGACACTTTTCGCAGGGCTTGTACCTCGCCGTCGACCTTGGCGGCACCAACTTCCGCGTGTGCTCTGTCCAGCTGAATGGTGACACCACCTTCAACCTCACATACAGCAAAGTCGCGATCCCCAAAGACCTCATGGTCGCCAAGACCGCCGAGCAGCTCTTCTCCTTCCTCGCCAAGCAGATTGAGCTTTTCCTCCGTGAACATCACGCCGAGCACTTTGAGCAACACGTTCGCCGCCGCCAAACCTACAGCGCCCCCGAGGGCTACCGCGACGAGCATGTCTTCCGCCTCGGTTTCACCTTCAGCTTCCCCGTTCAGCAGCTTGGCATTAACAAGGGCAACCTGATCCGGTGGACCAAGGGCTTCGACATTCCCGATGCCGTCGGCAAGGATGTCTGCGCTCTGCTGCAGGTCGAGATCGATAAGCTGCACCTCCCCGTCCGAGTTGCCGCTCTCGTCAACGACACCGTCGGAACCCTGATGGCGAGATCGTACACTTCAACCGGCAAGTCCGGCTCTATTCTGGGTGCCATTTTCGGCACTGGCACCAATGGCGCTTATCTTGAGAAGCTGTCCAACATCAAGAAGCCCATTGTCGGCGAATTCGAGTCGGCCACTGGCGAAATGGTCGTCAACACCGAATGGGGCTCGTTCGACAACCAGCTTAATGTGCTGCCCAACACTCCTTGGGACGATGCCCTTGATAAGGCCAGTGTCAATCCCGGCATTCAAATGTTCGAGAAGCGTGTCTCTGGCATGTTCTTGGGCGAGATTGTCCGCCTGACCATCCTCGACATGCTCAAAGACGATGAACTTTCCTTGTTCAAGGACCAGAACTCCAGCTTCAACGACTGGAAGTCAACAACAAGCATCAGCGCCGAGTCCGGCATGTTCAAGCAGTGGGGCCTGGACAGCTCAATCATGTCCGTCGCCGCTGCCGACAACACCCCCGAGCTCTCGACCCTCAGACAGCAGCTGGAGTCCGCCTTGCAGGTATACAGTCCCTCGCTTGAGGATGCCCAGGCCTTTAAGGCCGTTGCTGGTTCCGTTGGCCGCCGTGCAGCTCGTCTTTCTGCTGTCGCCATTGGTGCCATTGTCCTCCAGTCCGGCAAGCTCGACGACGAGAAGGAGGAGGTCATTGATGTCGGTGTCGACGGCAGCTTGGTAGAGCACTACCCCTTCTTCCGAGACATGATCTACGAGGCCCTTCGCTCCATTGAGCGCATCGGCCCCAAGGGTGCCGAGAAGATCCGTATTGGCATCGCCAAGGATGGAAGTGGAGTTGGCGCCGCCCTCATCGCCCTTGTGGCAGCTGGCATGGAGAAGGAGGGTGATGTCTTGACCGAATTCAGACAGAATGTCAAGAAGGAACTGGACTCCATCCCCACACCACGTAAGTTGCTGGTCACCGAAGTTGCTGGGATAAAGCGCGACCTCGACTGTGACGAACTTCCCGCTGCAGTGCATTGTGAGATTGTCGGCTAATCACGTTTTGTGCTTGTCTTACAGGCGAAGAGGTGTCAACAGCCAACACCGCATTGATAATTGGAGGCCTTGTTGGTATTGCAGCCATTGCGGCCGTCTGGTGGTCTCGGTATTACCGTCGATGATGAACGAAGCATAAGAGGCATGATTGAACGGAGCTGAGGAACGGGAAAGGGTGAGGGAGTGGGAAACAAACCCACTGGTCATTGGGGACATCAGACGAGAGGAGGGGGGGATGGTTCCCTCCTCATGTCGTCCTCCCTAATCCGTTTGAGCATCTTTTGGCATTGGGGATTTGTTCATTTCTTCATGATTCCACACAATGGGAAAAATAACGGAGTTGGGCCTGAGCTAAGCAAAAAAGAACTTGCGTTGGGGTGGGTTTTTGTTCAAATGCATAATTGTTTAGAGTCTTTTCTACTTCTTTTTTCCTCTAAACAAAGTCAAACGTCTATAGCAGGCTAGCCTCCTAATTTGGGGCAAATCTTTTCTCTAGCATCTGGACTGTCCCGTCATTTCTTTCTCCTCCTTTGGGCTTTTTGTGATGTCGAATGTGTGTGCCAAGGCTTCGTTCTCCTCATGGGCGCTTCAGGGTTTGGAGATGAAGTTGTGGCCATGCCCAGAGAGGTTGTATCTGGTCCTGGGAGAGCGCCAACGGACACCCTCTTGGCATCATGGCTGGTATGTGATGGCGACTCTTGCTCTTGACCGTGGAGCTTCGGTTCTCTTGACTCCAAACGGAAAACGGATAACTTCGCTCTTCTAATCCTTCTTTTTGTTCCTGATATAATGCATGTATGCCCCCTCTTCCGCCTAGCCCTGAAATGCCGCCGCCGGGTAGGACCTATCCTTCTTCTTCCTTGCCTTCGAGCTGCTCCTAGAACTCGTGCCCGAGCCGCCGTTGCTCAGGGGCGGGGCGAGCTTGGCCGATGCCATCTCATCAGGGAGGTCATTCCACTCTGTCGCAGCGCGGCGGTTCTGGAAGGATTGACCCGAGATTGTTCTCGACAGCGACGGAGGGGGACCGCTGCTGCCTCCGTTCATGGGCGGTAGGTTCGCAACGGCGGCGGTGGGACCCGGCATAGGAGGTGCCGTAGCTCTCTCGGACGACGAGCCGCTGCCGATGGATAAGGGACCGACGGAACGGCGGACGATCCAGGCCGAGTCCGGGCGAAGCTTGATGTAGTACCCCTGTAGCGGCTCGCCGTAGCGCTCGAAGCCGCGGGCGGCGTACCAGCGCATCCCTTCCTCGTTGTCGGTCCAGACGTGGGCATAGATGTGGCGGAGATTAATGTCCGGGGATGAGTTTGCGGCGGCGGCGACGAGGTGGTCTACGACGGCGGTGGCGAGGCCGTGGGAGCGATAGGGGGAGAGGAGGGCGAGGGACTGGATGTAGAGGGCGTGTTCGAGGCGGGTTGGCGTCGGGGTTGCGGAGGGAAAAGGGGAGGGTTCGATGCGGGCTACTACGCCGCCGACGACGATTTCCTGGGAGAAGTTGGTGATGGGCTGTTCGCGCCAGGTGAGGACGCGGGAAAATGGGCCCGTGAGGGCTGCGGCGTAAAAGGTTTCTGGGTAGGCGACTGGGAGGAGGAGGGAGTTTATGCGGCGGAAGGGTTGTAGGTCTTGGTCTGATATGGGGCGGATCGAGGCGTTTGGGTGGAGGGGCGTCGAGGCTGGTGGTTGTGATGTTGGTGGCGTCGCTATTGTCGGTCGCGGTGGTGACGACGTCGTCGTCGTCGTTGTCGTCGTTGTGGTTTTTGGAGGGGGAGGTGATGTCGATGCCGTTGGAATTGGGGTTTTGGTCGTGGGAGGAGGGGCAGCTGCTGCTGTTCCCGTCGATGATGGCGCGGGGGCGTACTTTGACGACAGCGGTGGGGGAGCGTAGGAGGGTTGTTGACGGGGTTGGAAGAAGGATTTGATGGAGGACTGGGTCGGTGGTTGCTTCATTGTCGAGGTCTGGGGGAGGGACATTGTTGAGAGAGATGCGGGCGAGGGATTCGTTCGTTTGTTGGCTTGTGAAGGAGGGAAATGCAGATGGGGTTGGGGGTAGAAGGCGGGAAAAGAAAGTGTGGAGAAGCAAGGTAAGGAAGGTAGGCCGAGCTGGCGGGATGTTACTCTATGAAGTAATTCCCGGGAAGAGAGAAGTTCAGGTGCGCGTGCACGTAGTTATTTACACGCGTGCGGCCAAAGGTTGATTTGGGAATCTGTCGCAGTCTTCTTTTTCCGATAATCCGGGGACGGCGAACGCAGGGAAAGAAGGACCGGTAGAGTGATGCGGTCAAGAGAGGTTTCGGAAGGCAATGTCTCTGAACGGTTGCAACTTTTTTTTTTCGGGGCGGGGGGGGGGGGGGGGTGGGGGGGGGGGGGGGGGGGGGGGGGGGTGGTGGGGGGGGGGGGGGGGGCGGGGAGGGGGGGGCGGGGGGGGGGCGGTGGGGGGTGTGGTTGGGAGGGGGGGGGGTGGGGTGGGGGGGGGGGGGGGGGGGGGGGGGGGGCAGGGCAGGCGGGCAGGCGGACGGTGCCTTGCAGCGAGGGGAAGGTGTTGCAAGTCGTGACTCGGTCTGCGTTTGGCGGCTCCTGTCTTCCTCCCTGTCTTTCTTGCCTGTCAAGTGAAAGGGAAATCCATTGCCGAAGGGAGACGGGCACCTCAGACGGGCAGGTGCGTACTCTCAACACCGATGCGGTCAGACGCAGCAGCTCTGGAGGCTCCGGCGGGAGAGCGACGGCTCCACCGGGTCGTTCCAGGAGCAATTGCAGGGTGACGATGTCAGAGGCGGCGTTGATGCTAAAGATATCCGTACATGTACTTTATACCAAGGTACGCAGCTAAAGAGACCAATTAAGGGGCTGATGGTGATAAAATAGCAGGTGGATTAACAGAGGCGTCTCAGACTCCCAATGGTGTTCAATTTATTTATTTTTTGCCAAACTCTATGAGGGAATGAATCATGAGGCAATGGCGACCCCTGGTAAACCATCGTCTTGACTCGACAGTTACAATGTCTGCTTACCGGGGTGTTATCGATGATGGAGAGTGCCGACTCCCCTACGTTGGCTACAATACCTAGGCGAAAAGGGGACTAAAGTCAGGCACATGCATGCACCGATGGGGACACTGTATCCGCTCCTTGGTTCTCTGCTAAGGAAGGGATGGGATGACATCCGTACCCGTCGTTCCGTGGAGGCTCCCCTGTTCTGCAAGTGTGTTGGGAAGCCTGGACATGGCTGAGTTGTGCTCTTCTGCTGCAGCTGATGCATTATCGTTTTGTTGCTGTTTGCCGAGATTCCTGGATGTCACGTAGGATGGAGTAATAGTCTGGGGAAGCTACACCCATCCACCCTAACCTGCTTGTCTACAGCCAACCTCGCTTGTGCCTTCAACTCGTTGATGGTATCTCTTCTGGCCTTTGCTTCTTGCTTCTTTGGAAAAGGGAGAATATATAACTATTGGTCGGCTATTATAGAATCAAGGGGAGTTGATAGGTTGGCCAAAGCACCCTATATTGGCTCATTAGAGAGGTTCGCGTTCGTGCCCTGCTCTATTCGCAAGTGGCCCTGAGATCGACGACGACATTTGGGGAAGTCGCTTCCGGGCTTCTTACCAAAGTCGCTCTTTCCCGCAATTCCCTTGTCTGAGCAATCTGCTCAGGTAATCCGGACAAACCTCCCGAATCGCTGTCTCTCTCCAATCCCTCAGCAACCACCCTAGGTACCTTTTTTCAGACTTTGAAATGCCCATGGACTTTACCTTAAGGCACCCGATCAATTGTCTCCCTATCAACCCAGATACCTCACCAACTCCGTCCCCCGTTAACCAACATCGACGTTGACCGCGCCCATCCAATTCTCTTGCCTCGCACCCTCAAACCCCCGTCCTTTCCGGATCCGGCATAGGGCCTCTCGCGTGGTACGACAAAGGGAAGTCACCCCCTAGCTCATCGGAGACAACCTACCTACCTTAACCGCAAATCCTTGTGTACGTTGCTTGTTCGCCATCGCTGTTGCACCCTTATTACTTCAGCAAAGCAAGGTTCCGAAACTTTTTTTTCCCCCTTCCCTGGCGGCGGCGTCGGGCGTTCCTTCCATTTGCTCAGCTTGACCTCATCTCCCCTGCTCCTGCCGCTGTTACTGCTGCCGCTGCTGAACCACCCGCCCCTCGCCCGGCCGTGTGGCACCTTATTTTAGTTACCCGTCAACCCGATTCAGATTCCACAAACCACATTTCTTCCTGCACACGACCACAAAGCTATCCGCCCTCCGAGGCTGCGATCACGACGGCATTTTACTCCCTTCAGCCTCTGTGCGCCGTTCCTTCGGCCTCGTCGAGATGGCTTCCAATACAGGAAAGGCTGGAGTAATTGTCGCTCCCGACGACGCTGGCAACATGGACAAGCTTGTAAGTGCTCTTCCACCCTATGCCCTCACCCTTCATCCACCATCGCCCTCTCCTTCCTTCCCCAGCTTCACCCAGACCATCGCGGCCATTCCTCGAATCGCTGCGGGTGGACTGGGCGACTGTTTGCCGTGGCTGATGACTTGATGTGATGCTGACCATAGTCTGTTATTCGGCAACAGGCACACGCTGTCCTCGACGACCTCATGTACAACGTTGTCCACGATCTGCTGCTCAAAGTCCACCGCGACGAGAAAATGGCGAGAGCGTCTACCGCCGCCATTCGTGTCGAGAAGCTGGCTTCCGATGCATCAGAGAACTCCCCCCCCGACTCGAAACCAGACGTGCGGATCGAGACCGAAGCCGCGATATACGAGGACGGCAAGGTTCTGCTCAAGGGCAACCCCCTCAAGACGACATCCGAAATCCTGTGCCCGAGATGCCACCTGCCGCGCCTGCTCTACCCAACCGAGGGCAAAGGCGCGCGGAAGCAAGATCCCAGCGTCATCTACTGCAAGAAATACCCCTACATTGACAAGCCGGGCTTCGATATTTATGGTCAAACCTGGGTCCAGCCCGGTCCCGGTCGAGGCAAGAAGAAGAAGGATATGAAGCCCGATCCAAACATCGAGTCGGCCGGCCCAGGAGAAGCGCGGCCAGCGAACGTGCTCTCGTTCCCCTCTGCCACCTGCAGCAAGTGCAAACGATGCATTCTCGTCACCCGTCTCAACAACCACATGGGCTCTTGCATTGGAAATAGCGGACGGAATGCCAGTCGCGCTGCGGCGGCAAAGATATCGAATGGTAGCAACGGCGCTAGCCAGCACGATGGAACGCCTCCATCGAGTCAAAAGGCCACACCGGCGCCCGCATCTCGGGCCTCAAGCCCTAAGAAGCGCGACAGCGAGGAAGTGGCGGCACCTGAAGACGAGGACGAATCGGGAGACAGCCATAAGAAGAAGAAGCTCAAGTCAACGCCTTTGATGACGAAGAAGGTCATACTCAAGACGAAGGGTCCGAAGAAGGAAAAGGTGAAGACGAACTCGCTCTTGAGCCGCGAAGCAAAGGCGGACGACGGCGATAACTCCACTGTCGAGGTCGCGCCAAAGAAGGAGAAGAAGGAAGCCAAGGGCATCAGTCCGGCCAAGAAGTTGAAACTCGGCGCCGCCAAGCCGCCCTTGTCCTCGCCGTTATCTAAAAATGGCCGGAATGGAAAAGACAAAGACGAAGACGCAGAGTCGGAATCGTCTGGCACATTGTCGTCGCCGCCAAACTAGAAGCCTGGCGGCACAACGAGCCGCATCAACAGGGCGACTGGCTGTGGTCTTAGGAGACCGAGTGAGATGTCGACCAAACTGGCTACATCACGTACTTCCTGCCCTGTACCATCCACGGTGCCCTCGTCAGTCAAACGGTCGCCCCAACAGCCGCTACTGCCTCAACAACATCTTGGGTCCGCCTTGCACAGTTCTCCCGGCCGACCTATCTCTTCCGGCCGTCCTGCTACAAAGCAGACCACAACGGGATCCTCCAAAGACACCTCCCGATCCACGGGACGGGTTTCGGCCCCCCCGAGCACCAGAGGCCAAGCTCCTCTAACCGGCGCCCAAATACCCGGCAAAGGCCAACCCGCTGTTGAGGCTCAGCCGCAAGTCCGAGGCAAAAAGAGGACCTCGGACGAGCCTGAAAATCAGACCAACAAACGGCGTCGCTCTTAATACCGCTCCTTTGTATTCATTCACACGTCTTTTCTCTCAATGTTCCGGGACCGGCTTCAGCCATAAGCTGGGATGGGCACAACTTACTTCTCTGGGCACGCATGCTACGACGAAAGTACAGGCCACGGGACTGGCTGGCCACAGAGCCAGGTTCCAGGTCATTTTTTACTTACCTTGTATTCACTAAAATTTGAAGCCCTGCTCAACGAGAAGAGCAAAACTCGATACACGATACTCAACAATGCATGGTCAGGGAGTCGGTCGGGGAAGGTCTTCTAGGGATGGGGAGGTTTCCCCCCTCCATACTCGTGTGCATCGCCTGGCGAGGCGGATGGCGGCGTTTTAGAGAATGCGGTTACATTTTATAGGCATTGTGGCAAATGATATTGATCCCCGCCCCCCATGACTTTTATGTTGGAAAATTTGGAGTCTGGTCTTTATGACTTTGTCTTTGACCAAGGGCCGCCTCGTGAAAGATAGAACCGAAACCGAAATGAATAGGACATTGCCTTTCCCCAGTGCATATGATCTGCCCGACCAAACGCCAAACTCCGTGTAGATGCTTAGAACCAACCCCGTGAAGCCGGCCCTCACTCCTCGTCACCAGCCTCCTCAACGACAGAGGCCTTGATAATCTTGACCTCCTCAAGCGGCCGGTCTTCGGGCCCCGTCTTGACGAGCCCCATTCTCTTGACGACGCTCAACCCGCTCTTTACGCGTCCAAAGATGGTGTGCTTGCCGTCGAGCCAGGGGGTGGGGGCCAAGGTGATGAAGAACTGGGAGCCGTTTGTGTCCGGGCCGGCATTGGCCATGGAGAGAACGCCGGCGCCGGTGTGTTTGAGGGCCGGGTGTATCTCGTCTGCGAATTTCTCGCCGTAGATGGAGGTGCCGCCGCGGCCGGTGCCGGTCGGGTCGCCGGCTTGGATCATGAAGTTTGGGATGATGCGGTGGATGATTGTGGCGTTGTAGTAGCCTCTTTTTGCGAGTGTCGCAAAGTTTGTGCAGGTTTTGGGCGCGTGGGCGGTGTAGAGTTCTAGGATTATTGTGCCCTGTGAGTTGAGGCCGAGGTTAGTTGGCTGGTCGGTCTGGTTTTTTTTCGTCGCATGGCTGGATGGTATTCTGTGTGGATGGGCTGGAAAGTCGGGGGGGGGGGGGGTTGTTGAACGTACCATTGAGGTCTCGGGGGGGCCGTTGGGCGTCATCTTGAAGGGATTGACAGCTGTGTTTTGGGGGGGGGGGGGGGGGGGGGGGGGGGGGGGGGGGGGTGTTGTTGAACGTACCATTGAGGTCTCGAGAGCGACGTTGGTCGTCATCTTGAAGGGATTGACAGCTGTGTTTTGCTGCGCGGCGTGGGGTGGTGTGTGTGGGTTGCGCTGTGGTTGTTGAAGGGTTCACGGGGAATTCTTTTGGGCGAGGTTGAGATGCGACGCGATGCGATGAGGTTTTGCGGTCGCACGTCAGGTTGCGGGTTGCGCTTGATTGAGGTGGCCAGGGGGGTAGCTTCAGCCACTTCCAGGGGGGTTAGAGGTGCGCCACTGGACCGTCGGGAACCAGCAAAATGGCCGGTTTTCATCCGTACAGCGAGATAGTACCAGGTAAGGTACCTGGAAAACAACCCAAAAAACAAGAGCTATCTGTGATATTATGTAGGATCATCAAATTGGAGCCTGAAAGCTTGATGACCTCGCAACCTTTGCAGGACCCCTTATGCGTAAACAATCGACCACAAGGTCATATGCACCTCAGACACTGCTCATGCTTTTCATTTTATTTATTTCCTTCTATAGATCTTTGCGAGGGGCGATGGTATAGTATATATGTGTGGCATTCATGTCTTTTCCATGTCACACACACTTGACTTGGTACTTCAGTTGTGACCGAGGTGCGCTACATTGATGTGGGGGCTGGAGGAGCTGAAGCCCCATCCATCTCCCCTGCGCGCCCTACAATGTAAGGCACCTTGCCTTACCTTGACTGTGTCAGTCCATCCGAGAGCAAGCTGCTGAGGTACAACATACTTCTCACTATCCTGGAGATCAATCACAACTCTGGACTACGGCGCAAGGCGACCTCCTGCAGCAACGCTCGCACCGCACGGGTATTCGTACTGCTTTTCAAGAGTTTGGACAAGCGGAGGGTGCGACTTCTCTATTGGGGAGCAATCAAAAGGTGAATTTGCTTCAGGACGTCTGGTGTCCCTGGTCCCAACTCCCAACCGAAACACCTACTTACCTACTACCTATCACCTGAAGGAAAGCAGACGACCTGGCCAGGGCGGAGACCATTTCTCATAATCGAGTTCTTACTTTTTCTGGCAGGAAACACCGTGTCGTCTTTCACCGACCATCTGGCCAATCCCTCACAACAGCTGCCGTTTTTTTCAACCTACTTGATCAGTTTGTGAGGATATTATTTCTTACGGCAAAGGTGGCATTTCTGCATTTCACAGAACTCGACTGCCCAGTGGTCTGTCAAAGGACAGAACATAGGTGCGACTCCCAGCTTTCAGTTGCCATTCACAAAGACCGGCATCTCATCCACTCAGGTTCAGCAACCGTTCCCTCACATCGACTATCACGAGCTTCACTTGCCTCGGTGTACCTTGCCACCTTCACTCTCAGCGACAATAGCTTCAGCTGGATTGAAACCTCCCTGGGTTCTGTGGCCGTCTCTGAAGTCTATTTCAACTCCGCCACCACAACAGGACTTTGAGCAGCGATCTTTGGGTTCCTTCTATATTACCCAAAGATGGCTTCGCCAGTCCCCAGCCCCATCGGCCCGCCGTTTGACGAGCTTGCCCAGAACCTCACCGGCAACTTGACGGCCGGAAACGCCACCGCTGTCGCCGAAGAATGGGGCTTCTCCCAGTACGCCAGCTTCCTAACCATGGAGGCCAAACTCATCTTCAGCGCTCTGGCCATCATCTACATTGGCGCCCACGGATCACTCCGCCGGCCGCCTTCAGCCGCTCCTCAGAAACGCAAGGACGGGCAGAGTGAGCGCAAAGAAGATAAGCCCATCACCGAGGGCCTCCTACCTACCGACGCCATCCTCTTCCCGCTCCTGGCCGGAGCTATGCTGATTGGCCTCTACTATCTCATCCAATGGCTCCAGGATCCGGCGATTCTCAACAAAATTCTTCGAGTGTACATGTCTGTTGCGGGTGTCGCTAGTCTGACAACCTTGATTGCACATTCGCTGCGCCTTGCCGCCGGATTCGTCTTTCCCAACTACTTCCGCCACAACGGCTCGCTATACAACGTCGACGATGACGATGAGTCCTTCATCAAAGTGACCGGCGGGCAGGTGGACCGGAACAACGCTCAGTGTCTCCAGAAGAGCAACCCGCTGCCTTTTGGTCTGCGCAGCATCATGCGCTTCAACGCCATCAAGTTCAACCGGCTCCTTTGGGATTTGCGCCATGTCTTGGCGGACGAGTGGACAGTGAAGGCCAAATTTCACGGCCTCTTCCACGAGAAGTTCCACGTCTCCATCCTCCACGTCATTGGCTTTAACCTGGCTGTCATGACTGTTGTGGCGTACTCCATGTCAGGCTCGCCGTTCCTGTCCAACCTTATGGGCTACGGTTTCTGCTACGGCTCGTTCCTCATGATGTCCCCGACCACCTTTGCGACCGGCAGCTTGGTATTGATCGGACTCTTCTTCTACGACATTGTCATGGTCTTCTACACGTAAGCTGTTTCACTCCCTGACGACACAGTGTCTAACAAGCCACCAGTCCCTACATGATCACCGTCGCCACCAAGCTCGACGTGCCCATCAAGCTCCAGTTCCAGTCTGCCGCTAGGTCCAGCATTCTAGGACTCGGAGATATCGTCGTCCCCGGTATCGTGATGTGCCTCGCGCTCCGCTTCGACATGTGGCGTCACTACCAGCGCCAGATCAAGTACGTCCCCACCGATCTCAAGTCTGACCAGCACGACGCCACCTCTGGCAACGTGGTCACCGTGAGCCAGACCCAGCACGTTGCGCAAAAGTCCCCCTACCTCGACATCACCAACTGCTGGGGCGACTGGTTCTGGTCCACCCCATCGTGGCTGGGCCTCGTCAAGGCTGGAACGGAGACGGCACCGCCAACGGTGCGCGGATCAACCTTCCAAAAGACGTACTTCCACGCCTCCTTGGTCGGCTACGCTCTGGGTATGGTGACCACCTTGGTCATGCTCGTCGTCTTCAAGCACGGCCAGCCCGCGCTGTTGTACCTGGTCCCGGGTGTCCTCGGTTCTGTCTGGTTGACGGGCCTCTTGCGCGGCGAACTCAAGGAGATGTGGATGTACACCGAGGACGGCAGCCTGGACACGCGTGACGTTGTTGTCGAGCTCAATGGAGACGGCAACGTTGTGAAGGAGGTCAAGGACGATGATGGCAAGAAGGACGATGAGAAGGAGAAGAAGAAGAAGAAGGAAGAGGAAGAGAAGGCTGCGGAGGAGAAGAAGGTTGCTGAGAAGCGGGATGCCGAGAAGACTGAGTATAGCATAGTCGCCTTCTCCGTCACTGCTCCGCTTAGAAAGCCGAAGACGCAGTGATTCCGAATGGGACGGCCGTGTATCAACTGCTCAATTCCATACACTCACCAAGTTTTCCCTTGCCTTTTTGAATTTTCATAGCGAAAAAAGATACAATCAAGATTGAGGTTTCCGGAATGGTTGCATGTGAGATGGGATCTCTCAGCTACATCACGAGCGGACGTCGTGAGTGGAATTTCTTCGTAGGGAGACTAGAGCAGCGTTTGAGCGATTCAACTTTGCCGTGGTCCTCCCATGGCATTGACGATCCGAACCTAGTGAATAGTAATAGTTCCTTACCAAACATTGGACGACTGATAGTGTGTATAATAGTCGGATTGCCAAGAAGTCTGAAAAGGAAACCCAACTCAACCACCTCTTGACACGTCTGCCCGAGCCTCCAGTTCCTTCCCGTCCCCTCTACAAGACGTCATTGAGACTGTTTTTGCTGCTTCTACCAGGCGGTTATCGCGCGTCGGCATCAACTCAGGGCCATTTATGTACAACACGTTTGCACCACCTCCTCCCAATCGAATCCAGAGTCTGCTAACCCTCTACTCCAAGATTGGAGCGAATGGGATACAATGAGACAAGATCTCCTCATTAATAGAGTTGAAGAGCGAGCCCGATGCTCCGGGATATTTGGCCCTGTCGAGCATGGTAGTGTCAAATCTTCCATTCCCGCTCCAACCACTTCGCACACCCTGCTCGTCACTACTCTGACCTTGGTTCGCGACAGGCAGATGCACGACAACATTGTCCGAGATCACGGTGCTTTACTCTTCCATATTGAATCGGCGTGCTCAACGGGGACTTGGGACTTATTGCCACGTTGAAAAGTGTTTAATACACAGCTCGCTGCCCTCAAAAACGTTGCGTACCTCGGTTCTCAAGCATCACGCCATGGCATGCAAAGCGTGGCTTCACAAAAGGAACCTAAGCTATCGTCTACACTGTTCGACACTTTCTGTTTTTGGTTGAGAAGACTTGAGACTCCACGATAACGAGAAACATTAAAAAGCTTCCAGAATGGTACCGAATAGTAACGCCGCGGGTGGTGTCGTGGACGACGTCATACGCTCCAGCTTAAGCTATCGCTCCGTCTGCTCTGTGCCCTTGCAATCAAAGCACCGCCTGATGATCTCCGGAGAAGCGACAGCGCTCGCGCAGCTAGACTTGGCTCTGGTTGCTATACCGCCGCAGGCCGACATTGAGGTCCGGATGTCCTACTATCGGCAGTGGGACTCCAACCGGGCCAAGGTCCATTGCCGCCGTAGCGGAAAGAATCCACCGCACTGGTCGACCGAGTAACACTATCCCAGAGGGAGAGGGAGGAAAAAGACCAACGCGGAAAAGCCATTGAATGGGCAGTTAACCAGCAATCCGTTGAATGTATTTGCACCACATGCAACCTAGGAGAGGCTCCAGCTACAAGACTGCACAGGTAATACTCGGCTTACACCATTTGCCGCAGTTGTTCCGCATCGGCGGCCTGTGAGATGTATCCAACCCAACGTCATGAGAGCTGGGCTATCAAGGCGGAATGTCGGGCTTCCGTTAGTGGGGTTCGGAAGACTGAATTTCGGCATGGCTGGAGGCGTTATCGCGCCGTCTGATTTCCAATGCGCTGCTTTCAATCGTAATCTTTCGTCGCACACTAGTGCGAAAAGGTAGGACACCCAACCCAAGTACTTCCTGTCTGTCTGGGAAATGGGCCATGGGAGGTCGGTCACTCATTCACTGCCCGTGACATCCTCGGACTCACATCCCCAACCTAGGTACACACACCGCCGCCCTCCCCACCAAGCCGTGCCCGACTTCACATTAGGGCGTGGGCTAGCATAGGCCTTCACAGCAGGATGCGATTCCAGCATCCCTTGGATCGCCTTCACACACCTTGCAAAAATCCCAGTCGTTACGCCAAAGGACTAGAGTCTCTCTGAACCTAATCCGGAACTTTGGCATACGGCAATCCAGCCACCCGCCGATAGCGTCATTCGCGGGCCGTTGTGGAGCCTCCATACTCGGGCAGGCCGGTATCATATCAGCCACGAAAAATCCCGCCACGCAAACCTTCTTGCAACGACCAGCAATAGACTGCACCATGTGAGCCCGGCTTTTCTTCCCAAAGAAATCACCTCTAGAGGAATGCCTCCCACACTGGGGCACATTGCACTGCTGCCAGACAGTCACCGTTATCTGAGGATGCCTGGGCTGAATGTAGCAACCGCGGGGTAGAATCACACCATCGCAGGCTTGGTCAATCTAGCCCATCGAGATCATGAAAGAGAAACATCTTCGGACTAGGATCAGACGTGTGCAATTGCCACGGAGGCGGGGGCTCTGGAGGCTTGAAACACACTATTATATTTCAAACGATGGTAACGCTTCGTACCATTGAACACTACGATTTTTGGCATCGATGCACAAATCTCAATTGAGTAGATTTGATTCAATATAAACGCATGAGTTGAAGCCCTTGATTGGGCATATCATGGCTGATTACATGTTCAAAAAATAGATAGGTATCATGATAGCGAGACATGCCAAGAGCCAAAATTGCTTCCGTGCCTTCATCTCGTATTTACATCTGCACCAGATGCTTTCTATCCTTGAATGATAGTCAACCCAGTGAAATATTTAGACAGCAAGTCTTTAGAAGATAGTACTCGCCCATCGTCTCCACGCGGGCCAAGCGGCAACCTTCGCGCGGTAGGCGTTGATCTCATCCCAGTCGACTTCACGGCGACCAGTGTCGAGGTCGATCTCGGAAAGCTTCAAGAAGCCCTTGCGCTTCCACAGGTAGCCGCAAGCCCAGAAGAAGAGAACAACAGGCAGAGCGAGGTAAGCCTTGAAAAAGTCTTCAGCGGAGGCGAAACCGCCGCCAGGAGGGCAAATGGCGACGAAGAATTGGGCAATCAAGAAGATGATGATGAAGAACAGGCCGAGCCAAGAGCCGGCAACACCACCAACGGCCTGGAAGGGGAGCTCATCAAGAGTGTGGCCCTGGGCCTTCCACGCGGCGCGGAAACGAATGTGGGCGGCGCAAATAGAGCCCCAGGTGAACAGGGCGGCGAGACCAGAGAGCGACAATAGCCAGTCGAAAACGACACCACCGGAAGACGCCAAACGGACGTACGCGAGGGCACCAAAGACGAGGTTGACGACGACAGAAGGCAGAGGGCGGCCTGATCGGTCAATGTAGGCGAAGATCTTGGGAGCGTAACCCTGCTGAGCGAGGGCGGTCAGGGTACGGGAACCACCGTAGACGCAAGAGACACCAATGGAGATGACGGAGACGAGAATGACGACGTTCATGAAGTCATTGTATCCGTACAGGCCGGCATCTTCAGGGGCCAGGACGAAGGGGGAAACACCGTCGGCGTAAGGGTTCGCGGAGTTCAGGAGACGCTCATCAGTAGAGCTGACGAGGAGACCGACAAAGGTAAGACCCAGGACGTAGAACCTGGTAGATATGGTCAGTTGGAACTTGGAATAGTTGGTTTGGGCGGTACTCACAGGGTAATACGCCAGAAGACCTGCTTGATAGCACCGGGAAGAGACTTGGCGGGGTTGGCGGACTCTGCGGCAGCGAGACCGACGAGCTCGGTACCGGAGAAGGAGAAAGCGGCGGTAACGAAGACGGAGCAGAAGCCACGGAAGCCGTTCTGGAACGCACCAGGGTCGCTCCAAAGACGGTTGCCCCAGTACTCATCGTACTTTCCACCCTTAGGACCACCACCGCAGATGAGAATGAGGGCGACAACCATGAAAATGACGGTAGCGAAGAGCTTGAAGGCAGAGGAGATGAACTCTTCCTCAGCGAAGCCCAAGGTTCCAAAAACATTGATGATAATAATGAAAAGCCAGAAGATGGTGATCCAAACGGCTACGCTTATATCCTTGTTCCAATATTGTATCGTAAATGAGCAGACAGTTAGTTCGAGTGGTAAGACGATAACCCATTGGAAGACCTGCCGCGTGTTAGAGCTTTGCGGTGCCATGCGCCGCAGGGTAAGAAGTAACTTGCATAATTCCAGCCCATAGCAAAACCCCAGGAGGGATCCAGGAAGCGAATAGAGTAGGTATAGAAACCACCAGAGACAGGATATAGGACAGCGAGTTCACCGAGGGCGTAGACGACGTTGAAGATCATGATACCAGCGATCAAGAAGCAGATGAGGACAGAGCCCGGGCCACCCTTGGTGAGGGCGCTGCCGGAGCCGACGAAGAAACCAGCACCAATGGAGCCACCAATGGCAATCATTTGCAAGTGACGAGGTTTCATGGAGCGGTCGAGCTCAGAGTCGCCAGTACCATAATCACCTGAGATTATTGTGTTAGCATTCCATATGGGATAGGATCTTTAGGCGAGGCGAGGGGTGGTGAGACCAGGCTGAGGTGTAGGAGATGGGCTTGGAAGCAGCCCAAGTAGGTAACGCAAATGGGGTAGACTAACGGCGCTGAAAACTCTTGAGGTTCAAGCCATTGCGGGTCATGAAGTCATCCTCGCGAAAGTTCTCGGGAATATGGCCATCACCAGCGGTATTGTGAGCGCCCTTTTCGGAGTCGTACGTGGGCGGGACCACGCCGACTTGGGCATCCTCCTTGGACATGTTGAAGATGTCGCTCGATAGCTCTGGAAAGAGACTAGAGACTGGTGAAAGACAAGAAGCAGTGCGCGCTGGCGCTTGTCGTGACCTTTGCCCTTGTCGACGACGAGAGAGGAGCAAAGTTGGTGTTACTCTGTGAAGAACTACGAGAGTATGAGGGGAAGGAGGGACAACAGGAAGGGACAAGAGGAAGGGAGAGGCGGCGCGGGATGCCGTTTAATAGATGTTCGAGACAGCACTCGGGACGGGGGACGGGGATAGGGACAGGGAGCTAGGTAAGCGGAGGGTAAGAAGAAGCCAGGCGCAACGACAACGGGAGCAACGATCTGTGCAGGTGCATTGGCTCATGTGGGTAAGGTTGCATGTACCATGTATCTGTAAAGGTGCTCTGTACCGCGTAAAGATGCCAGACCAATATGGTACATACGAGCCAGACCAAAGACAGGAAGGTGTGCAGGATGGGCAGGACTACCTGGCGAGATGGGTAGGGGTATGATAGGCAAAACGGCAGGCAGCTAGTAGTGTAGGATACGGAGGGCAACCCAACGGATACATAGAAAGGAGAAGCGAGGGACAGAGAGAGGTGCAGCATACAGCTCGGGCGAGGAGCTGGAGGCTGGAGCTCAAGCTGGATGAGAAGGGGAATAACCAACCTGACGCACTCACCAGCGTGAATCCAATGGACGGGATGCTGCAACATGGATCAGGGAGACCCCGGTGTGAATAAACAGCCCAACGTCTCCTCCTCCTCCTCCCCTTCCTTCCGTGACCCTACCTTGCCGTGCTTGCCTACATAGGTAGTACATTGTGTTACATGGTTTCCCGATGGAGCGATTACATTGTTTCTGAGAAATACAAAGTCACCAAGGGCGCCTTGCCTTTCTTGCGTTAGTCCCTTGTTATCTTTCTTCTTCGTCTTCTTCGTCTCCTTCGTTTCCGTAATACCTTCTCCCCGGGAAATCACCCATGATAGCTGCGCCGCTAGCCTGCAGAAATGCCAGGAAGTAGTAGGAAGGTGATCTAGAGCTTGAGAGGGCTAGACGAGCAGGTGAGTCTCCCGACTAGAGTCTTGGCAGGCGAGTAGACCGGTCGGGTCAGCCGTGAGACGGGAGGGAAGGAAGGGAGGGCAGTTCAAGGGGAGTGAAGGGGGGACAACCGGCACCTTGCAAGAGTGTGAGGTGCTACAGCAAGACACAGCCCACGGCAGCGGCTCACCCTAAACTTCCATCGTACATGAAGATGCGGATGCGGATGTCGGACGTTAGGTAAGGTATCAATCATGTGAGTGTTCGGAAGCAATGGAAGCTTCGCGGAAGGTGAACGAGGCAAGGCGTGGTGGGATGGGCGGGATCGTCAAAGCATCTCACGCACCCATCGCGACGTCGTCAACTCGCCTCACGTCCAAGGGCTGCATCGGTGCTACTCGACGTGGCAGATTCGATAGACAAGCGAATACCACGGGGTAGCCTTCAGCCATTAGACTACCTATGGGACGCGGCATTTCAGGTAGCTCCATTGGGCAGGCTGATGGTCTGCGACATTTGAGTTCGGAGGTTCACATGCTGCCCACTGCCCGCTGGGACGGATGCGATGCGTTCGGTGCGTGGCTCGATGCCTCGTGGTGATACGACGCGTCTCTCTCGGGTCCCGAAAGACGTCGACGACCGGCCGCCCTGTCCCATCGCAGAAGGTGGGCTCGGTGGGGAGCGCAGACGGTGTAGAGGAGAGTTTTTGCCAAGTGATTAGAAGAACCGGTCATGGTTTTTGGTGAGTCTTGGCGGAAGTGTTATTGGCTCATAGACGGTGCTGGCTGGAGATGGGTTGCGATATTTGTACATTGGAAATGTAGTGGATGGAGCTATGGATGGGGCTAGAAATGGAGATTGATTTGGCAGTTTGACTTCAAATTAATTTGGTAGCGACGCGCGGGGGTGGGACGGTGCCGGGCCTTTGCCCTGGACTTGACTGAGCCGGACTCTCACTAGGTAGGTCGGGACCTGGGCGGGACATTTCAATGAGCAGGGTGCGCATGCGCACTCAACCTCTACTACTACTACTACTACTCACTCCACTGGGACACTATGAGTGGAGATCCGTCCCAAGCTGGGCGCGACCCATAGGACTGGGAGTGTGATGGGGGCACGCACGATGGATAGGATGACGGGGCAAAGAATGGCCCATGCGATGTGGTATCGTTGGGTGTGATACTGTGAGCCAGCAAGATCCATCGAGGTGGGACGAGCTGTGAAGAGTCAAGACCCGAGAAATGGAAAGTGAGATGAGACTCTTGAGAGTTCAGGATGAGGAAGGAGCAAGAATGTGAGATGAGCTGGACAGTCTATCGCCGTTTTGATGAGAGGAGCGACGGGACCAAAGGGATGGACGGTGTTCCACCACACCTTCCCCAAGACTGGAATACGCGACCTGCCGCCTGCATGCCGCGTGCCGCGTGCCGCATGCCTTCCTCAACTTAAGCAAGTGCCCGCCAGGCGCCTGCCTTAATCCTTCCTGCAGACCACAGTACACTGGTACATATGCATTGTACCTACCTGCGAATAAGGTGGTAAGGTACCTACACCTAGGTACCTTACACTACGACTCGCAAGGACGGAAGTCTTGCAGTTATTTTTTTTTTCTTTCTTTTCTTCTCTGCCCGGTATACTCCCAATTCGGCTTGAGAGACTCGCTATCTCTCATACGCACAACTCTACGACTCTGAGCGAAACCATCTGCTCGAGCCAAGGCCGTGGCTCCCTCCTGGAGCTACCGACTACCTGCAGCCAAGGTCTTCTGGAACAGGGCTGTGTGTCTTGGTGTCTCTTGGCCATACCTCACGATCCAAGCCCGTTTTGACGAGCTTCCTCTTTGGGATGGACCAGGAACTGGAGCATTATTGCTTGATTGATGGATATCGCAGCAGTCGGACACTCTGACTTTCTACCCATTCTCTGTCTGGGCTTCCCTTCCCCGGGTCTCTAACATCTTGTGACAGGCGAGTCGACCAAGCTTTACCTTAGAGAGTGTGCGACTCCCTTGCAGTGTAACGACGGATACCTATCAAGCCCTCGATCCTCTGCTGCGGGAGCTGATGGGAAATCGTCACACTAATCACTGACTGGCTTTCGGCACATCCTTTTGCCTCGCAGGGGCGGGCGCCGCGGGACAGGGAGCCTGCTGCTAGCGATGCAAAGGAATCCTTCTAGAATGCCGCCAGGCCTTCAAACCACACCATTAACCTTCTGCCCCTCGATGCGCTATGTCTATTCGTACAGATATTCGTACAGCCAACCGTAACATTTTGAAGGGGAGCCACTCAGGAAACGAAACGGACTATCCACCTCCCATCACGTCACACACAAGACGCCCAATCTCCGGCCGCCGCCCCGTCACCTTGCTGCAACTGCCACTTGGGGGTGTTTGCGATACCTCTGAAAGCTTTGATTGAATGCGCAAACCTTTGGCAATTCGATCTCCAGCCTATCTGGGGCGACACGACTCGATTGTGCCGCGCTGTGTATCCGTAACCCAACCCACCGCCAAACCCATCGAGCTTCGTTATTGGGCGGTTGCCAGTTGGTGGATGAACCTACTATGACGAATACCCACGCAATGCTTCCTCCTTGCCCATCCGCATCCCTGGGGGTTGCATCACCATGTGCTGCAATTGGTCTACGATACACACAAGATTCCCCCCTCTGGCGGGAAATATGGGGAATAAAGTCTGGGCAAAGATAACAGTCTTTCATGAGCGATCCTACGGATACATGGTACGCTAACAAAACAGAGACAGCGACAGCGACAGCACCGTTGGTGAAACTGGCGCTCCTCGCCCACCACCATCCATCCCTTGTCACGATTAGCTGCCACCGATACCAATGTCGGCCCTGCCGTCATTCGCTCTGTCGCTCGATTTTGTCATGATACCCTCGTTGGTTCGCAACGCGCCCACTCGGTCGCCACGATTCAGGACAATCTACCTCGCAAGTCTCAATTCGGTCGAAAGGGCCCATCTTTTCTCTCCCCGTCGTGTCATCTAAGCACGCCAACCCACCTGCGACCGCAACTAATATCATTTGGCGTCCTTGGCTTCGGATTTCTGCCTCAATGTGTCACTGAAGGTTCACCCGACCGACGTTTGTCTTGGCTGGCACTCGCGCTCTCTTGGGGGGCTTATCTGGCATGTGTGACCCCCGAGGCGCTCGGGGCGCATCTGGGGATGGGTGGCGATGCTTATCAGCACCATTCCTCTCCCGTGGCGACGAGACTATGGCGGTTTACTCCGTATTTAGGCAATCAATGGCATTGACGCTTAGGGACGGTCTATCCGTTCGTCATACTGTTTGAATGAGGCGTTTTCGACTGACACGAGCCAAGACGTACTAATATGCACCAGATGCCAGACACCTGCTGGTTAAACTCTCGACTGTTGCACTTACGAACCTTTGAGTTCTCTCTAGCATCGCGACCGCTGGTGCCAAGAGTCTCTATCAACTCGGGCTAGCGATGTTTCGGGAAGGCATAGTCGCTTACGCTCAACTGAAAATCACCCAGCTATCACACCAGGAAAGAGATTGGGTAATACAAAGATCTGAAGGTCTGAGAAATTACGGCGTGTCACGGCGCATCCTTGGTTTACGGTTTGAGACGTTGCGAAACTGTTTCGTTATCGCAGATTCCAAGACATGTCGTTGGAGAATCACCGAAACCCAAGAGTTTGACATCTCATGGCATTTCATGGCATCTCAGGGCCCAAAGCTTGACCCAAAGCAAAGACTTTCGACAGTCTTGGTGTGCAGGCTCGATTGGATGCGCCGAGCAAACCCGTGGAATCACGGCACCTTGGCCATACCAATTGACGGGTTCTGCCCAGTCGCCCAATTGTCTTGCGATTGGCGATCCAAGCGAGGTTCCAACAGCGCCCACCCTCCTGGCTCACAATTTCCCAAGACGCCAGAGGACCTTCTATAGCCTGTCATTACTGTCCAAGTTTGCCCAGAGACTGAGATGCGGGGGAGTTACTGTTACTAATAGCGCGTCCGGGAACACACCACCGCGAAAGGAGAGAAAAAGCACGCCACGATCACAAACGTCCTTTAGTATCTGGGGAAGTGGAATCGCACACGAGATCAAAACTGAATCGCTAGTCCGCATGCCATTTAACCTCAGTTTCTTTTACGTACTGGACAAGAACTCCCCAGATTTTCCCCTCGCCATCCACAAAAGACAACTTTGTTCAGACGGCAGCGGGTCGCTGGGTGTCCAGTGTCCACTAGGGCAAGGAATCAGCCTGCCGATGGAGCTCTCGGACTGCGCCTGTTGGGTGGAACCTTTGAGCTTACTGCGACGTTGTCTCACACAGCTGACATTGCAGGCTTTAGGCTATTTGCTTCACTCGCAAGATTTACGGCGACTCTGCGAGCAAACGTCCCGTCGACTTCGGCCTTGAATCGGCCAACATGTCTTGGCCCAGTATTGCAGCCTATAGATACGGCACGATTCTAGTGTCGCCGAACCCGTGTCTCGTGCTTGATCCACTTTCCTCGGGCCAAGCACGCCTCATGCGTCTGGTGTCTCTCAATTGCGCCTATCCACGAAAAGTATGAGGCCCATGTACATGGTCCTTTTTGCGTTGGTTGTAATTGGGCGGACTGCGCCGCGATTGTGCATCAAACCGAGGGCAACCATCGAAGCGCCAGCCGTTGACCTTCCGCATTTGTGGCTTGACGGCAATGTCGGGCGACCCCTGAGCTTAATTGGGATAATGTACGGATAGTTCGGCTGCAGTCTATCATTTGCGGCTCATTTAATGTGTATATAACCATTCCAACGAAGGAAGCCTGGAAAGGAGGCCAGGTTGGGAAGGCGGGCTGGGTCTCCATGCAACCTCGAGGTCTATGATGTCTTGGTTTTATATAATCAGTGGCCGGTATTTAGAACTTGGGGTGAACAGAATGATACGCCGCCTCAAAACATACAACTCTAAAGCTGCCTCTATGCAGCCATGAACTCTCTGCATGTCCTCTAAAATGTCCGACTACGTCGTGAATGGTCCAAAGCAATGGCGTCCATCGAGCCGAGCAACCTCATCGACGTCATTAATACATGTGTCTAAGCCTTTTGGTGATAAATGTGTTGACCTGACTGCAAGACACTTCGTAGCTCGGGCCGCTCAGGAGAAGGCAATTTGAGCGTGGACGAAATTCCCTAGTGATGGTGAGGGTGTCGCCGTACTTAAGTACCTTTCAAACCAGCGCTCACTGTAGAATCGCCCCCAAGGAGAAGTCGGTATCTAGGTGAAGAAAAGAAGGCTTGCTTGCTTCGGTATCGGATTCTTCATGGAGCGACAACACTCTCACGTTGAAACAGTCTGATGATCGAGCTAAGACGACGTGAGAGATTGATGATTCTCTATGTCGCTATCAGAACCGGCGGACTTTTTGGACAGAGATGCTATGACGTGGGAAAGATCGTGGACAGGGCGGAAGGTTTTGAGGTGCAGACTCTTAAATTTGAGTACAATTCATGGCTAAGAAATGGGGAGAGAGAGAGAGAGAGCTCTTCGTCCAGCACGCTCACCACCATCATTCACTTCGCCCTAGGAGCCGCATAGCCGGGTGCTCTCTCGCCATTCATCTGCTGCTGGAAGTTTACCTAGAATCATTGCAACGGCTGCATCTAATGCTTCACAGTCTTTATGAGCCTCGGCTGGCTAGATGCGCTCATTTGAGACGTTGAACCGTGCTGCACCGATGAGCATGTCATGACTGGCCCTTGATGTCGAATTTTTTTCTTGGGGAAGTCGGCGCCGCAAGCAGGACGGTGGTGTCCCTCTCGAGTATTGTGTTACTTTATATATCAATGCTGGTGATTGGAAGAGGGCCAGGAAGCGATGTTTCGGGTAGGAGCTAGAATCCACACACAGGCCTTGCAATTTGCTCCCAGTGAAGCAAATTAGTGTAGTATTACTCGTTGTAATCCCAGCACTGCTTACCTGGGGGAAGTGGCATCAAGTGTTAAAATATAATGAGAGCAGGGAAAGACGGCCAGGTTTGGGGAGAAAGTTGAGGTGTAGAACGCTTGCGGCCTCGGTTTGTTCCTAGTCTTGATCTTGGCCTGAACAGTGTACAGATACTTCCGAGTGTCCACTAACTATTAGTACCACACGTGTTCGTTGTTCAGTAGCAGCGTTGACCAAGCGCATTGGCTTCTTGTCCGAATGCACCAACGTCAGTCACAAGCGGCGTGTGGTGAGAGGTGAAGGGGATGAATGTTGGCCAGTCGAGAGTTCCCACAAGGCTTGGTAAGTTATTGAAGCCACCTTCTACAATCCTCGGGGAAAAGGTTGCGTTAGTACGTTCAACGTACATCTTTCTCTATAGGCCCCTCCGTTCTACAAAGGTAACAGGACCGTTCACATTTACCTTCCGTTGAACCAAGGTTCAAGATCTTGCTCCATAGCGCCGTGCTTGATTTCTGCTTTTGGTCGGCCCTGGCCTATTTCTCCCGTGCCCGACAAACTAATAGAGAGGGAAATGGTTAGTCCTTTACACTCACTCTCATTGCACTCTCCATCCGAACCAAAATACCACCCAGTAGCATTTGTGGCAGCAACCCAACTCCTACGTGCATCAAATTATGAGCCAAAGTTGGAAGCAGTGGAGCTCATTGTCTGCGCTCGTGATCTCCAGGCTCTCTCGCGGTTTGATGTGGTCAAACTTCGACTGGAGCAAGCGTAGACCGCCGTCGCGTGGATGAATATCCACCAGGGCCAGTGCATCTACGACTATGACCGCTCAGTTCCCAGTCAAAATTACAACGCGATTTACGACGGTATGCCGCCTGGGGGAAGGAGGCCACGGCCACAGAGACAACCCGGTTCTAACCGTAAGTCCCAGCAAGCGACCAAGAGGTCGTTGTAGAGAATTGAAAGGCTGGGAACAGGGCTTGGACAGCACTCTGTTCTAGTCTGTGAGCGACATGCAGGGCGTAGGGAGTGTCGTTCGTTCCATGCCATGAAAATTATGATTGACGAATTTCCAAATCGAAGTAACCATTTTTGAATCAATGATCTATTCAGTAATGGGAATAACACCCTTCTTGAGGATGATGTTGCCGTACTTTCTCGTCTCCCCCGTTGCCACAATCGCGAAGGCCTTCTTGGACCTCTCGTAAAAGGCGAACCTCTCTAGCTTCTCAATTTCACCGTCGTACTTGAGCGAAGACCTGAAATCACCCTCTACACTCGCGTCAAAGGTGTCGCCCTCGACGACTTGCATCATGATGACGGGCACGACGCCGTAGTTATCCAGCTCGAAGAGCGGGGCGATGCCGGCCAACAGACGCGAGACGGTGATGCCTGGAAAATTGATTAGTGATTCCGCCGCATTGTGAAGGGAAGAAAAAAACACAGCCAAAATGTTTTTTTGGAGAGTATAGAGACTCACCGTCGGCGCGAAGCACGGGGATATGAGGCGGGCAGATTGAGTGAGAGGGGAAGTGGGCATCGGCGAGAACGATTTCATCGCCGTGACCCATTTCGGCCAGGACCTTGAGGAGGTCAGGCGAGATGACGGGGGAGATTCCCTTGAGAGGCATGTTTTTTTTTTTTTTCGGCTGGTCTGTGGCTTTGCTAGTGACGAGAGGTGGAATTATAGGTTGGTTGAGAACCTGCGAAGAGTTTTGGTCTTTTTTGTCTGTGAGTTTCTTGATGTCGTGTCGTTGGCGGTGAGGTCCCCACGCCCGTTTCGGAAAGGTGGGGTCGGCGAAGCCCCCGTACGTGTACTGAAATTCAACAAACTGGGCCATTTACGAGGGTTCATCACGAAGGAGATTCACACATGTCACTGGGTTTCATGCTTTCTCCACGAGTACATTCATAAGATGGGATGTGGAATGTCCAAAGATGGTACAATTGGACCGCTGTGATATCATTTGACACTGTTGTCACATTCTATTTGATCCTCGAATCTATTAAATTTACCCAATAGTGAACCATCCCCCTAATGAGATGTACTCCGGCCCTACAGGAAAGAAAACATTTGATGCATTGGCATAGATGCATACGATTGACAATTGACACATGAAGACCACCCATTGCTAATCCCGAGATCTACCCGCAAAGAGTGGTGCAATCTAAGATGCTGCAGCTGCGTACGAGGTATCTAGTGTTGCGTGATATAAGAGAGGTATAAGCGTGAGAGAGAGAGAGAGATAGATGAAAGTTTCGAGCTCAAGTTGTGAGAGCGAGTGATTTACTCAGCCTTCTTGGAAGTCTTGGTTCGGAGCTTCATGAGGAGGTACACCAGGGCATACGAGCTGAAGACGAAGATGACGACGATACCAGCATCGCGCCAGCCGTAGTAGTACTCCTTGAGGTTGATCGTCTTCAGATAGTCGCTGCCGTTGCTGTACTGGCAGACCTTGCACCCGGAGGTGGCATCCGGATTGATGAGGTTGCTGGCGGAGCCGACACCCTTCAAGTAGTCCGACAGGTACTCAGCGCAGGTCGTTCCGTTGATCGGGTCAAAGAGGGCAAACTCCTTGCTGCTGCACTCGACTTTGGTGCCCCAGATGTCGAAGACGAGCATGCTGCCCATGAGGTAGTTGAACGGGTTCAAGTAGTACATCCAGTACTTCCAGAAAGTCTGGAGCTGGGAGTAGGGCACGAGAACACCGCAGAAGGAGACGAGGATTCCGATAAGGAGCGGGTTGACGAGGGAGGCGAAGACGGCGTTGGGGGCGTAGGCGGCGACGAACTGGCCGATACCAGTGTAGACGAACTCGTACATGAGCATGACGAAGAAGGTGGAGCCGGCGCGGGAGGAGGCACCGGGGAAGCCGACCGTGTAGTACCAGCACACGTAGTAAAGGACGGCGCAGGCGATGAGGTAGGGGACCTCGGAGACGATGGAGCCGGTGACGAAGGCGATCCAGGAGTACATTTTGGATTTCTTCTCGCGGGTCTCAAAGATGTCGCGGCGGTCGATGAAGAGGGGTTGTACCTGGGCGAGCACACCGGGCGCGACGAAGATGAAGTTGAAGACGGTGAAGAGGCGCATCTGGAGGTCGCCTACCGAATCGCCAATCATCCAGAAGGAGAAGCCGTTGAAGAGGGCCGATGTGATGTGCAGGGTGAGCTTGTTGTTGACATAGTTGACGTTGCGGTACAGGGAGACGTTCATGCGGTGGGTGACAATCTTGATCTGGTCCATGATGGGGAGGGCAAATTCGTGTCCGTCGTCGGAGGTTCCGGGGGGCTTGGCCGCGGCGTCCTGGATCATGTGGTCTAGGTCCTTGGTGACGGCCTCGTGCTCGGGCGAGGCGAGCCAGACCTGGTTCCAATCGTTGCCCTTGGACAGGTGACCGGAGACGACGTCAATCATGTGCTCGGCGGGGTTGGCTTCCTCGGGGCAGGGGGCGCCGTAGCGGCCAAAGTAGTCGCGGATGGTCTTTGCGTTATCGCCAATGTCGCCAAAGTAGACGGTCTTGCCGCCCTTTGCGAGCAGCAACAGAGTGTCGAACTGGGAGAAGAGCTGGGCGGATGGCTGGTGAATGGTGACGAGGACAGCTTGGCCGACGTTGGCGAGCTTGCGAAGGAAGCGGACGGTGTTGAAGGCGGACTGACCGTCCAATCCGGAGGTGGGCTCGTCGAGGAAGATAAGGATGCTAGGCTTCGAGACGAGTTCCACGCCAATAGTGACACGCTTTCTCTGTTCGACGGAGAGGCCGTTTCCAGTGGTTCCAATGAGCGTGTCGGCGAGGTCGTGGAGTTCCAGCAGGTTGATGATCGTGTCGACGTAGGCCAGCTTCTCAGCGCGAGGGGTATCACGGTTCTGCCTGAGCAGAGCCGAGAACTCCAACGCCTCACGGACAGTCGCGTAGGGCTCGTGGACATCAAGCTGCTCGCAGTATCCGGCAGACCGTTGGAAGGACATGGGCAGTTCTCGGCCGTCGACCATGATGGAACCGTGGATGGTACCGTCGGTCTTACGCTGGGCCAGGACATCGAGCAGTGTAGTCTTTCCGGCACCGGAGGAGCCCATCAGAGCGCCGAGCATGCCGGGCTTGACCCATCCCTGGACGTTGTCCAGCAAAACGCGATCTCCGGAGGGGGTCTTGACAGTGTAGGTGAGGTTCTTCCAGGTGAAAATCGAGGTGTTGCGGACGAGGTTGTCGTCATTGCTGTCACTGTCTTGCTTCTCGTTCTCGGCCTTACCATTGTCGGCGGCGGTCTCCTCGGAAGACTGGGCTTCTTCGTCGTTGCGGATGGCCTGGTGGATGTGGGCGTTCTCACGGGGGATGAGGAGAGACGCTCCGCCCTCGGCAGACGAGCGCCATCTCGAGGTAGCGAAGATGGTGATGGCGACGAAGAGAAGCCACCAGGCCCAGACGATGCCAAAGTTTCTCCAGACGTGGCTGTGGCTGTAGGACAGAGCGGAGAGGTACTGTTCACCGGTGAGCGTGGTCGATCCCTGCACAGCGCCGGCGACACCAGCACACGACTGGTGAGCGAGATCATTGTATCCTGGGCCGTGCGGTACGAGGTTGTTCCCAACGCAAGGAATCAGTTGTCCGTAGAACTCGGTCGACATCAGAGAATCAAAGGCGTATGACAGAGGGTTGATCCTATACTCACGCGTCAGTTGCTTGACCATTCGGAAGGAACTCGAAGTCGTTACTCACCAGAAGATCCAAACAAACCAATCGTGCATCTGAGCCTTCTCAATCATGTAACCACAGTACATGACCACAGCGCTGACCATGAAACCAGAAGCTTTCGAAGCGGCGTCAAAGGTTGCAAATCCCGCGCCGATGGAACGGAACAGTGCAGTCATACACTACGGTCGGGTCAGTTCACACTCGGAAAAAAAGAAGGTAGCAACAATGCTTACCATGGTAGTCGCGACGACGACAATCCAGAAAGTGAAGAACGCCGCAGCAGATGTCTTCAGTCCGACCATAAAGTACAGCACAATAGAGAAGACGGAGACTTGGAACAGGGTAACCGGAATGTCAGTAGCGATCTGCGCAATGCAGAAGGCTGCAGGGTGATAGAATGCAAAGGACTTGTGCTTGATCAAGACGGGACGGCCAGTGAAGGAGCTGGTGACTTCGGCCATGGAGATTAGACTGTTGAAGAGGAGGGCGAAAAAGAGGGCACCACCCTTGAGGAACAGACCGCCTGACGTATTGGGAGCCTTATAGAAGAGGGATCCGGCGATGAGGGCCTGCGCCAAGGTAGACACCTGCGTGATGATCAAGCTCGCCTTGTCACCCCAGAGGATCTGGTATTGTCTGGTGATACAGGCCCTGACCTGGGTGTAGAAACTAGTCGTGAGAGCGCTGTTGGCGGGCAGCTGCTTGTGCTTCTCGCCCTTGACGCCCTCCTTGAAGAGCCTCGTCTTCTCTTTGGTCTCCTCCAGGGTCGGGAAGTCGTATTCGGCAATCATGCGTGGGTAGATGTCCGACTGTTCGTACGCAGTTCGCACCGCATCGGGAGTGCGAGGGAACGACTTTTCCTTTCCTTGCTGGATGGCTCTTTCCGTGGGAACGGTGACACCGGTCAGGTAATCACCCACGTTGGCGCCGTCGGAGCAGATGAAGCCGAGTTGCTCCATGAAGGGTTTGGCCTCCTTCATGGGTCCATAGTACATCTCCTTGCCGTTGTCGAGCACGAGGACTTTGTCAAAGAGGTTGTAGATGCCGTTACCCGCCTGGTAGAGGGTGACGATGGATGCAAGACCGAGGACGTCGGTCATGGCACGAACCGCCTTGGTGTACTCCAGGGCCCTGGAAGGTGGTCAGTCTACATGTTCATCAATCTTTCCTGGATTGTTGTGGAGGCCCCAAGACAAAGCCAATCAGTGACAACTTACGTGCTGGCGTCCAAGCCTCGGGTACTGTTATCCCAGCAGAAGACTGATCCTCTTGTTGCCATACACTCAATGATGGATACACGCTTCCTCTCACCACCCGAGACTCCACGAACGAACTCGTTGCCGACCTTGGTGTCGAAGGTGTGTTGGATTCCCATGGACTCGAGGAGGAAATCTCGGTTCTCCACCCGCAGCTCTTCGTTGGATGCAACGCCGTCGGGAAGGTGGAATGGAATCTTGAGGCGGGTAGCGAAGTCAATCGTCTGGCCGACCGTCAGGGTGGGGAAAAACAATTCTTCCTCGGTGTTCATGACGATTTGTCCTTTGTATTGCTGGGCTTCCTCGGCAGCCATGGAGCCATAGTGAACATCGCCAGTGACTGAGGTGTATCCTCGGCGGTGGTTCGCCAAGATGTTGAGCAGCGTCGTGCATCCTGATCCTGGTCGGCCGAGGACCAAGAGCATCTCACCCGGCTTGACACAGCCATGTGTCTTATCCAAAATGGTCTTCAGAGGAGGCTTGTGGCGGGACTCCTTGACGAGCCTGGGAATGTTGAATTGGGAGAAGATGTTTTCGTGAAGCGACGCGTCGGCGCTGACAGCCTGAACAGTGAGGTTCTGCCATGTCACGCCCAGCTCACGGGCAGGAAATCCCGAGCGTTCATCTCTCTGTCGAGCCGCTTCGACCTTGTGCTTCAGGCCCCATGTGGTATCGTCGGGTAGGTTGTTGAGTTCGAGGGATTGCTCATAGTTTGAGCCGCCTCCCAGCGTGCCGTCAGACTCCATGATGCCTGCACGTGTTGACGAAGAGCCCGATAGTATCTCTTTGTTGTCAGGTGTGAAGGTCATCATTGAAGGAGGAAGCAGAAAGGAGAATAACAAAAAGGTTGTGGAGGAAGCTTATAGTATATGAAGAGTACCGAGCAACTGTTTATTTCTCTCTCTCTCGGCCCCTTAGCTTCGGCCGGACTTGTTGTCGGTTTCGGCATCAAGGGGAGTGACGGGATGCCGATAGAATTAGATTACCACCTCAGATCTCTGTGCTACCCCTTGATCGTATAATACGGGTCTTCATCGGGCCCAGCGGAGAGATAGGCAGATTGGAGGGAGTGGCCATGGCATCAAGGCGTCCCAGCCAGGTGTCCCATCATCCCGTCTATGATGACGAGATGCGCGGACGAAAAAAGCTTCTGGAACCCCATGTCCATAGTCCGAAGTGCGTGCTGACACGGCCTCTGTCCGCTGAATAATGTGGTCTTCGTCCCACTTGATAAAGGAAAAACAAATTGGTTTGTTGGACGAACCCTGCATTCCACGTCGTGGCATGTGGCTCCTGAGTCCTGGAGCCCTTCGGCGTTGGACCCTGTCCGTGACGGGCGGGACGCCGTGGCGCTAGACTGGGGCCATCCGTAAATTTGTCCTCGGGAGCCCTATAAGCCATAGCCTAAGATTGGACCAAACGTGTCATTGATTGGATCGACTCCGCTGACTCAGCGGCGGCCTCGTGTAGAACGTAATGTCCTAGGGCCTGCGCTAGGCTAAGCTTGGACCGGTAGGGATGGTGTGGATGGGTGATAACCCTCCGATCTGGCCGGCGCGGCATATGTGGAAGGCCCGGACATAGCCTTAGACTCTGGAGATGACGATGGAGCCGCCTGAAGTTTTGCGTCCGGGTTTCACCCTTGTGGCCAGTCAGAAGCCTCCATTCAATTAAGGTTTGCTCCAGCCTGCGCCTCGCCGCTTAGTCATAACGAAAACGTGGCCGCTGTGTCAGCGGGGATTCCGATACATCAACCAAAGGCGGGAACGACAGCCCGCTGCCAGCCAATTCCTTCAACTCTTTCGGCGTGAGAGACACAGCTGGCAAACCGGCCACTTTACCGACGCGGCTTATTTTCTTCGGTCTCTCTTTGTCTATTCCCTCCTCGGAACAATCTGCGTGCCGCGCTGGGCGGCGGCCTTTCGTCGAATTAGAGGCCAACATGAGGAAGAGAGCGTGTGATTCCTGTCACAGGAGAAAGGTATGATTTCCGGCCCGTTTTCATGTTGAGTTGAGTAACTGTCTCACCACATGTGCTGATTTTTATCTTATTTTTTTTGTCGCTCGGTAGATCCAATGCGATGGAGCCGTCCCACAGTGCAACTGGTGCAAGCACCACGGAATGGCGTGCACTTTCAACCGGGCAACCAAGGTGAAGAAGCGGGCGGCTACAGCGAGGTGAGCCTCCGGCACCGTCCCCGTCCCCGTGGATCACCCCTGAAAGGACCCACCCTTTCGGAAGGTTGAGAAATTAACAGAGAGATCTACGACCCGTGCAGGGCGGGATCAGAAAAAGACCTGGTTGAGCGCCTCAACCGTATAGAGAAGGCCTTGGAGGCGGCTCGGCGGAACCAAGATGCAGGGGGGGAGGGGCGGGATGATTCCACCTCTCCATCGTCATCCTCGGCGCCCATGTCCACTATTGGGCTGGATCCCCCGGCCGCCGACGGCCTTCCGGACACAGCCCAAGACCGACCGTATGACTCATCAGCCCGGGCTTCCGACGCTACCGTGGGAAAGCTGCACTTCGCCGGCTACTACCTGGGAGACGTTAGCTCTTACAATGGTATACCCTTCTTCTCCGTGGACGGCCAAGAGTGGATCCGCTCGCGGGCTGGAGAGGATGCCTCGTTCCAAACCCTCTTTGGCATGGGCCCGTTGTGGCAGACGCAACACCCAGTACCAATCGTTATAGATTTCCTAGAAGGGAGTTCTAGTGGAGAGCTGCCTGATAGGACTGTCGTTGAAGAGTATCTCGCCCTCTTCCGGGCATCCCAATTCGGCCTATCGTTCCCAGTCATCGACTTTGTCCTCTTTGGCGAGACAATTGAACTGGCGTATCAGCCGGTCCATAGTAAAGCAACTCTCGAGGCCGTGACAGCAAAGGCCTGTGTGTTTGCTTTCTTTGCTGTCGTTTCCCTCTTTCAGGGAGAATGGAACTCAACACCCGAGATTGACGGAGCGGCGTGTGCCGGTGCAGCCCAGAAACTGGTGTCAGTCATTCTTCAGGGCACCAACATCACCACTCTCGAGACCGTCTTCATGCTGGTAAGTCTCCGACACCACGGAAACTTCAACTGAAAACCCTTTTTGCTAATGCTTCTCACCATAGGGCATGTACCACCTTTTTTGCGGTCATTTGCAACAAGGTGCCATGTTCCAGGCCGCAACATGTCGAGTCTTGTTCATGCTTGGCGCGCACCTCGAACCCGGAAACAGCCGCCCCACCCCATGCCAGACGCCAAAGCCCGCTGAAGACGACCACACCTCGCGCGTGAGGAATCAGCTGCGTAGAATGTTCTGGCTGACCTTCAAGTTAGACAAGGATATCTCGCTCCGAACAGGCCAGCCTCCGAGCATAGACGACGAGCACTGTGATTTAACGTTGCCAAAGATGGATTGGTGGATACGAAGCATAGACGATCTCGCCGGCGGGTCACCGTCTTTCCTCGACGAGGCCACAATCACGTCAGCCCTCGCACCCGACTCTCTACAGTTGACAATCATCAAGTCCAAAATCTCCACGAAGCTGTACTCCGCGTCAGCTCTGAAGAAGGGCGATGCAGAGCTGCTCAGGGACATTCGCGAGCTCGACGACGAGCTCGAACGATGGCGGACGTCCGTACCACCCTCCTATCGGCCGACGTTGACCTTCCCCCGGGGTACGGCAGTCGTGAGAAAAGGTCGGCTCGGCATGGAGGAGATTATTATGCACTTTGAGTATCATTATCTGATGGCCATGATTCACCGCGCCAGCGGGAGATGCCGCTGTTGGGCAAGCGGTGAAGGCAGCGGGTTGGAGGGCGTGACCTCGAGCCACGCCCTTTCCGTGCAGGCCAGCCGATCTACGCTCTATTTCCTAAAGGCAGCGATCCACGGCGTGGAACAGGTGGCATTTTGGTAAATCTCACTACATGGGACTTTGGACTACAGATTCATAAACCTTGCTAACTTTGAATGTCCAGGATGGTGGTGTTTTACCCAATGTCGGCAATTCTGACAATCTTTTGCAATCTCCTCCTGCAACCTCTGCACCCCCAATCCGAGGAAGACATTGAGCTTATCAAGTCGGTCCCGGAACTCATCGAGGGCATGCGGAACCGTCATTTGACGCCGAAAGAGGTGGCTCACGTCAAGGTTGTGCACGCTTTTGTGGCGGAGCTCACTCGGCTGGGCAATTGCGCTATTGCCAAGGCGCGGCGAGAACAGAAGCTCATTTAATGAGAAGACGTGACTTGTGTGTGTACAATGGATTCTGGGATACAGCGGGAGCGTGGTGTTGGGGCACAGCGCTGGCAAAGGTTTATGGGCTTGTAATAGGGACATGGATGGGGGACACCTCATATAGATGTGTACGAAATGTAGTATCAGAGTCATGTTACATGTTTACTAGAAAGCTCTCGATTCTCAATGTAGGTCTTGCTGTCAGTCAGTCGTATCGTGTACTTCCGTAGACTCCTCCGTCCTGCGAGTGATTACACGTCTCCCTCGAACATGTTGCCACACAAGGGTCGTACGCGTTGCGCAAAGTCCGCTAGCGTAGGAGTTGATTTCAATGAACTCCTTAAAGCTGGCCTCCTTCTCTAGGAGGAGAAGAGGACTCTCCCTGCTTATATACATAGCTAGCACCCTTCCAACGTGGCCACGTTTCGCACTTCTGCTACTCTGGGGAAGCATATCGAGAGCGGGGGAACACTCCTGACTATCTAGACGCTTCATCCCTGAAGTGACTAAACCCCGCCCACGATATCCACCTTTGTGAAGGTGGCGATCTCCTTTCTTGTTGGCAGGGTTTAATCAGATTTCGTTTTCTTTCAGTTCTACAGAAGTTACAAACGGGTTGGATGGCGTTGTGATAAAGGGCTGGAAATGATATGATTACATCCAATCTCATATTCTAGAAGGCCAGAAATTCAATGTCTAGGATAAGTAACTTTTAAGGTCACATAATTAAAAACCGGTTTTATTTAAATCTGAATAAACGTCTTTAGATACTGAGTTTTTGACAATCATTGTCAGTGGTTTTTCTTGCTCGCTCTGTCTTCAGCCCGATCATCCAGGCAAACACACATCGTAATAGAGATGGCTAGAACACCTTATTTTTTGGAGATATTGCTCGGGTGAACTAATCTTTGTTTTGTGACTATAAGTAGAACAGAGCAATCAGTCCTGCTGTGTCGAAAAGCGACACGGGGATATCATTTGTTTTATCGCCGCAGGCTCTACTTTCTGTTGGTAGACGAGCACAATGATATTTAAGTGGCTTAATTATATACTCAGAAACGTTTCATATAGCGAAGAACCTTGTACTGTTCGGCAATGGATCATGCGATAAGTTCTCAAGGCTGAAGGCACGTGACCTCATCATCAAAACCTCTCCTGAAGAACAAGCCCCGACGTCGCCGCATGATTACGTCACTACACGGTGCAAGTACTTTTACGGCGTTACTTGCCTTTGAATTTCGGCAGCATAACTAGTCTGTTATTCACTGGCCCAGTGAGAAACGTGTGGTAGTATAGCCTTTCATGACGTCCCCCCCCCCTCTCTCCCCCGCGGAACGCGAGTCGTGTCTCTCGGAACAAATTGGAGCTACGGAGAACTTTGAGTATTGGTTGGCAGAAGCTCCGTCGGATTGTGAGACCAGCCGCCCGCCCGCCGCAATGGCCATGCTTGAAATGAAGGCATAGAAAGGTGTCAGTCAATTCCGTCCGGCGGCGCCGGGGAGGGGGGCTGATTGCACGGATCGGGGGCCGATGCAAGCTTCTGGAGTCTTGGCGACCAGATAATTCGTGTAGCTAAGGTAGCGACCACATCATCAATGTCCGTAACACAGCATATTGAGCATTCTAGGTTCACGGCGTAGTCCTCGTTACTAGAACGAGTGTACTTTGTACATCTTAATAACATATTTACAATAGAAGTTAATGGGAAACCATAGCTCAAGCCTTGAAGCTAAATTATGTGGAAAATCGGAATCAACTACCATCCGAATCAATTGCGTAATTTTAATTAATAATGGATTCCTAGAAGCATTCTCAACTATGGATTACTAAATACCCAAAAGTAAGCGTCCCTGGAAAAGGATGGTCACTGCAATTTTAGAGAGGCCGTGGTTCTTCCATGTCCTAAAAACCAGGTTTTCAAGTGCCGACGTTGCAAGCTCCGGTAGTACCGGTAGTACCGCCGCTTTGGATAGATAATAAGAGCCACATAAACTCTATTCTGTGGGATTGTGAAGCAGAACGAATCATGTTAGGGAAAAGGCCCATGGGGTCCCAATTGAAAGTCTCGTCCCATGTTTGACTCCTGTTAAAGTATAAGCCGGCATTTTAGGTTCTCGTTTCGTGTATATCTGCCCTCTGCTCGTCTGTGCTCCTATAGTAAGCGTAACTTGACTCGAGACACCAAGCATTTTTTTGGCCACACTCGTTCTCCGTCAAAGACCCCTTCAGTCTGTAAACAAAACAAATCTTCGAAGCCGATGAAGCAAATAGGGTGGTGCCTTAGAATTGATTGGGTAATCTTGCTGTTTTCGCCGCTCTGCTGGACCTGGCATCTTGCGGATACACGGCCAAATACCACACTGGGGTGTCGAACAAGACAATATAGGTCCTTGTCGAAGGAGACGGCCCCTCACTGGTTGTCTGGCCGTCTTTTGACCGGACCAGTATCGATAATTTTCACGGGTTTTCGATCGCCCTTGACCACGCCGCCGGCCAGTGCACCGCAAAGAACATAGCCGACATAACCACTTCCAACCCGGAAAAGGTGCTCTCCATCGTCCTAGCATATGTCCAAACCGGCAACAACACCAATGCCACCATCGCAGCTACGGCGACCATTTTTTAAGCAACTATAGCAATCCTGTAAAGAACAGGCTTGCAATTTAGGGAGGATTCAGTAAAGAGCAATCTGAATAGTATCGTCCAAGCTATCATTTACAAAAGCTGCCCTGCGCCAATGTGGGAACGATACTGAAGCTTTTGAATGAATTTCGGATTATAGCGGGGGGTTAACCACAGAGTCGGGCCCGGCCCCGGCCCAGGACCCACCGTCTCCGGCAAAGCATCGGACATTTCCTCCGAAATGTGGCTGGTGTCCAACTAAGGGGAATCGGAGCCGAGCCAACCACAGAGCAGTCCGCTCATTCCCAAGGCTTATCGAATCAGGATTCAGCAAAGCCGCTTGCTCAAAGCCGACCTAATTAGCACACACGCAGGTGAAAGAAACGCCACAAATTTCCCTTCATATCTTCTGCCCAGTAGCCGTTGCCATTCTCCCACTCCTTTTCAAGTCCAGGCTGCGCCACGTTCCACGGTGCCGGGAGGAGCGCGATACTAATCCCTTGTCCTGGATCGGACACCCCCTCAACGCACCGCACCACGAGAACAGTATGCCCTCTTTCCCCGCCCGTTAGTCTCGCGCAGTTGGAGAAATAACACCAACGGCTGGGAATCGGCAGCTATGTGGGTGGTGCAGGAGCACGCATATTTGGGCCGCCCGTCTAATCAAGCGTCTGCAAACTCGTCAGTAGGTCAGGCCCCTCGCAGCTCTCGCAAACCGAGCCCGAATATGCATCCATCACATGACGCCAACAGTGTGTTCTACCTCGAGTCGACCTCTGTGAGGTTAGACCGGCGCGGCTGGTTGGCTTGGGTACTTGTACTTGCATGCCCTAGTGTCACCGACTCTTGTCCCTTCCAATGCTGAGCTGAGATGTGACAAAGACTGGACGGCCGGTGTGCGCGGCGTGCGCCTGCGCCCGCGCGACTTTTCGAGGATCAATTGCTGTTCACAGGACGCGGAGCAAACGAGTCCATCAGGCCGGATTGACAGATGATCCAACGCCTGGCCTGTCTGCGACCCATGATACAGCCCGCACATCTGGCGTTGATTCAGCTCGGGGCACTGCGTAAGCGCTCAGCCCTACCTAGAGAGTCTGCATCTAGTGTAATTAATAATTCGAGAAGCGAGGAAGGGTGAGCCAGAGATGTGACTTGATCGTTTCCCTCATCCTTCCCACCTCAACCGATGACCCCAAATCAAGGCCCTCACGCATCTCGGTATCCAGAGACAACGATTCCCAGGCTACTTACCTTTTTTTTCGGTATTTGCACCTCGTTCTGAGGTTGCAGTGTGTGGCCGGCAGGCGTGGCTTGTGTGATGAAGGGTGCGCCCACATCAGACGAAGGAATTTGCTTGCAGGCCCAGATCGGTAACCGCCCGCAGGAGATGCAGATTTCTTGCCCCAATTCGTAGCAGCGTCTAGGCGTTGGAAAGAGCCACTTCAGATTCTCCTTGTCCTAGGTAGGATTCTTGGGCTCATGGTCCGGAGACCTGAGTTCTGTTCCGGCACAACTTCTGCCTCACTCTCAGTCTCAACAGATGCGAGGGTCTGTGCCGCCCCCGGTCCCCTGGATCTGCAGAGCAGCAATCAGGCTGAAAAGAACCCTACACCGAGGTTGAATTTGTACCCTACGGCTCCCTGTTCTCCAACGTTGGTTGGCGGACAATTATGACAGTCTGTTGGCATTGGTCGAGCCACGTCGACTCACCTGAAGGAGTCGCCGGTCCTGTGGACGAGCCGATGCAATCATGAGCTGCATTAGCTTGCTCGGCAAGGTGGATATTGGGCTCCGCAAGAAAAGTGCTAGTGCAGAACGCTGATGAACAGTTCATGTTACGAGACCAACTCGCCATCGTTCTGCGTGTGCAACAGATAGAAGTTGAAGTCGGAAGAAAAGATTGTGGTATATTGAAGCATCGATGCAACTCCTTTTTTTTTCCGTGTGTAATAGCCCGTTGGCCCGGCCTTTTCCCCCGATGGTATCGTAACATACGTTGCCTTGTTAAACGACCGCCGTCTTACCGTGATCATTTCAAAATAAAGGGGCCTGGAAATAGTTGGGGTTGCCCCCCCGGACTCGTCCGCCTCCATCTCCATCCCCGGACCGGTTCTCGTGCGAGTGAAGTCACTGACATTCAGCCAAACACAAGGCCAAACTTCATGCTTGCCGCCACTTGCCTCCACAAATCCGGACAGGCCTCAGAACCCACCTGCTCCTTGCCGTAGGCTCGCATGTCCATTCTTCTCCACACGTCCATGACAACAGCCCACGGCTTTTCCGTGTCAACCACACCAGTCTTGCTGCCAAAGGCAGTAAACGCCTGCCGTACCAGGCCTCGGTCCCTGCTGCAGATGGCATGACAAGCCGAGAAGAAGAGCGGCCACAACAGGGAGAGTCCTGTTCCGCCATGTGACACCGACGCCGCGCAGTGCCATAGAGCCGCCTGCGTGTGTTTCTGCACCAAGTGATGTGATGACGGGTATTCCGAAACGGTACTGTATAGGAATACCAAGGCGCTCTGTCTGTATGCAAGTGCCGTACTCGTGATCCACCGGATGTTGGCAAGCTTCGCCTCTGATGCGCTTTCGGGGCCGTCTACGATGCGGTTGACCAAAGAAAAGCCAGGTGGCAGAATCGGACTCCACGACTCTAGGGATTTCTCGATTGCCTTGTAAGTCGTTTGGTATTCGGTACGGAGGACAGCAAACTTGGAGGTTTGCCCCGTCGCCGTGGCGGCTTGAAGCTCGCGCTTCATCGCCATGAGCTCTGCAAGGCGATGCAGTGTAGGCCAAAGATCATTGGCCATACCCAGCACGGGGTCGATTCCACCAAAGATGACGGGTGGTGGCGAGCTACTCGGTGTGTAAGCTCGATTTGAGGGCGCTGCGAAAACGGGAGACGAGGCGTTCGTTAGGGCGTTGAGCACATCAAAGTAGCGAAATACCTGCCCGCCGTTAGAGATATTGACTGCTAGACGTCAGATGTTTTCAGCTTACCTGTTCAAAGAATACAACACTCAGAAGCTTGGGGGACGGCATGGCACAAATAAAGTGACGTGCACCCTGGAGATGATTATGGACAACGTTTGCTGAGCTCCGCTGTACCACCTACGCTGCCAGTAAATGGATGCGTCCATTATGAATCTTGAATGGAGGCTTTTACTTACCAAGTCGTACTGAATTAGTAGAATAATTGTTGCCAGAGCTTCTTCAAATCCGTCTCCATCCTCGATAATCGCAGACAGACCAGCCACAGCCCTTTCATGGAAACACGCAGATCCCTCCGTGGTCTCAAGGCCGGCATATTCACGATGAGCGCTAGCCAACGCGTAGATCGCACTTCGAACGGCGGAACTCCTATGTGCAAGGGGCAAGATGTGCTTCCCAAAGGGGTTTTCAACATCATCAACAAACCCCATTGTCGGCAACATGACCTTGGAGTAGTGATCTAACAAGCCGGTGTTCTCCGGGCAATCGGGAATGGCGTGGTAAGACGGTGGCAGCAGATCTAACAAGGGCGGAGATGCGGTCGACCAGGGTTGCTCGTTCCAAGGTACATCAAATTTGGCGTTCATGAAGTAATCATCTGCCGGCTGCTGCAAGCCATGGTCGATAGTCGCAAAATGGAGCGGGAGGTGGATATCGGCTGATTTTTGACAACCCAGATCCGCCACCATTGTGAAGCCGCCCCCGTAGGTTTCCGAGGCCTCGAAGGCAAATTCGTAACTGCCTGTGTCGTCGAGATCTTCATGAAAGGGAAACACGGCTTCGATTGAAGCAGAGTAGCAACTGTCAACAGCCGATGTTGGAGAAAGAGTATCTTCGGCGCCTAGTTGAAGGGCATCGGGTGGGGTGACGATATTCGTATCCGGACTTGTCTGAAAATCTGTGTTGCCTGTCGGACTGCTCGAGTCGTCTGACGCAATGGAGTCTTGAGCGTCCACTGCTCTGGCGGAAGTTCTTCTCTTTCTCTTCTTGATCGGTTCATATACGCAGACAATACCGGCCTGCACACAACGAAGGCACTGGGGATGCTCCTCTGAGCACTTCTTTCTCTAACAAGGTGTGGGTAAGAGGTTCATGAGTAGGGTGGACCAAAACAACCAACCTTGTCACGACTGTAACAATATGTCATTAGGTAACTGATTACACGTAGTGATTTGAGGAGGAGACCCGAAGGTTGACTCACCAGTATTTGCATCCTGAAATCGATTACAAAGCCCATGTCAGAAATCTCGGGTTTGAGGCTGCCATGGAGGGAGGCGTCATACGAACCTGCTCTCGACCGCGTCTTGGTCGGCCGTGGACGAATCGGCTGAGTGACGAGCATGATGCTTTTTAGCACGAAAGCTCTGCGTGATGATCCAAGAGATCAAGTTGAGGATAGCAAGACGGAGGCTTAACAACCTTCCCGTCACATTAAAGTTGCATCAAATGCCGGCAATGCGTCGCAGCAGAAACTTGCAGCTGAACAAATAAGTGATGACCGAGCAGCAGATGCGGTGGTATTTCAACGAGCCATGCCGTGGACTGACAGGGTTCCCCAATTTACCCCAGCTTCCATGAGGGGGAAGAGGTGAGAGCTAGAGAGGGCTAACAGGAGACTCTCGACAGATTTGGAGACATGCCGAACAACACCGGGTTCCCGCCCTTACGCCCATTTGGACACGACCGGGACCCCGGAGTGACCCCAGAAGATATCGAACTAGACAGCGAGAGTGTGCAGTCAGCAAATTAACCGGAAATTCTTCCAACATCCTGGTGATCGGTCGGACGAGAGAGTTTTATGGGGTTCGACGTGCGTTTGTGGGGGAGGATGGGGACCGGTTGGTTGTGAGCCAGCCAGCCCGCTTGGCGACATCTGACATGCAAGGGTCGAAAACACACCATACCGACCCCTCGCCAGCCACGATGCGGTAGCAAGTAGTTTTCTCGTTAGTCCCATCATCCGATCGGCCGTTGCTTTCCCCATATATCTCGAGACAATTTGAAGATCTTGGCTTTGCCACCGGACTCAAGCGCGTCGAGAATGGGGGAAAGGGTCGACGTGGCTCCGGTCCAGCCTCCAGTTTGCTACGGGTGTGTTTGAAGCAATGGAAGCAATGCCCATGCCATACATGCTTCGATCTGAACCATCGGAATACTCTTGCCCAGTGAGTCAAGAGAGAAGCAATTGGTATTGTGCTCGTTCAACCCAAGAATCGGTTTGTTGGACAGTGTTGCCCCCTATTAGTGGTGTGATGTTATTTTCACTGACGATCTTGACGCAGCTGATGACGGCGGGAAATGGCTTGTCAAGGTACGTAGCCCGAAGCGGCATATACCTACCATGATTGGCCCTCACACGTTCTGTATAATGATCTAACCTAAACGCAAGCCAAGTCTCGGCTAAACTTACTAGTAAATGTGCTTGAGCCACAGACGCTCATACAATAACCTTGAAAGCCACCTCCACGTGCTCATACACAGAGTCATCAGATTTGACAAGAAGGACCCCGATACAATCGGCCAATGAACTCTCTGTTTGAGTGAGTCGGATATATTTGTACGGAAATGACAACTCAGCCTGGTGGCGTTAATCCGTTTTCGCTCTTTGAGAATAAGTAAACAGAAAGGTAGTTAAGGTTACGAACAGCTGAGCTATCAAACGTATTATCTCGTGGGAGCTCATGCAGAGATGCCTTGAAGGGTCGATACGAAGACAGATTCCGTTTGTAATAGCATGTTTGTTAGAGGTAAACTTACACTACCAGCAACCCTTGACCGCCTATCCACAGTCTCTCTCAGAAACTCTTTGTACATACATGGCTTGGAGTATTCTCGCGATGAAAATTCATCTTGTGTGAAACCGGCTGAGAACTCAAGAAGAGGTGACGAGGAAACCACTACAGGGCGATCCGACAGTATCTGTGCACTTGGAATCGCCGGGATCAATTGTGTAGGCGTCAGGCCCAATGCAGTTATAGGACGTGCACTGGAAAGCCACAGAGAACGAAGCCACCCAGTCTCCATTGGATGGGTCCTCGAGAAAGTCCAGGTAGCACGTCGATACGAATCCCTGGGTGCCTTTACGCGAGATCTGGCATTGGCAGCCAGCCACACTGTTGGTTTACGTAATCACAGGGTGATTTGTTCGATCGAACCGTAGTGACGAAGGGTCAATTACTCTTGTATTAATCTCTACGTGAAGTAGAAAAGAGAGGTTCCACCCATTAGTTAGATCGCCGGTCAAACGCTAAAATAGAGACCCTCAGATGGCCCCTACGCTGGCGCTGACTTGAGGTCGAATTAGGCTTCTAATCCGATACTAACTATCTCTCTTTTATTATTAATCTCGTACGATTAAAAAAGCAATTTAATAATCTTATGATAATATATAATACGCCGATAAAAATAATATTTATAATTCCTTTTTTATTTCCTTTTTAAGCCCTTTCTATATAACTTATCCTTTTATATATACTGTAATTATTCCGTTATTAATAAATCGTTCTAAACCTAAGTTTAGGTTCTATTTAGTAAAAGCGTTTATTAAATTATTTTTACCGTTAATCTAACGGATCTTAAAAATCTTACGTCGCTTATATAATTACTATAAGGCTATAATATCTATTATTAGCTTTTTCTCTTTAATAATACCTAACTTAACGAGGCACTTATATAATAAATAAGAATCCATATAAATAATTATTAATATTATAAATAAGGTTAATCGATCCGTAATCCGTTTAAAAATAATAAAGATCATATAAATAAAGTTAACACCGTTAACTATCTTATAAACTTTTAAAGCTAAAACGCTTTTAGTCACTTTTTTACTTTTAATTAATAAATAATAGACGATATTATTATATATCGTGAATTCGTCGTCTCTTATAGCCTCATTTATTAAAATAATAATATATCCGAATTAAAAAGTTAAATTTATATTATTTACAAACGATCCGTTAATAAAAATATAAAGCTTAATAGAGGCTAGATTTAATAAATAATAAGTTAGCCCGTAATTTAAGTTTACTATTTATTAGCTTAGCCGTTTATTTAGCACGGTAATGTTTTTTTTATTCAGATCTATAGCTTATATTATTTTTATAATATCGAACGTTATTTTAAGTTAATAAATATTAACGATATATAATCCTTTTACTTACTCTACTTAATATCTCTTTTATTAGTTATATAATATAAAGTTAACGAGGGTAATCTTTTTATTTTACCTTTTTTAATAGAAAATAATAATATCGCCTTTAATTATAAAGATCCCGCCGTTAAATATTAATAAATAATTAATAATAAAGATCTTTTTTAGTTTAATAGTGAATCCGGCTTTTTTAAACTTTTTATTTTCTTTCCGTATAAATTTAATATTAAATACGCTTAATATATCGTCGGTTTATATACTAACGATCTTATAAGGTCCTTTTAAATAATTAAAGATTAATAAATATAAATCGTAAGTTAATATAATTATACTTAGCTATTTAATATAGAAATCGTAATAAGTCGCTTACTAATAGGTTCCCGATTCTATTAGCCTATATAATAGTTTAAGCATTTTAATAATCGTGCCTTTTAAATACTTATTAATTATCTTTTTTAGAAGATAAATAAAGATCTTCCGTATTAAATTAATAACGGATTACGTATATACTTACGTAATATCCTTATTTTATATATAATATCCGTCTTTAATAAAGGAAAGGATTAAAGCTAATATTAACCGTTAACTACTCTTTTAAACCGTCGGTAATTATATAAGTAATTCTGCTTTCTTAACGTCGCTATATCCCTAGATTACGTAATAAGATTTCTTATACGGCGTATTAATTCCCTTACCTTTAATCTTTTAAACTATACGTAACTTAAAAATCCATAAATTAACGTACTTATTTAAATTATATAAAACAAAATAATATACGCCTCGATCTCATAAGGTTTCTATTTTAACAATATCTAAAGCCTTATAAGGCTTATCCTCTACGATAATAATCCTTTTCTTTCGTAATTTAAAAGCTAATTTAAAATCTATTTTCTTTTTAACTAAATAAAAAATATCGGTATAATTATTAATTAATCCGCTATAATTAAAAAGCTATAGAATTAAGTTTTTTTAAAACCGACCTTACCGCCGTCGCGGCGGATTTAATAATTAATTATTTAATTTATTAATTACGACGATCTCGTTAAAAACGATTTTTAATTAATCGATCTAATCTTCGCCCTTTTAAATAAAAAGTAACTATTCGACTTCCCTTAGCTTTTCTTTTTTTTCCTTATAAATTATCTCTTTATTTATTTAGTTATACGGTTAAATTGCCGTTATTACGACCTTAAATAGTTAGTCTCGATTTTTTATAATTATATAAAAACGCTCGTCGATAAAGACTAATTTATATAGTCTAGTTTATTTATTTATAATATCTCTCTAAACCCGTATATTTAAATTTAATAGGATATTAAAATTTTATAATATATTAAACCTATTACGTACCGCTAAGGCTTCGTTAATTTACTTTTTTATTTTTAAATCCCGTAAAGCTCGTATTACCTTTTTAATTATTTATACTTTTTAAATAATATTAAGCGACGGCGGCGATAAAATAATAATTTTAAAATATAATTTAAATATTAAAAATATTAAAATTAGACCTTACGGTCCGGTAATATTATTATAATACTTTAATATTATTTATAAATAATCGTCGTTTATAAAATCCGGGCTTTTATTTTTAATAATCTTAAACGCTTTTTTTAATTATTAATAGGCTCGTTCGATCTTACCGATATTATAATAAGCCTTAATTAATATTACTCTTAACTCGATCCTATATAATCTAGCATTCTCTTTAAATTTAATAAATTTAAAACTAATTCCAGTATTAATTCATATATTATTAAATAGGCCCTAATATATATCGATCCATCGCGTTTTTAATATTACTTAAACCGTTTTTATTTAAAAATCGGTAAAAAACTATTTTATTTAAAAAAAAATAGTTAAATTGATTATATAAAAAACTAGCCGGCTATTTAAATAAAAAACGTTTATTACTATTTCTTAGTTAAAATTAAGCTCGTTATAAATTTTAAATTTAAATCGCTATAGGCTTTACGTATTTATTTAATATTAATAATAAAATTTAATTAAATATTTTATTACCGCGATCTTAATATCGTTATTTAACTATTTAAATAAGGTATAAAACTTTTAAACCGATAAGTAACTAAACCTTTAATAAAAGCGCTATAATTCGGTCTTTATAAAATAATAAATTAATAAAATACCGGTCTTAAGCCTTATAAAAACGTAGCCCTATTGTCGTTTAATAATTTTAAACGCCTTATTATTAATAATTTTATTCATAAAGTTTTCAAACGTAATACTAAAGCGATCTATATTTACTAAATATAAAAAAAAAGGCATATTAATAAGTAGTATATAGAAGGTTATAGTACTAAATTAAATTTAAATATTAACTATTTCGATCTTAATAATTTATTCGCCGGGTCTAAACGTAATCCTAGCGATACCGGCCTTAGCGGTATTAAATTTAATTAAATAAATCTTTTTTAAAACTTAAAACTACCCTTCTCCCCCCGTTAACTATTTTAAAACTCCCGTATTTAAAATAATCCTTTAAAAAGTCTTTAATTTATATTAATTATTAATAAAATAAGTCTACGCGATCCTTTCCGCTTAATTAATTAAATTATATAAAAAGGGTCTTAGCGTTATTACTAAGCTTATTTCTTCCCTAAGATCACCTTTTTTTTCGCTTATTTAAGGTTAAAAATAAAAGGTTTTTGCCCCGGATTAAATTAAAAAGTCTTGAAATTAAGTAATCTTTTTATTAATAGATCGTAGCTAACCGTAAAGGAAAGCTTATTTATTTAGAGCTTTTATAGCTTACTTCTTATTAAATATTAAATAGCTAATTACCGATAAAGTAAAATAGAGCTATTAAGTCTTATCTAAAACGTCTAAATCCTTATCGTTATTAATTAAATAAGCGGTTAAATCTTCTATACTTTTAAACCTTATAATAAAATTTATAATCTTAAGCGATTTACCCTCGTAATTAATAAGGAATTAATTATATCTAATTAAGTTAGTTTTATTAACGGTTCCCTTCGCCTTTTTATATTGCTTATATATTTCGGTTCTTTTCTTTTTTAAATAATTACTAAACCAATAGCCTTTTTTTTAATATATATAATATTTTTAAAATCTACAGAACCCTATTATAAAAGGCTTTTAAGGGCTATTTAAAATTATTTTTTCGTTTTAACCCTACGATCGGGCGCCGTATTTAGCTTCTCTTTTTTTACTATTATAAATATAATTAACTTAGTACTATTAATACGGTTCTTTGTTAATTAAAAACTATTACTATTTAAATATCTTAGTTTCGATATTAAACCCGGTTCTAAATTAAACACAAAGCGCCTTATATTTATTAAATTAGTTTTATAAAATAAATCTTACCTTATTAACTTATTAAACCATAATTAATAAATAATCGACCTTCCGTTTATTAATTCCCTCTATTAATAAGGTTTTATTAATCTTATCGATCTATAAAATAAGCTTTTTAAAGATCTCTATCTTTAATTTACCCTCTATCTCTCTTACTACCGATCTAAATAATAAGGCTTTAAATTTAGTAAAAAGCCCTTTTCTCTAATTATTAATTTTAAAATAGCTTCGAAAAGCGTTAACAATCGTAATAAAGTCGTTTTAATCGACTATTATATATACGACTTAATAATAATATTCTTTAACTTTTCTAATAAAAACGATAATAATCGCTAAATAATATTAATAATTTTAAATCCTAATTTTTTTATAATTAGTATAAAATATAATTAAAATCTTTTATAAAACCTCGTACCTTCTTTTTAAATACTTCTTTTTTTTAAAAAAAATCTTATATAAATTGATTAACTACCGTATATTAACCGCTTTTAAACTTAGATTTTTATAACTTATTCAGAAAAAGGGATTAAAGCTACGTTAACTATAGTTAATTAATCGTAATTTAATATTTATATTTAATTAAATAGGGCTAAGCAGCTTTGTTTTTATCGACGATCCGTTAGCCGTAATAAAGGTCTATAAAAGTAATAATAACCTCACTTTTAATAATATCCTTCTAATTAATATAGATTTTAAAACCAAAATAGCTCCGTTCGTAATTTTAAATAAGAATTTAGGCTTTTTAGTTTGCTAAATAAACTATTCAAATCGACTAATTACCCGGTTAACTTATATTTTAAACTAAATTAAGAAATTAATTACCTAAACCGTTATTATAAAGGTTTTGTAAAGCTACTTTACTAGCGTTTAGTTTAATAAGACTTTATTATTATAAATAAATCTATTAAATTCTTTAATAATCCGTTTATTCGTAAGTTTAAACTAATTATTAGGCTAATAACCTAAATTATTAATTATATAATAAAATAGGGTTCGCTCGGTTAAGTTTTATTTACGATATATTTTAATTATAAATAATAGCGCTATATTAATTTAATCGTTATTAAAATCGTTCGTATTATCGTATAGCTAATTTCCTTAATACGCTTAGATATTAATAGTAATCTATTAATCTAAAATAGGCACTTTTACCTACGCCTAGCTTAACTTACTTAAGGTCGTATTACGGCTTATACTAAAACTTAAAGCGATCGTTATATTAGTTTTTAATATATTAAAGTTTAACCCGCTTAGAAGTAACGGCGGTAGCCTCTTATCGTCGCTTAATTCGTCGTTAAAAGTTAAATCGGTTCCTACGCCTTAAATTTACTTCGTAATATTTTTTATATTTATCTCTTAATTTATAAATAGGCTTTTAACGCCGTTTCTAACTATTATAGGCTCCTTCTACTTAATCTAAACGGTTTTATTATATTTCGTTAGGGCAAATTATAGTTAATTTAATAACATCTCGAATACGTACGTTTCTCCCTAAGTAGACACCCGGGAGGCGTATACATTCGTTAAGTAAATTACTATTATTCGGTAGTTTACTTCCCTTTAAAAGGTATAAAAAGACCGTTTTAAATCCGTTCTTAGTCTTCTTTTCTCTAGGATTGCCTTAGCCCTAGCCTCTTCCTTTAGCACCTATTGCTAGATTATAAAGATACCTACTACCTTCGTACGGCAGGTACTCATAATAAGCTAATTAAGCCTAGAAATCTTATAATAACCTTATTTTTTACTCATAGATCGTTATTAAAGTAGTATTTTATTTATTTACTTAAAAAAGTAGTAAAAAAGCCAAAAAAGAGGTTAAATTAAATAAGATTTTACAAGGTTTACTCTATATTTTCGATTTCTTTTTTAATTTAATCGTTATATAGCTTAGGTTTATTAAGGCTGCTTCCTTTACTTTTACCTTAAGGGCTCGTTTTCGTAGGCTATAAAATAAGCGTAAATATTATATAATCCGGTCGCGGTTAATATAAATATAAAATAAATAGATTTATATACTTACCGTAAAAAGTAAATAAAATAAAAAAGTAAAAAAAAGGGTTTTTTAAAATTAAAAGAGGTATAAAAAAAAAGATTTTTTTAACGATTAACGGTTAATTTAGGCAGTTCTGTTAATAGACTATTTAAAAGCGTTATTAACATAATAAACGCCTCTTTTTTAATAAAAGTTTAGAAGATCGGAAATCTTTTATTCTATACGGCGTTAAAAAGTCGTTTCTTTTAATTTTTATAAAAGGTTAAGATAGTGCGATTCTTTTATCCCGTATAGTATTAAAAGGTCGCCTTTTTTATTTTTTAATAGCCTTATTAATTTATAATAGTAATTAAACTATTAATTAATATTAGTTTACGTAATCATAAGGTAATTTATTCGATCGAACCGTGGTAACGAAGGGTTAATTACTTTTATATTAATCTTTACGTGAAGTAGAAAAGAGAGGTTCTAACCGTTAGTTAGATCGCCGGTCAAACGCTGATATAGAGACCCTCAGATGGCCCCTGCGCTGGCGCTGACTCGAGGTCGAATTGGGCTTCCAATCCGACACCGCCCGTGTCTTCGTTTTTGAGTCTTGAGGAATTGGGTTTCTTCGATTCGGCGGGAACGTCTTCATCTACTATCAAATTTACCTATCAGGCTTCTAGCCTATATTGCTATAGAAGTAAATCACGTAAAGACACTTGGACCGATAGAGCATTGCGGCAGGTAGCCCAAGACTCATGACACAAGTCACGGGTGGCTCTGGTGGTTGTCGAGTATGACCGCGCCTATCATCTAGGGTAGCCATGCTAACAATCGTATTTGCTGAGCCAGAGCCATCGACCGTAGCAAGATCCCTAAAGTGCACAGCCTTGGAGATTCGCAACGTCCGCAGGGGCCGTGGAGGAAGGTCGGCAAGTAGAGGCGGGTTGAAAACTTGGGTGCTGATCTGACGAATAAAGGAAGAGATCTATGGGCAACAGCCGCGAACTCTAGATTTCAGTCATAGGTTGCATCGAATTTGCTGCTTTCGGAATACAAATGTCGCCATACCACCTTCGAAAACCTGAAGCAGCTCTTGTGATATTTGTCGCTCCATTGAATTCGTAAACACAAACTAAGGTGCTAGGGGGTCACCATTTGTAGAGTATAACTAATCTGGAACTTCTGTATTAACGACTAGAAGATTCAAGAGACCCTGACACAATTACTGAGTTAGAAACTCTAAAACTGGCAGTGCTCGAGAATGAAGTTTACTCCAAGAAACCATTCAGAATATATGCGCCCACAACGATGTATCGAGGAGAATAAAGATATCTAGGATATTCTAATCAGAAGCAAACACGCTTTGTGCCCCAGTAAAATGCTTGAATCCATATGCAAAGATATTTGCCTAGACATGTGAAAGTGTTCCGTGCTCACAACCCCTAAGCGTCTCTAAATCGTCAAACAGCAGTAAGCAAGAGACCGAAAGTATCAGCCAAGGACCGTTCAAAGTGCGTCTAGAACCTAGGAGTAGGTTTGAGGACACGAGAACTCAAAGTCTAGTCTACATTAGGGACGGAGGCCGGTGCCGTGACGCCTTCCTCATCTCGTTTCGTGATTCCTTCCTTTTTCTTGTCTCGCTTATACAAGTAAGCCACAATCGCCGTGATTACGGCTTGGGCACCAAAGGCGACAGTCGAGAAGATGAAGCCCTTTGTAAACTTTGGCGAGTCAACTTGGGGGTACGTCAAGATCGGCACCCAGGCGTTGAAGGCGTAGCCCAGCGAGTTCATGATTCCTATCACAATGGCACGTTCCTCGGCGTCGGCACCGCAAATCTCGTTGGTCCAACTCATGCTGAGTGGGCCGTACGGGACCGAGGCACGCTGTAAGAGGAACGCGAACCACTTGAGCCCGTCTGGGACGTTCCAGATGGCGAGAATCAAGGCGGCGAAACCGCCAAGGAAGGTGGATATCGACATGACGCTGGCACGATGGCGGATCGCGTCAGAGAGAATGGCGAACGAAACCGTGAGAACTAGTTGAATGGCCGAAGCCGCTGTAGGAATGATATTCTGGAAAATGTGTTAGCGATCCTGTAGAGCACATTCTTTCCTTGCATCGAGCTAGGTAAACTCACAATCTTCTCCACGGACTCGCCCTTGGATTTGAGCCAGAGAGAAAAGGGATTAACACTGCTGGAAGGACCAATGTTGATGAAGATGATGTAAAGAATGGTCAAAAAGTAGACATGCCAGCGACCAAAGATGCGCTTAAAGGCAGAGCGGCCCAATTTGGTTCGCGGAGCACGGCCAACGCTCTCCATTCGCTTACGGGCCAGCTCACGATCCTGAGTCAGTGTCAGCAGGTGGTTACTCCAAAGAAAGAGACTTGAAGGTCGTTTCACTCACATCTTCAGTCAAGTAGAATGCACGCGTATTCTCTGGGAGATCGGGTAGGAAAAAGTACCCAGCGATGCAAATTGGCAGACTGATGATTCCATCCATAATCTGTACAGGTGAAGCCGAGTCAGCAAGGGGTCCTTTTGCAGGATGCGTCTCCACCACAGCACGCCATATGGCAATCGAGGGGTGCTTACAAATAGCCATTTCCAACCTGTCAGCCCGTGAACGCCGTTGAGGCCCTTGTAGACACCGGCTTGCAGGTACCCCGAGAACATGCCCGCCGCAGCGGAAGAGGCGTGGAAGATGCAGGCTCGCTTGCCCAGCTCAGACGGCTTATACCAGGAGCCCAGGATGGTGTGAGCGGCCGGGTAGAAGATGGACTCGGCCAAGCCCACGAAGAAGCGAATGGCGATAACGTGATTCGAGGTCTTTGCCGCTGCCAGACAAAAGGTCAAGACGGTCCAGAGGAGCTCGCACGAGGGCACCCAGATGGACGGGCGGACTTTGGTGAGGATGATTTGCGAGGGGATCTGGCCCACGACGTAGCCGACGGTCCACGCCGTGTCAATGAGGTTGAGCTCGTTTCCGTTCATGGCAAGGTCCTCTTTCATGCCGCTGACGAACGCGTTACTGATGTTTGTCTGGTCGAGGTTTTTGATAAAGTAGCCGAAACTCAGCATTGTTATCAAAAAGACATCGAGTTTCTGGATGAATACGCGCTCCTCCTGCGTCCGATCTGGCTCATAGTCCCAGATGTACGACCACCATGGCGCCTTCTTCTTCTCGAGCACCGTGGAGTTTTGTCCGTCTGAAAAGGTCTCGTCCACCGTCACTCCCTTGCGAGACGCGGACGCGTATTCCTGGTCTGACCCCATGCCGCCGAGCAGAGGTGAGAGCTCTAGAGAATCACGTAGAGTTAACGTCGTGAAAACGGGGAGGGGCTCCAAAAAAGAGGGAGGAATTCAGCCGTCACACCGTTCAGACGACAACAACTCTGGGGGGGATTTCGTACCTGATTTATGTATCTCGCTTCCTGATAAACTGGCCATCGCGCTACGCTAGGGGAGGTTTCAAGTTGGCCACAATCTCACAGATACTGCAGAACTGCGCAGATAACACTCCGGGACTCGTGTGGGTGACAACAGGTTCCAATGCTTGATGATGTGCTGCGAAGCGCTGGTGATTCGCTACCCCTTGGCGTGGGGGGTGTCGCCATCGCGGGGTCCAGTGTCGTGATTCGGCCGTGGCTGCCTCAAAACCGCCCTCAACGCCACCCGTCTTCTCCACGAAAGGCCTCTTGGCAGCGGAGGTTCTTGATGACTAGACTCTTCTTATTGCAAGGGAGAAACGACAACGTTACATATCAATCTCATTGATCATTCGATTCCATAGAGCCCTGCCGTCACGGAACATTGTTCTCGGCAGTCAGTTGCTGGTGCCGGGTGCTCCCGTTGGCAATTGCCACATTGAAGTTTCATCATCAGGGAGTGCGGGATGGGAAGAAGTATTTCAATTGAGTCTAGTATTCGCATCGGCGGCACAATCTCTCGGAAGACCGATCGACGGGGTCGGGCGTTGGCACGGGCGGCGCCGGCGTTGTCCCACTATGTCGGGCCCCCATGGGCCGTGGTCCGAACTGTCGGCGACCCATAATTGGCGTTCTTGGATCTGGGACGATGCATGCACAGTACCCCGCCCGGACGCGGGACCGGGCCGCTGGTTCACCAATTGTAAGCGGGATATGAGGCTCGTACCTGTGGACTGATGTTCCAGAGGTCACCAGCCGTAGGTATGAGTGAGCTCGGGGTAAGTTCACAATGATTTTCGGCTCTCAGTGGACATATGGCTATAATTCCGGCGATTTTTGCCCATGTTCCCGAAAATCGCTGGGTGCCCAATCCTCGTTACATATTCAAGTGGCTTTCATCCCAGTATTCTGTATCAATGATACGACATTAGGAAGAAGTTCAAAGTCGAAAGGGGGAGGGACCATGCTCGAACAGAGACGTTGAGCAATTTATCGGCAGCTGGTAATGGGAACATGATTCCCAAAGCAGCACGGTTGCATAGTAAAACTAGAACGAACGGGATTAAGCTTCGCCAAGGCCAAGACCCAAGCCTCGGAGACGCCTGACATTGAACGTGCAGCGCCAAGCGAGAGGGAAGATGCAGCCCTCGCGCCGCGTGGCATCGCCAGGCCAAGCCTTTTGTACCAATGGTCTAAGCCGCGCAGCAATACTTGGGTAGAACATCACAAATTGTCAGCAGCGAGTCTCCATGCGGTCATATCTGAGAGCTGGGTTTAAATGCGGGCTGGCGTTCCTCGGTGGAAACAAGTATCGCCGATCAGGGCTCGATCAAAAGACGTCGTGCTCTCGATACACGGCGGCCGCCATGGTTAGTTCGACTACACGAAACCTGCGAATCTGGCTCCTCTTGACAAGGTCAAAATCTGGCCCAATTTGTCACAATGTCGGCTTCATGCAGCTGCCATGTCAGCTTACCATGGTGACGATGTCATCAAAGAGTCCAGACTATCGGAATACAAGACACAAGCAACCGTAGTGTGCCGCGATGCCGCACGGCGCTAGGACGAAGCGTCCCCAAATCACACGAAAGGGTTGCCGAGCTGTGAGATCCCCAAGTCTACAAAATTCTTCGAAATAGACAACGACATCCCACTCCATTTCTCAACATCTCACCTTTTCTATATCTCTTGGAACTGCAGGCTATTGGTCAAGAGCTCATATAAACTAGCGCTCTCTGTCCGGACCACCCCTGCTGGCATGGCTCAGCCCTGTCCGATACGCAGGCTGCAGCCACCAAAGAAGAAAAGAAAAAAAAATAAAGGCGCGTCTCCTCCACAGCCCGGCTCCGCCATTTGAACTAAGCCAGGCGTAAGCGGCATGTGGGTAAAGGGCGGCCGCCTCTACCCCACAAACGGGACTTTGGTATACTCGAGCCAACAGCTTTAGAGACAGGGACGAGGTTTACTGACGAGGACTGCATGAGGCTATTCTTCTTTTTAGCTAGCGAGATGACGGAGACCCCCTGGGGCAAGTCTTTCTCCCAACGACCAAAGTTCCGAAAAGATGAAAAATTGACATGACCAAGGCGCCGTTTGGGTTATTTGGCGATGTCTTCACGCTCCGCAGCACCCGCGAGGGCGTTGCCGTGATCCTGGCAAGAAAGTTGCCTGGAGGATCGGCATCCTCAACGAGGCAAAGCTCCATCGTTTGAAGCTCTCAGCTCGTGCCCTACTCGACCTCTTCCAATGTGTGATATATAAGTCGTCATGTCGGCCCCGTCGTGAAGATGAATGATCAGCAGTCTCATTCGCAGCGGCATCTCTCATCCTTAGTTCCCATCGTTGTCATAGTCTTTCCCATTCCAAACCAGCCGCCTGGTCAACCCCGTCCCCCAAAAGCATCATCATGAGATTCGAAACAGTCTCTGGGGCCGTCGCCCTCCTCGCCCTGAGCCAATCCGCGACCGCCGACCCGGTGAATATCAAGCTCCACAGCCGCCGCGCAAATCTCTCAAAGGCAAAGACCCTCAGCAAGCGCGCATCCATCGGATCAGTCTCCCTGACCAACTGGTTCGAAAACTTTGACCTCCAATGGATCGGTGAGGTCGACGTCGGCACCCCGCCCCAGAAGCAGTAAGTGTTGGCTCCCGAACGACGTGAACGTCTGTCTCCCTCAGGGATAGCAACGGCGGCAACTGGATTAACACGAGCAAAAATTCCCAGCATCGTCACCTTTGACACCGGCTCAACGGACCTCATCCTCCCCTCGACAGCCTGCTCCAACTGCGTCGCCGCAAAAGAATTCAATGCCTCCTCCTCGACCTCCTTCTCCTCCGCTCCCGGCTACAACGTCACCACCGCCTTCGGCACAGGCGGCAAATCCGTCCCCTACGCCGTCCCGCAAGCCGCAACGGGCAACGTCGTCACCGACACCGTCACCATCGCCAACCTCACCGTCGCCAACCAGACCTGGCTGCTCTGCGACACCTACGCCGAGGCCTTTAACGAGATGCCCAACATTGACGGCATCTTTGGCCTCGGACCCCCGGGCTTCTCGCACTTCTCCGACGAGACAAACACGTCCTTCTCGACCTGGTTCTGGACCCTCGCGCAGAGCGGCGGCGTGCCGGAGCCCCTCTTCTCCTTCTTTCTCAACTCTGGACAAGGCAGCGCGCCGGGCGAACTCACGCTCGGCGGCGTCAACAAGGACCGCTACGAGGGCGAGATTGCGCAGGCCGACTTCAATATGACGGTATCCTACCTCGGCGGCAGCTGGTTCATCGACCAGCCCGCCTTTTATGTCAACGGCAAAACCGTCAGCAACTCCAACGCCTCGGGCGCCGCGTTCCCCGTCGGCGTCTCCAACGTCGACACCGGCACCGCCTTCCTGCAGACGCCAGACTACCAGACCGCAAAGGACATTTACGCCGCCATCAGCCCCGAAATCACCCAGATCGACGAGCTCGGCGCGTGGGGCGCCCCCTGCGACACCGTCGAGAAGCTGGACCCGACCCTGACCTTCACCCTCGGCTCCGGCGACGCCCTCGTCAACATGACTGTCCCCAAGGGCGCGTTCAACCTGGGCGAGTACCCCGGCCACGCCGGCATCTGCCAGACGCTGTTCCTGAACCCCGTCCAGCCCATCAGCGACCTCGCTTCCATCTGGGTCCTGGGGAGCCCGCTGCTCAAGGGGTACTACACCGTTTGGAACGGGACCGACGCCGAGCAGCTCACGTTTGGCGTGGCGCGCCTCAAGGTCAACGCTACTGCTACGAACGGTACTTCGAGCCCGACGGCTACGCCGACTGCTGTCAATGGTGGAAGCGTCACTGGTCCGGCTGGAGTCCTTGCTGCGTTTGCTCTGACGATGTTTGCTCTCAGCTTGTAGATGCTTCCGCCTTATGTAAACGTTTGTAATTCATACATGATGATGGCGAGAATTGAATAGATAGTGCGCCTCAGAGGGCATCCTCTTTGATAAAATCAGCTGCCCGCTCCGCCACCGCGTAGACCAGAGACTGAATGTTGGCCCTCGGAATCAGCGGGAAGATGCTAGCATCGACGACCCTCAGTCCCTTGACCCCGTATACCTTGAATCTTTCATCGATAACACCACCCTTTGACCTGGGCAGCATGGCGCAGGTACCGCAGGGGTGGTATTCGCTCTGCATGCTATCGCGGATCCAGTCCTCGACGTTCTCGGCGGTGAGCTCGTGGTACCCGGGCTGGAAGACGGTCCCTCCGCCCTGGAGCAGGTTGCTCAACGGCGGCGTCCGCGCGACGGTCTGCAGGTGAAGCGCAATGGCTTTCAGAAGCTGCACGTCGAGCGGGTGCGAGAGGTAGCGGGGGTCGATGAGGGGGTGGACGGCTGCGTCGGCGGATCGGATGTGGATTGCGCCTCGAGAAGAGGGGTGCTCGAGGACGCCCAGGAGAGAGAGGAAGTTGCCCGGTGCTCCCGCCGAGAAGAGTTTGGTCGTGTCGGCGGAGAACTGGGGAGAGATGCCACCCTCGATCGTGAGCTCTTGGGCGATTGCTTCCGATTTGAGGTCTCGAAAGATGATGCCGTGTTGCTCGGCCAAGCTGGGGACGCTGTTCTTCTGAGAAGGTAGAGATAAGTCCAGAGTGGAGGCGATCTGGTTCAGAGACAAGAGTGCCGAGCTGGCGCCCGCGGACGACAGACGACCAGTCTTGTTCTGGAGGTACAGGTCGAGCTGCTCCTGGAAGTAGGTTGCGTTGGCGTAATCCTCATTGGTGGGCACACCGGGCTTCGCCGCAAATCTGGGATGATGTTAGCTGTTGTCTGCGCTTGTTGTGTGCATATTTGCCAAGTCAGATTTACCCTAGAGGGACATAGACGTGATCTTGCAGATTCTCACCGACATTAGGATTGTCGACGAAAACCTCGACACCGTGGGTTCCCAAAAGTTTCTTGTCGCCTACGCCAGAGACCTCGAGGAGCTGCGGCGAGGCGACGGACCCTGCAGCGAGAACCACCTCCATCTTGGCGGCTGCTTCATGTGTCTCTCCACCCTGCGACCACTTGACACCTTCCACTTGGATCCCATTACGAGTTTTCTTCAGCACGAGCTTGGTCACCAGAGCGTCAGTCACTACCTTCAAATTGGTCCGGTGACGTGCCGGATCGAGATAGGCATTTGCAGCGTAGCTCCTCGTACTCTTGTCGATGTTGAGCAAGTTGACGTAGCCTCCCAGTGCCAGGCCATCACGGGGATCGCCGTCGACCTCAAGCCCAAGCTTCTCGAAAGTTCGTGGCCAGGCTTTGAGAAATGGGCTGTAGAGTTGGGGGAACTCATTGATGATGGGCCCGGTGGCACCATGGACGCTCGGGTCAACGTATTCGAGGAGAAGATCGCTCGTCTGCTGGCTCGAGGGGGCTACGAACGACTCCGATTTCCGAAAGTAAGGAGCGAGCGCCTCCCACGACCAGCCCTCGTTTCCCAAGGCGCCCCAGTTGTCAATATCTCGTCGTGAAGGGTGCGTCCAGAACATAAAGTTCATGGCGCTAGAGCCGCCCAGCTGCTTCCCGCGGATATGAGCGACGACCTTGTTGTTGGCCGAAGTCTGGATGCGTCAGCCTGCCGTATTCCGTCGGCGCATATACCGAGACCTGGGTAAGTCCTTTACCTGGGGAATTGTCTTGTAATCCCAATCATAGTCGGCGTCACCATACATGGCAGGAAATAGCCCGGGAGCCAAAACGTTGAGGTCAGCAGAGCGATCAGCGCCGGCTTCCAAGACGAGGACCGTCACTTGAGGATCCTCGCTAAGGCGAGCTGCGACCGTCAGGCCAGCGGTTCCTCCACCAACGATGCTGATATCATGTTAGTCAATCCTCCGAGTCTTCCAATGTTCGATGGTTGCCCCTTACATGTAATCGTAACTCTCAGCCATGGCCGTCACCATAAGGCTTGCCCATATGCCGACCCAGTACGGACGAGGTCTCAAACGCATAGTAGAGCAAGAACCGGATCTGACGAGGAACTGAGCTTGAGTATGAAGACATTAGCAGCTAGGGGACATGATCGATTTATACCCATCGAATCACGAATTAGAAATCATGGACACTTGTCCAGTAGAGCCTTGATCTATTGGATAGCAGTTTCCGATCAATAATCAACAGCTTTCCGTGATTCTCATTGGGCGCAAATCCCAATGGCCCGAGACCAGTGCCACTTTGTGTGGACATTAGACCAAGACATAGCTGCTTTGATGCGTATTACTGCGTCGAATAGGCTAGGTCATGCAATGAAGCAAGGACGATGCAACGCTGGTAATAAAAACCGCATGCACTATGAGTAAGCAATGTCTAGCGGAACTCCGCAAACACACGCCGAGACTCGAAAGTGGGCGACAAGTTCAGAGCCAAGAAGTTTGTGATGCAACGGCTGTTTGAATATGCATGGTTGCTAGCAAGTTTATGATATCAAGTCCACATTGACTCAACCACTACCAGACTGCTTCGAGAGATGAGCGCATTGAGGGGAAAGAAACCGTGTCAGCACAATGCGATCCATGTGGAAGCGGTTGGCCGGTCCCGCTTGAAAAACTTTCATTCTTTGTAACTTTCAAAGCCCCCTGGAACTCGAATGCTGCTTGCCTTGTCTCCTCTGCTTTCGGTGGTCTCCTTGATGCGGACCAAAGCGACAGGCAGGATGCGCGGCGGGGGCACTGGGCATTGGCCCTAGCAGGTGCGAGGACAGGCCTGTAAGATGGAATAACTTTTCTCGTGCAGTCGTGATATGCCCAACACACCTAAATATTATACAGATTTCCATTTGATGCCGGTGTTGTAGCATCGTGCCGTCCTTTTGCAACAGCCTACTATTCTCCTACATGATGATGTACAGGGTATTTCGAATTTTGTGTCCTCTAGCTTATTGCTGGCGCTTCGAGTACTCGGAGCCGGGGCCGTACATGATAATGGGTCTTCGGTTGGCCCTTCGGAAAGCCTCCTCGGCAATGGGAGAAGCATCGGACCGGATGACACTGCCGATGGACATGAAGAAGCTGGGTGGCTGTTAGTGCTCGCGCGTAGACGACAGGCCGGCTGTGACCTACCCGAAAGTCGCTCCCGAGCCCAGCATGTATTGCCCTAGCGTTCTCATGATGCCGTTGGGGCCGGCACCGTAGCGCATGATATTGACCGAGCCTGTGGGCGTAGCTGGTTAGTCGTTGTGATGCGACAGAGGGAGGGAGGTGCTACACACCGAAAACGAAGCCCATGACAGATCCGACAGCTATAGAAGGATCAGCGACGGGATCAGGAGGAGTCTCCAGACAGTCTACACATACTACCGCCCATGAGGGCACCCATTTTCACTGCGGAAAGTTAGCTAGATGCTCGTGTAAAGGTTATAAGAGAGAATCGTACTCTTGTCGGCGATGGAAGGACCCATGGCGCCGCCGTGTTGCGCAGGAACAGGAGGCATTGTGAATGTGGAGGGAGGTCTGTTGGAGATTGAGTATTGGGTGGTCAATGTCAGTCGAGCTGGTGGTGGTGGTGCTCAAACTCGGACAGCCCAGTCGTGCGATGCGAATCCGTGATGTTTGCGACGGTGGGGCTGGGAGAAGCTCTTCCAATTTGCTGCACCCAATCCAAGTGACCACAGCCAGCCTTTCCGAGCCGGGTGCCCCACTGGAGCTTTGGACGAATCGAATCCGGGGTACGGCAGTTGTTCGGCAAAATGACCGAAGCGGCTAGCCCCACTCCTATGGTTCGAGAGCATCTCAGAAGCGATGTCAAGGTCACCTGCTGCACAGGCCACCTCGCCTTCCATTGGTGGCCTTGGACCTTCCTCTATCAGACCTCTGGCTGTCTGGTTGGCTGCATGTCCACCTTCGTACGAGACATGTCACGTGCTTCGAGTCTTTGAACAGCGCAGGCGACCACCGCAAATGGAATGTGATGGTGGCAGGTGAGGGTGGATCCCCACGGCTAAGGCAAGTCGTCCAGCTGGAGGCGATGACAGCACAGTGACCAGATCAGACCGCCTTCACCCGGAACAGCACCAGTGTTTTTTTCTTTCTCTCCTCCTTTCCTATCCCTACCACACCTCTCCCTCTTTCTCCCCTACCTTACTCGATCCTGTTCATATGGAGATCATCCAGTTGGCCCATGGTGGAAAATCAGTCAAACACCCAAGCCTCGGGGGCCTGTGCTCAGCTGAACTGAATTGAACCCAACAGAACCACCAACTGAAATTTCCCGGTCCCTCGACCTCCCTCCCGCCTGCTGTTTCCGCCCGCCCATGTCCCAGGTCGGTTCCGGCGCGTGTTTCCGAACGCTGTTTGGTCCACCCACAGGTGTCCCCCAGCGCTCACGCACTTACGCACTCACGCTAAGCGCTTAGCGAGACGGGGCGACACGTTCTGTTCTCTTTGCCCAAATCCTAGAATCAACCTCACCTACCAATACCTACCCACGGAGACCACCCGACCCCCGACGACGCTTCCGCTTGAGCCCATCGTCGACTGTGGTGCTCAAAGAAAACAATCCCTTTGCCCACTCTCTGTTCATTGCTGGTATGTCCCTGATGCCCTTCTGAGCCTCCTTGGCCGGGTTTTCTGCGACCCTCTGTCCCGTCGCAGGCCGCTTCTGGGCCGCGCCAATTGGCTGCCCACCCCTATCCTTGCCGCGACATCATCGCTGACTTAATTTTTTTAACCTGCCAGCTCAGCCTCATTGCTTCCTACCTTACCCTTTGCAGCGACCCCATCGACACCGTCTGACATATCCGCGTTATCTTTCGACGACTGATCTTTGCGATACCCTACGGGCTACTGTACGAATGGTCAAGATAGGAGCCCCCGACGTCACCTAGACCATCCATCAATATCGGTACCCTGCGAGCTGTCATCACCCGCTCCTTCTCGCCACGACTTCTACTGTCCCACGATCCTTACCTGACCACAACGACGCCTTCCTCATGACTGCCGTCGCGAGCCCTCCCAGCTTCCAGCAACTCAATCGACCGGGATGGAATGTTAATGGCGGCCAAAGTCTGAATGCGATGAATCCAGAAGACGTCAGAGGCATGTTCGCCGCGCCTCGGAAGACGCTGCAACGAAGCAACTCTTCCTCCTCGGTCTCGTCTACTTCTTCCAATTCGTCCACCACTACCGTTGCCACCAATGGTTCGCAACCGAATGGCACCCCGGCTTCTACAAACTCGGATATGAGCTCGTGGTCTAGCAGTGCCTCGAGAAAGCGACCACAACCCAAGGGACCATGGCCGCCAGGCAAGCCAGAGGTTCAAGCCGAATTCGGCAGGCCTGTTATGCGAAACGCCATGAACGGCATCAATGGCGGTTCTTCGCTGCAAACGGCTCCGGGCCAACCGCAAATGATGTCGCAGCAAGGACTCGGAGCGAGGCCCATGGGTGATCCGATGCCCAACGGGCAGCCCGTGCTCTATCTCCTGTCGCTCAACGGTACATTTGAACGCAAAACCATATCGGTACCATTCTACCCGGAAAGCCTCCGTATCGGCCGTCAAACCAACCAGAAGACGATCCCGACAGCCACCAACGGCTACTTTGACAGTAAAGTGCTATCAAGGCAGCACGCTGAAATATGGGCAGATCGCACGGGAAAAATTTACATTCGGGACGTCAAATCGTCCAACGGAACGTTTGTCAATGGCACGCGTCTCTCTCAGGAAAATCGCGAATCCGAGCCGCACGAACTACAGACTGGAGACCATCTAGAATTGGGAATCGACATTGTGAGCGAGGATCAAAAGACCGTCGTTCACCACAAGGTTGCCGCAAAAGTCGAACACGCAGGCTTCACGAGTCCCTCGAGCAATGTTATGGACATGAACTTTGGCGATTTGGACCCTGCGAATGGGGGCATGATGATGCCGGCGCCGAGTCCTATCCCTTACCGTGGCAGGACTGGAAGCAATGCATCGATGGCCAGCAACGGCCGCATGATAGCACCCCAGAACATGGCCGGCATGGCGCCTAACGGTGGAGCTGCCCGTGGATTCTTATTAACGCCCATTACCACGGAGCACATCGTCAAGAGACTTCATGTGAGTGCCTCATTCCCTTGACTTGTTTCACGGAGCTAACTCGGTTGCAGAATGAGATGCGAAATGCTCGACTACAGTCTCAAGACCTCTCTCGTACGGGCCAGTTCGTCCATGCTCTCCTGAGCAAAGATGACGTAAAGGATCTCGAGAAACCAGAAGCACCCGAGCCTCCCAAGCAACTCCCAAATGGCAACGCTCTGCCCTTCCGCACTGATGCGAAAACAAGATTTTCGGACCCTCCTGCCCCGCCTCCCCAGCAGCCGCTGCCCGAGAAACCCGATGTGCCTTCGTTGAAACGGGGCACCACTGAGCGACCAAAGCCTAATAGCACCACCTCACCCGTTGGACGCGACAACTTGCATCAGATCATTCAGTTGACCGAAGCTTTGAATAATGCAAAGAAGGAGATGGATACCCAAACTGCCCGTATTAAGGATTTGGAAGACATGCTCCGTAAAGAGCGGGAGGCACGCGAGCTGGCCGAGGATATGGCAAAGATTCTCGAAGATGGTAGCTTGAAGGAGACCAATGGCGCGCCCAAGGAACACGACACCAATGCTCTTCTCGAAGAAGCTTTTGAGCCTCCCCGCGATACTGCCGACAATCAGGATATCGAGATGACGGATGCGGAACCGCTTTCCAAGGAGCCTGCACCAGAGAGCGCCGAGGATATTGCTGCACGTTTCCAGGTCAAGCTCGACACAATGATGTCAGAGGTGACGGACCTAAAGCAACAGATGGAGGCATGGAAGCACAGATGCGAAAAGGCCGAGACGGAGCGTGACGCTGATCGCCAGACCCTGGCTGAAATGGTTGCACAGATTCGCAGGGACGATGAGGCCAGGCAAAACGCTGCTGCTGCTGCGGAGAAGCGCCGTTCTCTGTCCCGTGGACGGCGCGGCCGGAGCGAAGGACCTGCCAACAAGTCAACTTCAGTTGTTCAAATGAACGGATCTGGTAGCTCCACCCCTGCCCCTTCGCAAGCAGAGTCCACCGTGGACGACTTTAGCGACAAGCCTACTTTGTCGCGAGCCAACACTATTACGCCACTTACCATACCCCCGGGCAAGTTGGCAAAGGATCAGGCCATGGTGGCCGGGGTTCCCTATGCTTCCATGCTTGGCGTGGTAATCATAGGCATGGGTCTCATGGCTTACATCAACGGCTGGCAACCCGAGCCGACTCCCCGTCATTGACGGCTGCGTTTGCTGCTGGGCTCATCTCGATTCGATTCTCTAGACAAGCACTTGAACGTTGGCGTTGCACATACTGATGGCGTTTCTTGCATTCACAGCGGTCATTCATCTTTCCACCGACCTCTACCAAGTCGCCTTTTCTTTCCCTTTGTACCTACTATTTTTTCCTTTATTGTATGAACTGCAAAGACGACGACGTTTTCTTTCCCTTTGTCTCTATTCTCACGGGCAATAGGGACGGCTGGAGGGGGCAACAAATGGTTGGAGAAGGCGTTTTGAGTTTTCCTTTTAAAATCTTCTTTTCTGTGGGCTGGGCTCTTCCGGTCGAAGTCAATTCTGATCGCGCGCTGCAAGCACGGTATTTTTTAGTCACTTTGGCCAACCAGGAATGGGAAACGGGATGATGGACGACGATGAACTTTTTCTACCTTTTTTTTTCTTTTCTTACACTCGGCACAAAAGAACTACTCAAATTCGAGATGACAACTTTTTTGCTGCAGAGAGACACATGTGCCAGCAGCTGTAACAGCCCGATGGGGGCACTTGCGGGAGCATCGCTCGATATGCCTGCACGTTTACCACAGGTCTTGCATGTACCCGAAATGCCATGCGGCTTCTGGGCCCCCTTGGCTTGGCGCGCCGTCTACATGAACATGAGGGGGAGGGCTGTAGAGTACTGGCAGTAAGGCAGGGGTGGATTGACGAGATTAATGTTTGCATATCTTTGGCAGGGCGGGAATACAGGGACCTTTTAATCGCCTGCAACTTGTTTCTCGTATTGCAATGTTGCTACCTCTTTATGTAGTTGGCTTCTTAAAACTATCTCGACCCAGTTGTGCCAATTTTAGACTGCGATGACTGACTGGTCTGTTTAAGCTTCCAGGATGGGGAAAGTTTGACGATAAGAAGTGCTCAAACCCGAAAATCCCCATTATGGCCCCTTGGCAGCTCCAGCTACCTCAGAATGAATGACAATAGCAGGAAATCACATCCATTAGTTACGTTAAGATTTAACACAAAGATCCAGGCTCGGGGAGTCGCGACTCCGACTCGTGAAGCTTTGGTCCTTTTCCATTAACCCCTGCAATCAGCGATCTCTAAGCCCTTGGATCCGTATGTCGGATGGCGCATACCTCAAGAGCATTGATCACTGCCCTACGGCAACAAGGCGTCTAGCCCACATTCATTTCCCTGCAGCAACGGTTCGACGAGCAGTGACTGCCAAATGTATGAAGTACCTTTGCGCCAAAAGAATATCTACCTTATCATAGAAACACTGACGAGCGAGCGGTTCCTGATAAGAAGATGCCGTGGAATGCGTCGCTAGCCAAGATCCACACCATTTGTGAAATGAAGCATTCCAGTGCCCATCACCACCACATTTTCCTTCATTCTCCCCGACAACCTGTATATCAGACAAACAATCAACAATATCTGAACAACTTCCCTATCCATCCTATATCGTCCTTGATGATAACGGTACGCCTATTTCCCAACGTAAGCGCTCACTGTGATCCACTCGTCAAGAAACCATAACTTTCGTGCCCCTCATCTGCTGTCCAGCATCGAGATATCCCCCACCCACTACAACCAGCTTACCTAGTCGATATTTGTTATCAATCCGAACGTCATGAATTGGGCGGACCAGTTTGGTAGGCGGAGAGGAGTCCTCCCGGGATGGCTTGAAGTCAAAATTGCTGACTACTGGCAGATGGATCGACCTTCATCCAAGAAGAAGACGGTCCCACAATCGAAAAGGGACACCCAGTGAACCAAGGTAGACACTTGGCTGCAACAAGATCCAACCCTCTTCCGCCTTCTTCTTCTCCTCCTCCTCCGGCACGGTCGACTGATCCCCATGAAAACATTCGCGCCTGGCTCTCCGGCGTCACCATCGACGAGGAGAGCAAATCCCTCGCAGCCGACGTGTTCCACGCGCTGGATAATCGCCAGCACCCAGCGACGCCTCTGGCATCGGGGTACCATCAGCCAGCAGCAGATAAGCAGCAGGCGGCGGAGACCGGGCCGACGGTGAACGTGCACACCATGGGCCCGGGCTTTATTGGGCGGGCGCCAGCGTTTGGGTCGTCCGAGTTCTTTGCCAATATGGTTGTTGTGGCCATCTTGCTGCTGTTTGCGCCTGGGTTTACGCTCTTGGCGGCTGGGGTGTTTTTTACGTCTAGGGTTGCGGAGAGGTGGGCTGGGCAGGATTGAGGAAATGTTGTGAATTGCAAGGGGTGGGGTGGATAATGCTTGAAACGACTTTCGATGGCTTATGATTGTTGAGAAAGGCTGCTATGACGATGGGATGAGGAAAATGTTGTTGCGTTTTCTCGCAAAGTGACGAATCGAGTTTGGTCGATGGATGCGGAACGGACACTGGAGTAGAAAATCCATTTGATAGGTCCGTAGTCGGTAGATAGACCTCAATCTAGAGGAAGTGTAACTTTGCCTTGGTTGAGGCAAGTAAACCAAGCCATGATCCTGGTTACGGTGGTAAAGGATGATCATCCGCAGGAAGGCCCGGGACTGAGCGGCATCGACGCCGGAAAAGTGGACCCAAATCGGAGGTTCAAATGCCGAGAGATGCGTCTCGCCCTCCGGTGCGAGACTCTGTCGACTTAAAGTTCTGCTTCGCGTCACTTGCTTTGTGACTTCCAAATCTTCCACATCTTGCCGCAAGCCATTCAACCTGAACCATGGCATGGCGTATGTCGAGCGATTCCGAGCGTATGACCATATCGGCGTCCGGGGGAAAAGCGCATCTGTCAGCAGTCAAAATCGCGGAAACATTGGAATTCATCCCGTCCCGTCGGGCCAATTTTGACCGCAGCCCACGGTTTGGCCACCTCGCCACGTTGTTATTCTTGTTGAGGCGGTTGAGCCGAGATTTTGGTATACAGAGTTTTTAGAGTGCGTTGCTCTGGCACTGCCTATTACTCACAATAGGGAGAGCGGAACCCGACGCCAGCGGAGCCGGGCAACTGGTGTCCTTACTCGCGGGTATAATTGAGAAGGGATCCATGCTAATTAGTTTGAGAGAAAGTCTTCCGCCGGGGATGATCCATTTTCGCATGGGGTTCGCTGCCCCATAATTGAACCATGTCACGTCTTTTCGGCCACCCGCGGCCGCCCGGTCGGCACGGTCCTGGCAACACGACCACAGTGATGGAGTGAGTTTGCTTCTTCATATAAAGGATGAGCAATACGAAAGTCACGAGGCAGCCTGCCGGCCATACTGTTCCGGAGCCCGGGTCCCTGTCTCCACGCGAGGCGCAATGCGGATTACCGCGGGTGTCCGCGTTTACACAGGCTCGGGCCCAGCGTGCTGGTATAATGCCTCTTATGTATCGAAACCTTGCTCAAGAAATTGGAGAGATGGCACGGTCTGATCGATTAATAGTTCATCTGAAATTCTGTTTACTGCAACTTGACCTTTTCATCCATTGTTTCCGATCATTACATCCAAAATCGTGATCCAGCTTGGTCCCTTCAAGAGCTACCTAAAAAATGACGGCGGACGATGAGGCCGGCAGCGAGATGCTGGTGTCGGCTGACCGATTCTCAGGCTCATCTTCATCCACAGCAGCCGACAACTCCCAGAGAGAAATCGGACAGTTGGCGCGCCGAATTACGAGTATATCACAGGTTCACGATGCCAACGCGCACCACGACGTCTTGAACCCCCCCAAAAACGGCCCCCTGGACCCAAACTCTTCAAATTTTGACAGCGTGGCCTGGGCAAAGGCCTTTATCCACCTCTTTGAGTCGGACCCCAACACGGCGCCCAACAGGCTCGCGGGCGTCGCATTCCGAAACCTCAATGTCTTTGGGTACAGCTCTGGCACACAGTACCAGAAGAGTACAGGGAATATCGCGCTGAGCATGGCCGCCGATCTTGTTGGACTCGCCACGGGGAAGTCAAAAAAGCGCATCGACATTCTGCAAGACTTTGAAGGCCTCGTTGAGCCCGGCGAGATGCTGCTCGTGCTCGGTCCGCCTGGTTCGGGGTGCTCCACTCTCTTGAAGACACTGGCTGGCCAAACCGAAGGGCTGAACGTCGCCCAGGACTCGTACATGAATTTCAGAGGTAAGCCAGAGTTACCAGAGAGGCTCGTCAAACAAAGTAGGTTACACTTGAACTAACCTCATTGGGTGGGGGGCAGGAATCGAACCAAAGCGCATGCATAGATGGTTTCGCGGCGACGTTCTCTACAACGCAGAGGTCGACGTCCACCTGGCGCCGTTGTCGGTCGGCGACACGCTCGAGTTCGCGTCGAGGGCGAGGGTCCCGTCCCGCATCCCGGGTGGGCTCACGGGTCCCGAGTTTGCCCGCATCATGCGCGACGTGATGATGGCGGCGTTTGGCATCTCCCACACCGTCAACACCAAAGTCGGCGATGACTTTGTGCGTGGCGTGTCCGGGGGCGAACGCAAGCGCGTCAGCATCGTCGAGGCCGCGCTGACCGGCGCCAAGTTCCAGTGTTGGGATAACAGCACGCGAGGGCTCGATAGCGGGAATGCGATTGCGTTTTGTCAGAATCTCCGGACGCAGTCGGATTTGATGGAGGTTGCGTCGGCCGTGGCGATTTATCAGGCACCGCAATCTGCCTACGATGTAAGTTCTGCCCCCAACCCCCCGGGAACGGATATAGGAGACGTGTTTGGTTAACGTCTTAATAGCTGTTTGATAAAGTGACGGTGGTGTACGAGGGACGGCAAATCTTCTTTGGCAAGATTGGTGAAGCGAAACGGTATTTCGAGGAGCTGGGTTTCCAGTGTGAGTATATGCCCTGTTGCTGTGACAAGTTGATCATTGTTCTGACTTGCCACACAATTAGGCCCCGAACGGCAAACCGTACCAGACTTCCTTACGTCAATGACATCTCCGAATGAGAGAAAGATCCGACCAGGCCACGAGCACCTCGCTCCTCGGACTCCTGAAGAGTTCGCCGCCAGGTGGAAGGCATCAAAACAGCACGAAAGTCTCATGGCCGACATTGAGACCTACGACATCACCCACGTCCCCGAGGACCGCCTCGAGGCGTTCCAGGACAGCATCAGAGCCGAGAGAAGTTCGTGGCAACGACTCAAGTCGCCGTACATGATTACGTATCCGAGGCAGGTGAAACTCTGTCTGTGGCGTGGATGGAAGCGCCTGATCGCCGACCCCGAGTTCACAATATCTTCCCTCGTGTTCAACATCGTCATCGGACTCATTCTTGGAAGCATGTTTTTCAATCTGAAGAAGGACTCGGATACTTTCTACTACCGTGGCGGTTTGATTTTCTTTGCTCTGTTGTTCAACGCTTTTGCTAGTGAGATGGAGGTAAGTACACTCTCCCCCAGTTGCGACACCATCTTTCTGGCGCTCTCTCACTTTGAGATTTTGAGACTGATCATTACCTAGGTTCTCACGTTGTACACTCAAAGACCGGTCATTGAAAAGCATAATCGATATGCTCTGTATCACCAGTCTGCCGAAGCCATCTCGAGCTACATCATCGAGCTACCATACAAGATCACAAACGTCTTCGTCTTCAACTCGATTCTCTATTTCATGGCCAACTTGAACCGCGAACCTGGACCCTTCTTCTTCTTCTGCCTCGTCTCGTTCCTCGTCCTCCTGGCGATGTCAGGCATCTATCGGACCCTGGCATCTCTCGCACGCACTTCGCATCAAGCCATGGTCCCAGTCGCCCTCATTACCATTGGAGTAACAATGTACGCCGGCTTCACGGTGCCAACGACCTACATGCAGGGGTGGTCGCGCTGGATGGGATACGTTAACCCGCTCTCGTATGCGTTCGAGGCGCTCATGATCAATGAGTTCCATGGTCGCAAGTTCCTATGCGGCAGTCTCGTGCCTTCAGGTCCCGGCTACGATGGTCTGGCTATATCCGGTCGCACCTGTGCCGTTGTGGGTGCCGTACCCGGCTCAGATCAGGTCGATGGTGACCGATATATTGAGCAATCTTTTGACTACTCCAACGGTCACAAATGGAGGTAAGGAGTGCCGCAGCTTTCTCTTCCACAACACTGTCTGACTTGCCCTAGGAACGTCGGCATCTTATGTGCTTACGTTGTGGCGTTCTTGATCACGTACATCGTCACCGCCGAGTTCGCCAAGCCGCCTAAAGGCGAAGGCGAAGTTCTTGTTTTCCGACGCGGCAGAGTACCTCCCGCGATGAAGCAGAAGGCCATGGTCGACGAAGAGAATCAATCCCGCAACGCGACTTTGACCGGGAACGCTTCCACCGTACCGACGGAGAAGCCGTCGGAAAAAAGACCGAGGCCCAGTGAATGTGGCAAGCCAATCTTTCACTGGGAGGATATCTGTTACGATGTCAAGATCAAAGATCAGGACCGACGCATCTTGGACTTTGTCGACGGTTGGGTGCAGCCAGGTGTTATCACAGCTCTCATGGTATGGCTTTTCTTTCCCCATCATTCTTTTAGCACTCGAGTACACTCTAACTCTCAAAATCAGGGCGCTTCTGGTGCCGGAAAGACCACGCTTCTCGACGCTCTCGCTGCCCGTATCACTATGGGTGTGATATCCGGCGATACCATGGTCAACGGCCAACCGACGGACAGATCCTTCCCCAACCGCGTCGGATACGTCCAGCAGCAAGACGTCCACCTCGACACAATGACCGTCCGAGAGGCCCTCGAGTTCAGCGCCCTGTTGCGGCAGAGCGCCGACACCCCTCGCGAGGCCAAGTTGGCCTACATTGACGAAGTGATTGACCTGCTCGACATGAGCGACTTTGTCGACGCCGTCATCGGGGTCCCCGGCCAGGGCCTCAACGTGGAACAACGCAAGCGGCTGACCATTGGCGTCGAGCTCGCGGCCAGGCCGCAGCTGTTGGTGTTCCTCGACGAACCGACCTCGGGTCTCGACTCGCAGACGTCTTGGGCGATTTGCGACCTGATTGAGAAATTGGCAAAGAGCGGCCAGGCGATTCTGTGTACTATCCACCAGCCGTCTGCCATGCTTTTTGCCCGCTTTGACCGGTTGCTTTTGCTGCAGAGTGGGGGGAAGACTGTGTACTTTGGAGGTTAGTTGATGTCCCTTCTGCTTCTTCTTCTCCATCTTGTACATGGTTTTGGCTGACACGTATCCAGATATTGGTGAAAACGCCACAACCATGATTGATTATCTCGAACGCAATGGCGCATCTCCATGCCCCCCTGATGCCAATCCCGCAGAATGGATGTTGAAGGCCACCACCCTGTCCGAGGATGGCCCCAACTGGTATGAGATTTGGCGTTCGTCTCCGGAATACCGCGAGGTGAAGACCGAGCTCGGTCTTCTTCGTCAACAGACTAATGAGAAGCTCGTGACGGAAGCCTCGAACAACGTTGCCACCAACCAAGAGTTTGCCTCGTCGTTCTGGACCCAGTTCCAACACGTCTTTGTCCGCACTGCCAAACACTTTTGGAGGTCTCCTGTGTACACCTGGTCGAAACTCACTCTGACGATTCTCATGGTAAGATAACCTTCGTAAATCGAGCCGGCATGGCATGTGTGCTGACCAGTCTTTGTTCAAGGCCCTCTATATTGGGTTCACATTCAACTCGGAAAACAGCTTGCAAGGCCTGCAGAACCAGGTTTACGCCTTCTTCATGGTCCTCACGACTGTAAACGAGTTCAGCAAGCAGATTATGCCCATGTTCATTCCCCAGAGAGCTCTCTACGAAGTTCGAGAGAGGCCGTCTCGCGTCTACCGATGGAACAGTAAGCAAACCAAAATTGAAGTAGTCTTGTAGTAAGAAGGCTAACCAATCTCAAGCTTACGTCCTGTCCAACATTGCCATCGAAATGATCTGGAACACTCTTGCCTCCGTCATCTACTTTTTCTGCTGGTACTACCCGGTCAAGTTTTTCCGCAACACCACCTCCGAAGACGTCTCGATCCGCGGCTTCACCGTCTTCCTCTTCATCTGGGTCTTCTTCCTCTGGCTCAGCACCTTTTCTCAGCTCGCCATTGTCGCCATCGAGACGGCCGACCTGGCCAGCATCCCGACCAGTCTCTTCTCCATTCTCTGCATGGCCTTCTGCGGCGTCGGCGTCCTCCGCGTCGACTTGCCCTCCATTTGGAGCGATTTCATGTACTGGGTCAGTCCGATGACGTACCTCGCGAGCGGCGCGTTGTCGACCTGTCTCCACGGCGCCAAGGTCACCTGCACAGCCAAGGAGATTGTGTCGGTCCCGGTGCCGTCGTCGAACATGACGTGCGGCGAATTCCTCGGTCCCTTTATCCGGAGCGCGGGCGGGTACCTGGTGAATGCTGCCGCAACGGATACGTGCGGATACTGCCGTATGAATACCACGGACGACTATCTTGCGCGGTACGAGATCAAGTACGATGATCGGTGGAGGAACTTTGGTCTCTTGTGGGTGTACATTGTGTTTAATGTTGCGGCTGCTTGCGGTCTCTACTGGCTTGCTAGGGTGCCCAAGGGACAGGGTGTCAAGCGGAAGTAGATATTATGTGCGGCGTTGGGTTTAATGCGGCGATTTAATTTGTATAATAAGCACCAGGTGGTGTCTTTTCGCAAGGCGAAAAATGTACTCGGATCTAGTAGAAGACTGTATAATCACTAGACTAGGGCCCCTTTGGCGTCTGGGGGTTGCGGATAATGATCTGGAGACGGAGATAAAAAACTAGATTTTATTATTACTCTATAGTGTTCACCTCGAGACTGTTTGTAACATTTTTTTGACAAAGTGCACATTGGAAACCCGCCGCAAGAACGGTAAATTTCAACGAGTTTCCGCAAAGAATGATTAGCTTGCCACGAGTGATGATGAAGACAACTACCAGACGAAAGTAAAGGAAAGCTAGCCACGATCCCAGGACTAGTGTTGAGGCAGTCATGCGGAGGCGAAGTTTCCAATGGCGACTGGAGGCGCAGGGATCCGTGGCGACCGGGTAAGCGCTTTGCCGGCCGTTACGCGGTGGGTCCCCGCCTCGTGAAGAAATCTCCGGGGGCCCCGACTCCGGGGTAAACGGTTGGCGCATTCGGGGCCCCCTTTAACCTCGGCCGCAATTTATGTCGGTTCGCGAGTAGCGAAACACTAGATCTCCCCCCATGTTACACGCGGTTTCTTCCCCATTCAAGCTTGTTGTCAGTTAAAATAAGTTCTTTGGGGTACAGAGAGGATGTGGATACATTACATGTAGTGAACCCATCCCAACCGTGGTCCATTGCTCCATGCCAACCCTGCCCGCTCCAGGCACGCCGAATTCGAGGAATTATCAATCTTGACTGAGTTCGAATTCAGATCTCCAAAAGAACCCTCCCACCCCTCCCAGGGCTGGGAGAAGAGGTCTTCAAGATGATGCCAACTCTACCGCTAGTCGGGCCAGCCGTCACTCCAAGCAAGACTTTCGGCCAACAATCGCCCTCACAAGCCGCATGGCATGGCTTCACCCCCGGCCGACGCAGCTACGCCCCCGACGCCTCCATCGTGCTCGTCGGTATCCGCGGCACAGGCCGATCGACTCTCGCCGTGATCGCGGCCAGCGCGTTGGGGTTCCGCCTACTCGACGCCGACCAGCAGTTCTTCCAGACGACAGGCCTCTCGCGCGCCAGCTACAAGACACAGCACGGCACGGCCGAGTATCGCAGGGAAGAGCTGAAGCTTCTGCACTCCATGCTGTTTGAGAACCCGACAAAGTCCATCATCGCGTGTGGACCGGGAGCCGTGGAGGGGACGGGACAGGCGTGGCTTGCGGAATACGGCCAGACGCACCCCATCATCTACGTCCTGAGAGATGCCGAGGACGTCAAGAAGCATCTCAAGGTGTGGGATACGGAGGCCATCACGCGGCTGTTTCAACTGAGTGGCCCGACGCATCGATCGATATCCAACTTTGAATTTTATAATATTTCCGATACCGTAGGAAAGGCCTTGGGAGAAGTCACCGCCGTTCCCGGCCATCAGTCACCACGGTCTCTTGCGTTGAAGCGGGTGGAGCACGACTTTCTCGGACTCATTGACAGCATCATGGAAAGCGACCGGCAGGGCTCGGAACGGTATCGGGCCACCGAGGGCTCGGCTTCCTTACCCCTGGAGCGCCGGCCATACACCTATTCTCTCAACTTGCCAATGTCTTTGGTGGAGACCGCTGGAGCGGAACTTCGAAATATCACTACGACGGCCGATGTGGCGGAGCTTGTCATACCGGTCCGAGAGCTACAGACATCGGGAGCCGAGTTCGACGATGCAACGGCCAACCGCGTCTGTCGGTTGCTCTATGCCGTCAGGAGGTTCACCCGCCTCCCCATCATACTGAACCTGGAGCTCGAAGCATCGTCTACCGGCATGATGAGCGGCTTCTCGCCAGAATACACCTCGGCGTATTATCTCCATGTCCTGAACCACGGCCTCCGTCTCGCTCCAGACTACCTCTGCGTGGATCTCCGCTGCGACGAAAACGTCATCCGAGATCTCGTGGCAAGTAAAGGGACAACAAAGATCATTGCGCACTATACCTGCAACTCCCTCTCTCCGAGCGGCTGGCGCAACCCAGGCTTGGAGGACAAGATGAGGCTCGCCGAAGACCTTGGCTGCGACGTCGTGCGCATATGCCGCGAGGCGAAGTCAACCAAAGACAACTTTGAGATTCAGCACTTCAAGCATGGCGCCGGCAAGCCCAGGGACGTCACGATCCCGCTCATCGCTTACAACACCGGCCGTCTGGGCCGCATGTCCTGCTTCATGAACCCGACATTCACACCGGTGACGATGAACCTGCTCCGGAGACTGGCACCGGGTGGCTCACCCCACAGCCTCTTGACCATCCAAGAGGCGCAAAAGGCGCTCTACTCTTCCTTCCTCCTCGACCCCATGTACTTTGGCATCTACGGCACAAACGCCGCGACCAGCCTGTCGCCCTGCATGCACAACCCGGCCTTCAAGTTCTGCGGTATGCCGCACGAGTACAAAATCTTCCACCAGCCCACCCTCAACCACCTGCGCACGCTCATTTCCGACGAGAACTTTGGCGGCGCCAGCATCACGGCCCCCTTCAAGAAGGAGGTCTTTGCCCTCGTCGACTTCACGAGCCCCGAGGCCCGGGCCATTGGCGCCGTCAACACGCTGGTGCCGCTGCGCTCCCGCACCATTGAGTCCCTACTCGACCGCAACAGGGCCGGTCCGGTCGTGGCGCTGTACGGCGACAACACCGACTGGATCGGGATACACACCTGCATCCGGTACAACCTGTCTCCCATCAACGGCGTCAAGAGACGGACGACGGCGCTGGTGGTGGGGGCGGGGGGCATGGCGCGCGCGGCCATCTATGGGCTCCTGCGGCTTGGTGTTCGCACCGTGTTCATCCATAATCGGACGACGAGGACGGCGGAGGAGGTGGTGAGGCACTTTAACGGCTATCGGTTCACGAGTGACGGGGCCTCGACGCCGACGGAGGTCAACGCTTCCGAGAAGGCGGATGCTGTGGCTGTGGCGAGCAGTCCGACGATTCGAGTGATGGAGTCCAAAGACGACAAGTGGCCCGACGACGCCGATTTCCCCACCATTGTCGTCTCATGTATTTCCACGCGCGAGATCAACGGGGCGTCGTCGGCCGATACGAGCCTGCCCTCGGGTTGGCTGGCCAGTCCCACAGGCGGAGTGGCCATTGAGGTACTTACTCACGCGCTCCATGCCGCATGTTTTTCAACTGCTGATAAAAAGATCCTTTCTTAGCTATCCTATACGCCTCTCGAGACGCCGCTCCTCAAGCAGATCCGCGGCATGAGCGACCAAGGGTGGATCGCCGTCGACGGTCTCCGTGTTTTGCCGGAACAGGGTAAGAGGCAGTTTGAGCTGTTTACTGCGCGTAAACCTCCGATTGAAATGATGCGTGAGGAGATTGCACGGGCGTATAAGAAGAGACTGGAGGAGGGGGGAAAGATGCCGACTAGAGGGTAGATTGCTTGGCGTACATGTGAGCGTTGGCGTTTCCGTGTTTGAGTATTTTTTGGGTCAGATTTCTGTGCGATTGAGAAGTCCCTATGGCTATGAGTGTATGAAGAGCGTGGATATTCATCAGAAGACGCCGAAAGAGGTGATATTTGCGTAGGAAAGAGGTGTTTGATATCGGAGGCAGTGATTATGCCCACAATCACTGGGGATAGCTGGCTTAATAACAGCAGTAAGGACCTTTACCGTCGCTGCATGTAAGCACACGTCAAGATCTGGCCGATGACACCGAAAAGCAATTGAGACTATGACATCTTGGTAAATCTATCAGTAATTAATCACATTACAGTTTTCCTTCAATCTGCGTAGCATACTTCGGAGCCGGGAGGAAGCGTAGCCAGTTTCTTCTCGTCAATCTCTGGAGACCTGGTCGTATTTGTCGAAATCACCCTATCCTTGGACCTTCACGTACCAGTGCCAAACAAGACGTGCCTCCCACCGGTCTCCCACCTTTTCAAAAATTAGAAACAGAAGCGGCAGTCGGTTTCCACATGGAATTCGATGCCGTCCATCTCGAAGCGCTGCATGATCGTCGCCTTGAGCTTCGTCACAATGCGTCCCGATTTCAACAATCCGTATTTGATGAACAAAGGCATGTTACCCATGTGCAAATCCGAGTAATGACTTCACCAATATGATGGCCATCCTTCTGCCAAGTCTCTCAACTCCAATCTCCCCAGAACTAAGTGATCAGGTGGATTGTTACGAATGGCATCGACGGGACGGGAAGCTGCAGGAAGACTGCGGAGGTCAGGCATACTTTGAACCTGGCAAGTTGCTCTGACTGACATTGGGTTTTCGTAAACTTTGGCTCGAACAGTGCACATCATGTCGTGAGGCAGACCTAAAATGATGCGAGGAGTACATGTACACTTACACTTGTAAGTGACTGGGCGTATGGACAAGGTGTATTAGTAATCTGCCGCGTTTCGCTCTTCGGCACATCCATCCGGCTGATTCGGGGCCATTGGGGCCGCCGAACGGATGAAAACTTTGCCGTGTTGGGGTATGCGGGGGGCCCCGCATCGTTGCTTCCCCGCACCGATGCACGGAGCCACCTGTAAGTTGTGTTTAAATCGGTTCACGCGGAGACGAATTCGACGGGAACTTGGGGAAATTGTTTAACCAGTGTTGGTCACTACCTTCTTACTTGAAATCTTTTGGATCCTGCGACGAGCTGCGTCGCAAAAGTTGACGTCTTCTCTGCATTACGCCGCCAAACAATTCACCTATCTCGCCGCCGCACTTGTCTCGCAATTCAACCTACGAACCATCTGACAACCCTGGCCCTTTACCCCCAGGAGACACCAACCAAACTCACAATGGCAAAGTCGATCCTCCTCATCAACGGCCCGAACCTGAACCTCCTCGGCACCCGCGAGCCGCACATTTACGGCGCAACCACGCTCGCGCAGCTCGAGACGCAATCCAAAGACCACGCGGCGTCCCTGGGCGCAGACCTGCAATCCTTCCAATCCAACATCGAGGGCGCCATCGTCGAGCGCATACACGCCGCGCGGGGCAACGTCGACGTCATCATCATCAACCCGGCCGCCTACACGCACACGAGCGTCGCCATCCGCGACGCGCTGCTGGGCGTCGATATCCCCTTCATCGAGCTGCACATTAGCAACACGCACGCGCGCGAGACGTTTCGGCATCACAGCTACCTGAGCGACAAGGCGGTTGCTGTGATTATGGGGTTCGGGATTCATGGGTATGGGTACGCGATTGATCACGCGGTGAAGAATATCAAGCCAAAGGCATATATAAAGTTTTAATGGATTCCTCTGTTCGATTCCGTCTCTGGTGTAGGGTCAACGTCTCAATTGCGTGCCTGTCTGCATCCGGGTCGAACTGTATGTGGTCCTTCGAGTAGATGATGTGGCCAAGTCAATGCTGTGGCGCTGCTTTCCACTCTGTAAGCTGGAACTCGCAAAAGATCCAACGAAACAGGTAGGCTGCACTGATGCTTTGTGTCGTCGAAGCATGATTCTTGAAAACATTTGCAAAGCAGCTAGTGACAACCCCCCAGTTGATGGTGCCGCCGTAAGTATCGTGCTAGGTCGGCGAAGTGAGAAATATTAGCGGCAAAGATCTTTGCCGCCTTGATTCGGATGAGTGTATATAGCCTGTGGATGAGCAGTATTCTCTATGGTTGAGAGGAAGATGACGAGGTTGCGAGTGATTCATGTCATGCAATTATGTCCAGAAAGAAACAGCCAAGCCATGCTAAATTGAAATAAACATTTACTTGAGATAGATTCCACTATCAAAATTTCTCTTTGGTCATTTAATCCCTGAATACATCTGCTAATTTGCTGCAAAACTTCAGTCTTTCGTCATATCATTTGTCCCGATCGACGCATCTTCCCAGTAAAAAGGCAATGGAGCTACGGCCACAGCATTCTGTCTTCAGTCTTCTGGTCTGAGCTGGTACCCCAAAAGACCGTAGAAGAGATGCCAAGTTTGGTCAAAACAGTATCTATGATCTTTTCCATTGAGTTTATATTTCAAAGTTCCCGCGATCTCGGCTGCAGTTATGCCGTTGAGACTGGAACGATGGCCTTTCGTTCAATAACGCGGCAATCTAGGGGCAACTAAGATGACTGATCAAATTCCGCCGCTCAGATGCCGAAAGCCCTGGACAACTTAACACAGAATCTATAGAGGAATGGGATCCTTGGGAATCCAAAGATGTCAAAGAACCATATTATGCCCATGAACCACGCGCCAGGACTCGTTTGGAGCACTTTTAATTCATTTTTCCTCCTGGTTTGCATCTTGAACGAACTTTCGAGACTCGAGAAAAAAGGGAACGTCCATGACCGGTTTCGAGAGATAATCTGGGTTGTTCAGGACTGGACGAAGCAAAAATTGTCAGACTGTGGAAGCCGGAGTAACGTCGAGACTACACCGCAGGATATAAATCTCCGCCTGGCTTACGCCAGCATCACTGATGTTTTGAGAGCTCAGATACAATGTCTGAATGGTACACAAGATGCATTGAGTGATATTGCTTCTTCGGGGATACTTGAACAGAAGCAAGATCTTCTCCAATTTCTCGACAACACAAGGGCAACCCATACACCTCCAACTTTGCTGATACTTCTCAGTAATCTGGAAAATGCATTGGATTATCAAGTGAATATCCAGGATCATACGGCGGCTTATAAAGCTGTGCAAGGTCTAAGGGCTTCATTGAGTGAGACCATGAAGAGGTTATTCCTCAGAGGTCCAAAGAATCGCGGTAGACGTTGTTGCAGGCGCAAACAGTGGTGGCGAGGTGGTACTGGGCGATGAGGCCGTGGATTGTTGCGCACTCTGTGGCGTGGAATGCCCACGGTAGAGCGAGGCGTTTGGCGATGTCGTTGTATGCATTGGGGGTGCGATCGATGGAATGGCCTAGGCCGATGCCTACGAGTTGGTGGGTTTTCTCGCTTGATGATGACGTCTTTTTTTGAGGTGAGAGAAAGGTTCTGGCAATGATTTCGATGGACTAGATAGGGAGACTGTGAATAATGCTTAGCTCGATGGTGCTTAGTCTCGTGTTCATTGCCCGCGCTGGTCATGAAGCTTCAAGTGATGTGAATGCGTAGGCTCGGGCGGATAAGACGAGCCGCTGTCTAGACAAATAGAGCTGCCCACCGTCACAGCTGCAAAATTTATTGTAATCGGCAGTGCGGAGCAAAAGAATAGCAAGACGGGCCAGCTATTTCAAGATACTCCATTGCCAAAGTCCGAGACTTTCCATCAAGCAGTGGTCATTTTTCCATCGACTTAAACCATCACGCCGATGCCCACGAAAACATGAAAATTGTGGATGCTCCGGAAGACCACGGATGTGTCCAGAGCCCGTGGTCACCCCAAATAATGTTTTCAACCCCGTAATTATTCCACGAGATGGGTTGAGTCATTTGAATCAAACGACGGGTGCGCACGCAGGTGACCAGTTGGAAACAGCAATGTTCTGCCTCAAAGTAATCAACAAACTGGGACCTTTTGCGTGTTGACAATGAGGTTAGGCCGGATGAGCGTTAGCATCAACCGCTGAAAGCTGGGCGCGGGTAAAGCCGGCCGGAGCGGATCGCGGGCTTTTTTCGTGCGGTATGTCAGCTTCTGCACAGCAAGCCCATCTTGCCTCAGTTGACTTCGTAACATTAAGTGTAGATATTTGACCACTAGGCATATTTCACCAAGAACACACCAGAATTGTAGCCGAATAATCTGGTCTTCGCATCTCGACAATATGTTCACTGGGGTGCAGCGCATTGGCGGCTGTCATGCCCTCGCCCTGGCAGCAATCATACCATGTGGCTTACTTGCGAAGCACGCCTGGGATATTTACACGCGCATAAAGTTGGTCCAGAAGCGTCGTGTAGTCACCGCGGGTAGTCTTTCGGAGACCTTTAAACAATCGCATACCCTCGCGGCTCTAGTCAACCCCAGAAGACATGTCTCAATAGCAGATGTGCTGGTCATGGATTTGGACCTGCCCGAGCACGCAGAGGACCTAAGCGACGAGGTCCTGTTGGCGACTTTCGTTCATGGGTTCTTTGCGGGGAAAGTGTTGGCGATCGAGAAATATCTGTTGCAGACAGCGCGGCTGACACTGGTATCGTACGCTGGTAAGTTGCAACAATCAATATGTCTGCTTGGACCGAGGGGAACGAATTTCTGACTAGATGAAAGGCCTAAAATCGATATCAGCATCGAACCAAATATGGAAGTCACACAATCTGTCATGCGAGAAACTCCCACCACTGCACTCTGTAGTGTTTGGCGCGTTCCAAGTCAGTTACGTCAAGCTCGTCAACCCCCAAGAGTCACATGCGGGGCCAGAAACGGAGAGTAGTGTCGACTTTGTCTTTGGGAAGGACAAGAGTCAGTTCGCAGGCGCCCACCGATTCAGTATTGTCCGAAAGTCTGGAGATTCAACAAGAGTCAGAGTTGTTTATGAATCGACGGCTTGTAACCCGACTCGGAACCAGCCTGTGTCCGACCTTCTACACCAGTTTCACAAAATTTATATGATGCTGTTGTTCCGAGAGGGCGTGTCCGAGGTTATGCAGAGACTCGAAAGGAGCATCGGCGACGGTTGCCAATGAGCATATGGGAGGTTGAAAGTCGAGTGAGATTCAAATCGGCAGTGCGAATTGGACAGAAGGATGTTTTCCGTGATGGTTTCCAACACAATGAGGTTTATAGTGTTGGAATCCGCACGGGGTATTGTAATAAGATATCAATCACGACTCAATAAATAGTCTCATCAAGGGTGGTGCAATCGTAAAAGCCGCCGCAATTACCAGTCTTTACGTATGCAAGATCCTGGACGTACTGGGAAAGTCAGACGAAGACAAGGTCGTTAAGTTGTATACCACCTTCGGCATGTCCGATGCCTCATGACACGATGTTGGAACGGGGACCGCAGTTCGGGAGTATTAGTCACTGCCCGGATAAGTCTCTAATTACATAGATCACAGGTTTTCTCCAAGCTCGCCGGGCCATTGTTTAATCACGTTCAATTTGTTTCGTCTCACTTGACACAGCCCGTTTTTCCCACAACTACAAGCACGCCAAGTCTGTTTTTGGCAGAAGTCTCGCCATCGGAGTGGATTAGAATCGTGTGGGACATAGTATTGTCGTCGATCTTTGGGGCCGATAGCCGTAAGGGCGAGTGTCTTGCGGCGTTTTTAGACCTCATGGAGCAGCGTCGAAGATAATAGCATCAAGCCACTTGGCACCTGACTGTCCACTTTCCTATAGATTTTTCTGTGGGTTATCTGATCAAGAGCCTATCTATATAGCACTAATAAATAACGCCAAACGATTACTAGACCATTCGAATCTACAGTAATTGGGGAATCGGAGGCCCCCTTAGGTTTGATGAGACTGGCAATTCGTTTGCATCACAGGGATTGATTTGTATATAATGCATTTGAATTTCTCTAGCCGAATATGCTGACTAAATCGCCCAAATGTAAAATCTATTTACTTCCCCAAATTCCTTCCAATTATCCCAAAAATACACAACAAAGAGAAGTAAAGCTATAACGTACACCCACTCGTACTATAAACAAAAGAATAATATGGCTCAGATTTATTCACCGCTGTCAATGACATCGGGGACGTTGCCCTGGGTCCACTGAGACCAGTCCCTGCACACGTCGTTGACCTTGGAAGGAATTTGAATCTGCCTGACCTTCTGGGGCTGAACCAGCAACTGGGAAAAGAGACCGGCCGAAGCGTGCCAGGCAATGTGGCAGTGGAAGGGCCAGACACCGGGGTTCTCGATGGCGTCGAACTGCATGACCATGTGTCCGCCGGCACGAACCAGCTGGACGTCGCGGCGCTGGGGGTTTCCGGGGTTGGTGATGGTTCCGTCCCAGGTCAGGCCGTCACCCTCGTGGAGGATGTACATGTTGAAGCCGTGGAGATGCATGGGATGGCTATTCTCAAGTCAGTGATGTGCATTCAGGAAAATAAAAGAGGCACTGTGAAGGTTCGACTTACGCTGCAGGGCTGTTGTTGCTGACGACAATGCGAACGCTGCCGTTGGTGGCAAAGTTCTGGACGTTCCAGTCGGGTTCGAACTTCAGGTCACCCTTGTTGGCTTGAAGGAGCGTCGGGTCGTTGAAGTCGCCGCGGAAGTCAACACCACCAAGCGACCACTGAACAATACCAGAGGCGTTGCGGAAAACCTTGATCTCCATGGTCTCGGTGACGGGGACGTTGGCGGGCTTGAGCTGCATGACGGGCTTGGTGAGGGCGAGGTCGTCGTTGGTGCAGGTGCCGGGGTCAGGCACGTTCCAGGCAGTGCTAGTGGGCGCCTTGGTCTCGTCGGCCTGGTCGTAGTAGATGGCGGCGAGGGCGAGGGGCTGGGTGGCGAGACTGCAGCTGGTGATGTTGCTGCGCATCCAGTAGGCGCCCTTGGGGTTGCTGTTATCGGCGTTGGCCTTGACGAGGATGTCGGTTCTCTGTCCGATACCGAGGGTGACGACCTTTGTGTCGTAGGGCTCGACCTCGACAAAGTCGTTGGCGATGACGGTGAGGGTGTGCCCGTCGATGGAGAAGCGCTGAGTGCCCTCGGCACCGGAGTTGATTAGACGGAGGCGGTGGGTCTTTCCGGTCTGGAACTTGAACTTGGAGATACCGGCGTTGTTGGTGCACTTGGTGTTGTCTCCAGCAGCAACAGTGGAGCAGTTGAAGTTACCCTTGCCGTTGATGAGGTTGTTGTCCGAGAATACCAAGCCGCTGCCATTGACCTGCAAGATTTCCTCGATGAGATCGAAGTATTGCTTGTGGTACCAATCTGATAGATGTTAGCGCTATGTTCATCATGGAAATTTGCGTCACTGCCGAGCTATTCAGGTGGTGTCTTCGGCCGTCCGGACAGCCCCACCCCGAAGCCGGGGTTTCGATTGGCTAATGTAACCTGCGCCGAGTACCCACACCTCCGTTGCCGGGAAAGGAACACAGGGCCGGCCGGCTACTGGTAGCGGCATAGCAATTGGCGACCGCCCAAAACGTCCAAGACACCCTCCGATCTGCAGGGCTATTTGTGTGAAGGAATTGACTCACCCGAAATCATGACAGGGCCGAGATCAATCTCGGGCTGAGCCTTAGCCGGGCCGTAGATAACCATGGGTCCGACCAAGCCACCTGCATACTGAGAAGAGTAGTGAGAGTGATACCAGGTGGTTCCGTACAGGGTCGCCTGGAACCTGTAGGTGTAGGTTTTGGCGGGAGCAATCGGGCACTGAGAGATGGCCGGTACACCGTCTTCCCACTGGGTGTTCTGCTGTCTGAATCCATGCCAATGGAGCGAGGTTCCCTCCGGGCCGTCAGTGATGTCGTTGGTGACCTTGACCTCGATCCAGTCACCCCAGTTGGCCTCGATGGTGGGACCGGGGAAGGCGCCGTTCACGAGCAGAACGTTGCGCTCGTAGCCGTCAGGAGCAATGACACCGCGGCTGATGGTGAAGTCGTAGTTGCGGGTAACGCCAGTGTTTGGCCACTGTTTGTAGTAGTTGGTACCGTCGGCGGTAAGCTTGCCCCAGGGCAAACCGTTGGGAAGCGGGTTGTTATTCATAAAGAGTGGCAGCTTGGGAGCATTCAAGGTGCCAAGAGGAGATTTTCTGTATTGGTGTTAGTCAAGACCACGCCCTGTCCAATGTTTCACTGCGTCTTGCTTAGAGGGTGTCATACCCATTGGTCTTGTCTTGGCTCAGAGACGCTTGGATCGAGAACAACCAGCCAAGGAAGCCTCCCTTTGCGCTTTTGATGGCAACCATCTTGGCAGCTAACCTTTTCGGTAAGGTAAGAAACGAATGTGTAAAAGATTGTTGTCAGATGCCTAAGTGAGTGACTGCTGATGAGTTCCAAATGCCAAGAAAGAGGGCGAGCATGTTTGAGCTATATACTTGATGAAGGAGGCTCGAGTATAGTTAGCAAAAGACTAAAAGAGCGACGGACTTCCTTCAACGGCCAGGAGACAAAATCTCAGCAGCGTAAAAAGCCCTGTCGATCGTCGTTGAATCCCCTAGTAGGTACAGTCGGACTCGGGAAGCCTATCCGGGTTGCTATGCTGAGGCTTATGGGCTTAACCCGATCTGCATCAGCACTGCTGCTCCTTGACGGCACCTCTCCGCGCTAGCATCTCACGCATTGTCTAAGAATGGTGCAAGGTACCGACCAGGTCCCTGTTGCTCTAGCATCAACGTTCGACCCCGTGCCGGCAGAGCTGAGGCCGAGACTCTGGTAACTTCTGCATGCCGATGAGCTTAATTGATACGAACTTTTTACCTTGTTTCCAATTATGGACTGCAGGTTCTGAAGGTTCCGGCGTTTTCTTCGTCGGATGATCCTACGAGCCTCACGCACACCCAGAAGTCTGCAGCCCAGCCTCTTGCTTCTCCCGAGTGACTTGAGGGACAGCATCAGTCATCAGCATTCCCGGGCCGCATTCGCTGACCTGACATGTTCAGATAGGAATAGGAGTTCCGCTGAAGAGCTTCAGGTGAGCCACCATTTGGTGGCTAAGCGGGTGTGGCGTGAGCGTTGTCTTGCGGCTGGCTTGGATAGAGTTTTGTGTGGTCAGCTACGTGCCGTATTTTGTGGGCGCACGTATGTTGTTCGCACACGGGCCATTCACATCCATACGGCAACAGATCCTTCCAGACTTCGTCTGACCCAAGGAAGACTCGAGGCTCTCGGCCTGTAGCTCAAAGCCTCGGTGCGAGGTGCCAATGACCGGCAGGCTGCGGAATCGCCCTCCTCGCTGCACATGCAGCTATCAATGGTACAGCAAATTGAGTTTCTCGTACAAACGAAACGCTGGCTGTCGTTCAAGCCGAGGACGAGAACGAGTGGACAGCACCCTGAAACATTTCAACGGAGATCCGGAGGGCCGAGCTAGTTCATAGTGGATAGACCAGAGAGAGCCCGTCTGAAAACATCAGAAAACTGTCATTAACTGGTGGGGAACGCTAGTAGCAAAACCGTGTTTTCTTTCGTACCGAGCGGGCTTCTTCCTCTCCTTGCATCGAAGCTCAGGGGCAGCTTTGGCGACGAAGTGGCTTAAGTGCCTTTGCGTCCGAGTTTTGACCTTGAGCTAATCCGCTACGGTGGGGGAAACTTATTCAACATCGGATTGTTTAAATGCAATGTTTAGAAACGGACTACGGAAAACTTTCACTTCGCGAATTCCCCTTACAGCCCCATTCTTTGTTGCTAGCAAGAGCTTTGTTCAGCTGCTGACACGTCTCAGCTTGAAAGTTGGTCAGGAATATTTTGAGAGGGCAAAGGAATTCATGAAGATGACCTAAGACATGAAAACTTGACCATCCACGTCCCTCCACCTACGTCGCGGGGTCTCTGCGCTAGCTGAGCTAACGAGGACAAACCCCCCCTGCGCTAGACTGCACCGCCTCGGCAATCCTGTCATATCGAAGCGTACCGCTCACGCTCCTTTCAGGATCCCGAGGTGCCGGCAACCCGGGACCGTATCGAATGATCCCAAATAAGAACTGCGATGCGGCTAAGTGGTTGTCACAGAGACGATGCAGGACTGCAGTCGTGCGTCGAAGCATCTGCAAGGCTCTGCGACAGTCCGTTCCAAAGGCTCGGATGACGCAGAGTCGAGGTACGGATACGTGCGAGAGGAAGAACGGATGGCAAGCATCGCTGAGCTTGGCTGCAGCCCTTTGTGGCATGCGCTTCCGGCAGGGACCCGATGCCGCGCCCTGAGGATGATGATGACGACGACTTGAATTTCTACAAAGGCTAGAGCTCACCGAACCTATTGCCCCATTGGTGATGGTTGGCCTATATTAGCGTCAGGCACAAAAGCCGAAGCCCCTTTCGGTCCAGCACTAGCATCGCGGACTCCCGATTGAGTTCTAGTGAGATACAAATAATTTGTGGTTTGCAATTGACACCAGCTAACGACTCGAGCAATATCCAACCACGAGCTACCACAGATTTCCAAGAGGCTGGGCAGCTATAAGTCCACGGACTCATTGACATTGACTCACGAACAAGCTTTCGAAGACCGAAAGTTTGTTTTTTATACCAAAAACCTTGCCGCTGGAAGCGGAGCTATTCTCAATCTTGACAATCGCATTTCCGCTCAAAATACGGGACTATTCACAAAGCCCAATCTCAGATGCACATAACAAAGCCAAGAAACAGCAGCCCCCCAAGAAAACTCCTGCAATAATAACAGTCGTAATAATCAACCAAACTCGCTTCCATACTTCATCAAAGCCCATCATTGATCTGGGTCGCCAATCACTTTCTTCCAGTCGCAATCGAGATAGAAACAAGGTTTAGTGAGTGCGCCGCATTCTGGGCAGGATGAAGACATCCAGAAAGAAGCTTCATGTTGACTTTGTGACAACGTGCCTAGTCTCATCAATTTGTTGCCACAGCTTAAGTTCCTCAGTGTATCTCACCGTTGTTCCCATAGAATCGATGCAACCCAAGTTGGCAGGATATGCATGCACCTCTTATAGGTACCCCTCTATTATCTGACACGAACGCAGACATCGATTCTTTATTGAGTTGCGAGGGGTACAGCAGGCACAGTCTTCTTTGGGAAGAAATGCCAAACGATCTTTTGAAGAAAACCAGTCGCCCACTTGCGAGGCTTCTTCACTGGCTTTGATGTACCATCTTCCGACTTGATCTTCATGTATGTGCCTGTAAGGTAGTTTCCAAATCGCAAGTTACGGGCCGGCTTAGTAGCAGTCTTGAAGTCCTCGGCCTTTGCCTCGGGGAATTCTTCGTAGATCTGCTGGATAACACTGTCCCCGATGTACGCATTGTAATTGACGACGTTGTAATGTCTCTTCTTGGATACCACGGCTTCGTCAATGTCCTGGCAATCGATCCCCCACTCATGGTCATCTTCATCTTGGTCGCAGTACTGTGCAAGACATCTCTCATGCTCCAGGAGTCCGTCGAGCTGCTTCACTCCAGCTTGCTCAAAAGACGGGAACTTGACGAAAACATTGTCGTCTAGATCACAAAGTTCCCTAGCAGAGTTGGAGCTGACAGTGGACAATTGAGAGACCGAGACTTGTCTGATTCGTCGCTTTTCTGGTCGGATACTAATGGGCTCGATGGGGGAAATTGCCTGGCTCTGGTACAGATTGGTAAGGCCAGACACCTTCTTTCTGCTCTTGAGCGTGCGGCCAAAACTCGTATTCAGCAAAGGAAAGGGCTCCACGTCGGAGATGCTTCGTTGCCTGCGGTAGTTCGTATCGTTCGGTGTCTCGGCGTTCAAGGGTTGACTTGTGATGGTCTTTGACCCCAGAGGGAAAGCTTGTGTACCCTCCTGGCTCTCGGAGTGTGTCCACTAGACAACCTCGCGAGTCTTTTTCGGGGCAATAGATCGCATGGAAGAGTGAATCGTCATTGTAGCTGGATTTCTGCATCGCAAAATGCGGACCGCCAACTGATTCTCGGGTTCAAAGGTCGTGTTGGTTACCGAGGCGGAAATTGCGTTCTCATCTTGGTGCGCGGTAGTCTGTGAACGGCATGAGACTGATTCAGAGCTGCCTTTGCAAGTGCCCATATGACCTTGAGTAACGGTTACAAGGCTATCCGAAACCACCGTGTCATGGCGAAAACTGTCGGTGGATGGCTTTCGATTCATCTTATTGATTGCGACAGCGGCCTTGACAAGACGTCGGCTTGGCTTGCCCTTGGACGAGGCATGCTTCGGGCCTTCTTCCAGAAAGGCAAATAGGCGTCGAATGCAACCCATAATGTATTCCGTAGTTATCAGTGAATGCCGAAAGAAAACGAAGGCCGGCGAAAGATGGAGAGCATAAAGTTATCTGTATAGGAGACGCGTCGGTGTTTGCTTGACAGCTCTCAAACAGTCCGTCGTGATCTGATGCGTTTCGCAAATGATGCAGGGTATTGTAGACGATACTCGAGGACTTGTGACTGGAAGTAGATCTGGACAAGACAGTGCGATATTTGGCTTTGTCAGATAAAGTTGGGAATCGAGATGCGCAAAGAAGCGCGTCAACTGGCTACTGGTGTTGTGCAGGTAAAGGTACAAAGTGCTGTTGAGCACAGCAGAAACTGGAGAAAAAGTGGTTGGATAATCGCGGTATCTCAAAGATGATTGGTAGTTGGTAAGTAAAAAGGTTTGTGGGAAATCTTTAGTCCTATTTATAAGGAGCATGCGAGGCTCTGAATGATGCGTTCACCTTTGGCCTCCTACCAGCTTGGAGGTTCCGTAAGGCTATCGGTGGCTACAAGTTCACCTGACAAGAGCATATCCGCATGAATTATGAAAATTACCAAAGCATCATCAGTGCCTAATGTCCGAATTAACCTCCAATCGCATTGCAGGAAACCGGCAACCGTTGACTTTATCTAGGGTGAAGTTGAAATGATGAGCCCATTTTTCCTAATTAGGAAATATCACGACTTCAAAACCCCACACTACCTTACCTCGACAACACAACACCTTCACCTTTTACTAATTCGAACATCTTCAGCTTCTTCGGCACTGTCTTTGAATCAGTACGCGTAATATCAGAAACAGCCTAATGCCGTTGTTGCTACGGCACCTGAGTGTTGACGCGTTCTCTGTTTGCGCGGTTCGGTTGGGCTTTTCTTCCTCCACACTGATTCTGGCAGAACCGAAATTTCGCATCAATTGCAAATACTATTGCGGTTCATACTTTCAACATCATCTCAATTTATCATCATCAGATTCATTGTGCAAGCAAGTTGATGCAAGGTGCGAGCTCATTACCATTTGTCACGACATATAACTGTGATTACTGCTGCCCGCATTAACAGGCCTGTTTTTGCCGTGACACAAATTCTCATCACACGGTCGTCAACCATACCATCCCAATTGCTTCATATCGGCAAGCCAGAAACACGCATTCATTGGGTTTTGGGAGAGCTGCCACAGCAACACGCCCATTCATCTACAGCCCTCAGTCTTGAGTGGAGTTCATAGGAAATGATGCGAGCGTCGACTAAAGTGTCTCAGTTGCAATGATGAACAAATTCGGTATGTCGCGCTTAACTGTTGATGTCAATGACGACGCCCAATCGCATCGACTATGTTCTGATAACTGATAATACTTTTGGCAGACCACGCGATCCAAGGCTTTGTTGTCTCTGTTCTGGCTGAACAAGAGCACTGGCCATTCAACAAAGGCGTTCCTCCAGCTTGTCCAACCTGTCCACAACCACTCCTACACAGTGGAACTATCCATAAGGTTCCTTGGGCCCCAGGTCCAGTGCATCAGGTTGGTCTTCTCCTTGTCCGAAGAAGCATCTTCGGGGCCCCCCACAGCCAAAATACGGGATCGTTCCCTGGATTCGGTCGAGAGGTCTTTCAAGCCCTCGAAAGCGCGTATGCCAAAGATTCACGACAACCCATCCCTGCCGACCCTGTGGCCGATTCAGATCCTCCTTTTGTCTCCCATCAGAGGATGATTTCAGGGTGCACCTACGCCGAACGAACCGACTCGGAATACGCTGCCAGCGACCAAGACTGGAACAGTGGCGATGACTCTGTGATTTCTTCCAGAGAGGACGAAGAAAACCAAGCTATTGACTAGGTGGCATACTTTGAATTCTTTCCAATGACGTGTGAAGATATCCTTTCCGGAAACCTGGCCCCCGAAGACGACTTCATCTGCACCATAGTCCATGTCACCCCCCGTCATCCTCAAGCGTTGGCAATGCAGGCGTTCCTGGAAAAGTTCCTAGAGACAGAGGACAAGGCCTTCGACATTTATCTTGGTCTCTCAAACACAAGTACGCAGACGGCCTTCAGATGCTCGGCACCTTTCGATGTCCTGGATGAAGAAGAGGAAACCACCTTCTATATCATAGATGCCTCAGACAGATGGAACGAGGGTCTTGGCATTCTGGCAAGATTTCGCGAGTCAGACGCAGTTGAATATGAGGATGGTCTTTACTGTGACGCTTTCGACAATTTCGACTTCCGGTGGAAGGAATTAACCTACCTTGGCGTGATGGGTGACTCGAAGTACTTGGAGCAAGATTTGATACAACAGATCCACGACGACATGAACGACCAAGAGAAGGAGTTCGCGTCCAGGTCGATTCCCCTTGAAGAAAAACAGACCTACCATAATGTAACCTGGCTGGATTGTCAGGCTTACAATGATGAAACCTTTGGCGATCGACATGAAGGCTCGGTGGTCTTGGGTACCCAAGACCAAGTTTACCCGCCCAGCCACGAAGAATACTCTTCTTTAGACTCACAGAGCCTTCATCAAGAAGCTGAGAAAGATGAATAAGCGGAGCCAATCCTTTTTGCCTTGTGTGAAAACCACCAGGTAAGTTTTATATCTACCATTTTCTGTTGGAATGTTAAATATACTGACTCTACAATTAATTTGCGTGTAGAAGGTTGTTTACTTTGTTCTCTTTGGCCTATGTCTCATGCCACATGAATGGCTTCCGTTATTTCAATATTTTGATTGTGTGAAAAGAGAATAAAGCTATCGCCTTCGACCTGATGGCATTGATGGGGCTTTGATTTTTAGAGCACTGGAACCAGGGTAGGCTTTCTCGCCGTTGAAGACACAAATTATTCAGGCCTATGCGATTGCTCATGGCTCATTTGCTTTTCTATGGAAACGTTTTTGGGGGGTTCTGATAGTTGGGATTAACAGGCGTTTTATGCTTTTTATCAATCATGGCTCTGCATTCAACTGACAGTGCCCGTTCCTTTCATCGACGATTTATCTTTGAGCCCTGGTAGCTTTAATTACAAAATCAGAACATCTGCAGACTTCTCTGACCAGATTACCGTATAAGAGGAAGAAACAAGGACTCTGTAATGTCTTCTTTAGCTGACAGGTTGGGGTAGACAATATGAGAAAACGAGAACGAAATACAAGTAGGTCTTCCTTCTGCACCCAACCGGCTCTAGTCTAGGGACTAGTTGAACATTAATTGGCTACTATACTCGGGCGTCAATTAAATAGGCTAAGGTATGGTGCAAATAGATTATAGAATTTCCATCGTGCTGTTACGATGCGTGCGTGTGTGAATGAATTTAGAACCGCACGAGGTATCAATATAACATGTACGGCGTTACCATTAATTCATGCAGACCTCAACCCATGGCCCGTGGACTAATCCACTTGATGTGAATATGCAACTATATTTGCTCCAACGACCTGTCCTATCTGCTGTTTTGCCAGTCAAGGGAAAATTAGAGGCTCACGTCAATTGGCAGCACTTTAAGTAGTATTCTTGCCTTTGACTACTTCCGAACCGCGCTCTTCAAGACTTTCTTTCCGTCTGCGTAGCTATCCGCAACGGTTAATGACAAGCTGGCCTTGACAACGGCAGGCCCGTTGCGCCTCTGCCCAAACAAAATGGTGCTTCGGAACACCCTGTCAGCCTCCCCAGGCTGGAAATTCTTGTAAAGTTTTGCAGCGATGGCGGCATCCGTGGTCGTACGACTCATTCCTCTCTGAGTGTATCGATCGAAGTGCATGACCAAGACCTGCCAAATTTGCCAGACTGTCCATATATATTGAACAAAAACGGGCATCCAGGTAACTTGACAAAGGAGGCCGACTGGGAAGTAGGTGCCAAAAGCGATGACGACTGCCAACTGTATAACTTCGCGGAATCGGTTGCGCACAGGATGTCCGTAATGGCGGAAGAATTGGTTGACGATGGTGGGCGGGCCTGTAATAAGCATGAATTTTCCTTCGATTGCTGGGCAGTTGATTTCCCAGTCCCGCGTCTGCTCGTCGTTGACGGTGTCCGGGAAGGTGTTCAAGCCCTCGCGTTCAAGCGCGAACAAGGTACCGATGAGTCGAAGGACGAGCGGTATAATGAAGATGATACTCCATAACGAGCCGGTGATGGCGGCTACGCATATCATGATGCCAATGCCAACACATTCGGTGAGAATAATCTCTACCAAGCACAATAAATCAACATGCTTGATTTCCTCTGAAATGAAAGGGACCCTGGAATTGCTGAGGTCCTCTTCTGTGGCCTTGGAAAGCACCAAATGGCTCACGGCGACTCTTGCGCGCACCGGTTTTATCATCTCCACAAGGGCAACCTTTCCGTGTTCAGCGTCATTGCGATTTCGGACTATGGGTTCTTTGATGGCAGGGAGGGGCATATTCAGCAACGCCTGGACCCAAAGGCAATTTCGAATTTGCGATTCCCTCTCAGGTTCGCCTCCACGGGTATGCAGAATGTACGTCCATTCGAGATCCCGGTAGAAATGTGTGCCGAGCATATGGCCTTGTACAGCTCCGCTAAAGAGTCCATTCTTGTAAGAGGTGTCGATTACATCAAGGGCAACTGATCCGATTGGGCCCGCCATAGAGTACAGACATGCAAGGCGTGGCATGTCGTAGACGGAGAAGGACGAGAAATGACGCTGAGGCCAAAGGAACCTCTCGAAAATAGCGCTCGTAGCAGCTTGTCCACCCACGTAACCCAGCAGCGAACTGAAGGCGCCAAAGACCGGCGCATCGGCTTGGTCCGACATTGCAAAAATCTTTCTTGGTACGAATGCCGATGCGCACGCGTTGGTGTTGGGGTAAAAGCGGTGGTGGACTACTCCTTTGAATATGTGGGCGATCGACGATCAGTTATATTGTTAGGCGGCCCACATCGAACAAATCATTAACTGTTGTTCGCACATAGATGCTGACCTGCAGAGAAGAAGGATTTTCTTCCCTGGGTCTGGCAAGAAAACAGGCAGCAACTTAAGTTGAGGCGACATGGGTATGGAAGGGCTAACTGGCGCCCTACCACTTCTCTGAGCTTGTGGGCTCACTGCATGACTAGCGAGAAGAGCTCTTCTTCGCGATCAACGAGCAGTGAGAGGCTGCCCTCTAGAATATAGTGTGGGCCCAATACTTGGGCGTAAGCTTACATTTCGACCAGGGGACGCCCAAATGCACAATGGTACTAGGTGGATGGCACGTAAGACAGGGGTAAGACAACCTGCCTTTCGGGATGGATATGGATCCACAAACTGGCCTAGAGTCTCTTTCTTAGATCTTACCCGAGTCTGAAGATTGAAAAACTACTTAAGGGATTTCATCACTCGCTGGGGAACACTTACACATGTATCAAAACAAAGCTCTTCGTTAACTCAGCCCAAATGACACCTTTTTTGAGGAACCAGGAAGAGTTGCTGAACCCCCACCCACGCTCTCATCCGATTTTCATAGACACCGACTGGGTCGCCAAGAGGTAAGTGTAGGCAGAGTTTTGAAATAATTTTGAAGCAGAACAATCATCTTCTTCAGCTTATGCCTTTGTTCGAGATTCAACGTGGGCCAGAAATGTTCAGTTGGAGACAGGAAGAGGCACTAGACCAAGGAACACAATGAAAACCAATTCGCAAGGCATATCTGCATTCAAATAGCATGCTAGAGTGGTATGTTTATTTAACCGCAAAATGGAATGAACCTTGCACGTATTCACTCTGGACTTCAGCTACCCACCAAACGAGTTTATAGCTTCTCGCCTAAGTAGAAATCTTAATGAGACCGGGGTCAAATCTTCGCTAGCCAACTAATCTCAATACCACCTCCACGGTACTCTAGGGTAGAAAGCGGGCTTCATAGTCACAGCTTCAGTCTATGGAGCAGGTATCAACTCGGATGTTTTGAGGGGCGAAGCCGCACTAAATTCTTCGCTGGGTCTGCATGGAAGTCCTCAGGCCAAAGTCTGAGCATTTCACCTCTGTGATTCTTGGATGGATCCCCTTCAGGTGAAAACCCGAAGATCAGGTGAAGTTTGAAAAGGCGCACTCGCGGCTCGTGACTCGAAATAACTCCAGTGCTACCACCTCGGGACGACCCGGGAGCTGAACGACCCAACGACCCCTCAGACGACCCCTTGAGTACTTAAATACCCATTTCTTCCTCTACCTCATTTTACTTTTCCTTCTTCATCCTCCTGAAATCCACGAAAGCCTTTCGTCTGCCCGCTACCTGGCCGATTACAAGAAACTTAACAACGGTGACTTGACCACAGTCAGGCAAGTACTCTTTTCGTCCTGCACCAAGATTTACTTCGAATTCATCTAAGCCTAGGCGGGATCAGAATCCGCTCACTCTGTTATCTCGACTGAATTTGATGAATACCAGCGAACAAAATCGGTGAAGATGTCACTACTTGGCATTGTTCATCAAGGTCTCGCGTTGCTATTCAGAAACCCAAATGAGACGCGGGAAGCTCGCGATTTAGGCTTCTGTCCCCAGGGCCTCACTTCTCTCGAGGGGAGGAGCAGTAACGTCTTCCTCAACGCGTTCCGACCCGTCGCGTTCACGCGTCACGAGACTTCAATCGGACCGTTGCGCCGGCCTTCGATCTGCACCGGCTTCACGATGCCAACCTTCTTGCAAATGGCCAAGGTGAGGGATGGCAATCCTGTTGAGGAGAACCTGGCTACCAAATGCATTGAAAGCGTACATGAAACGCAATCTCTGGCGGCGTCCAGCAGCATCCTCCATGAAGAGACCAACGTCAATCAGTCATTTGATGGTGAAGACGATTAGAGATCGCCTGAGCCCTCTGAGTCTGATTTCTCGGAGACCTCAAGCATTGAGATGTCGCGAAGAAGTTCTCCAATCCCAGGTACGCTCTTCGTGCTCTTGCTTGGAAATGATGACAACCTTATACTGACTAATGCCAAAGCAGGATGGGGATCTGAGAATTTCCTGGATCCTCTTGAAGAACTTCCCCCTCGCCCCTCTCGACCACTTTTCGGCCAGAGAATTTCAACCACCATCGAGGACGACTTGCTGGACTCTTCACTACAGTTCCAGCGGCCTATTGGTTTTCAGTCTGAGTACGAGTTTGGCGCCTTGAAGCAAAATTGTGAACCTCGTAATGGAGAAGATGACAACGACTCGATCGTCACAGCTGTCCGAGATGGTGATGGTCTTCTGGAACCCACTCCACTCCGTGCCCCTGGAAAGTCACATCCCAACCGTGCCAGGCTATACGGCGCCTCTTCCATATTTACTGAAGCTCAGAGTGAGCACCAAAGGTCTAATCTTATCACGGAGATGGTCGGAGAGATTGATGAAATTCTGGGCACCTTTGGATGCCATAACTCTCACGAAGTACTCGCTGAAGACTATCGTGCGAGTGATTCTTTCATCGCATCCGAAGAGCCTATGCCCCTACGGATCCCCGCGAAGAAGAGGGACGTTCACACAGGCCATCCTGTTTATTACAGCACCGAGGCAAATCCCTTGTCCACTATTGACGAGAGAGACAATGATCAAGAAGAAGAGTTCTTCCATCGATCGGCTTTGCCTTCGCCCCTTCATCTGACAAAGAACAACGGCTTTCTTCACGCCTCTGCGGTACCCGCACCTCTACGCATCATCAAGCAATCCTACATCGATGCTGGACACGAATTGAAGGGTCAAAGCACTCTGCGAGCTCACAACAATAAAAAGCCGGCTGGGCCCAGAAGTATAGAACACGCCAGAAGACAAACCAGCTTCCTACCAGATTCGCCCATAGAAGCTCCAGTCCTTGGCCCCTTGTTCGACGAAAGCTCATTTGGCACCCCTTTGGTTCCCTTCGTACCCCATGGCTCGCCTCGTCGGCTCTTGTTTCCCTCGCCCGATTCGATATCCTACCTCAATCATGAGCCTACCCAGCGAGTCGAACTCGACGCTAATGATATCGCCACGGTGATAGAGGCCCCCACCGGCCCAGCTGGCGCAACGGAGTGGGACGAAGAGGACTCCATTGACTTCCTGCTCGACCCCATCGAGAATGCGCCGCCTCCCGTGCCGACTCACGCGCCGATTCGTCCGCACCGGGACCCCATACTCATCCATGGCGCTGTTCTCACCTGGCTGAGGAATTCGCAGTATACCAGCATTCCTCAAAGTGCCCGCAGCCATGGCGGATTCGATGCCCCTCGTCCCCGTCGTGTTCGAGACACCGATGCCAGTAGCAATGACGAAGTTCATACCCCTTGTCCCCTTCGTTTTCGAGACGTCGATGCCAGAACAGGCGCTCTACTCTACCCAATTGTGCAGCCTTCCAGCGAGTCCGCGTACGATGAAGATGAATTCCAGAATGCCATGACCGCTCAGATTGAAGCTCGGGCAACTGACTTAGATGAGCAGCTACGGCTCCGAGAGCCGGTCTACCCTAGCAGAATTCTTCTATGGCCTCTGCACCATCCTTGCGTAGAAAGTGAGGGCGAGAATGCCTCCTCAGACGCCGAATGTAGCCAGCCGACTCCAAGATCACCCACCACTGAAAAGCGATCTGAGAGCCCCTATTTTCTGTGAAACTTCGCCGAATAGCCACCCGAGCTGCAAAAATTGAGAGGTGGGACTCGATGTGATCTTTGGAAGAGACCGCTGTAACGATGACCAAGAACCGAGATGTCAGCATCACTTGTATTGGTGCTTGTTTCGATGACTGATATGTCCGCTTCCGAATGAGTCCGAATACTGTCATTTCACCGCGAGGCCCAGGGACAATCAGACGATAAATGAACTGGCTGATTGAGTAAACGCCCTGGGAAAAAGCGGACGAACGCCTGGATGAATCCTCAAATTGTGAATCGGAGTATTGATAAGGGAGCTGAGATATGAGGAGCATAGTGTTTGCCGTAGTAGACGGGTGAGCGAGATTCGGACGGTCCAAGATTGGACATAATGTCCTGTGATTTTGGATTGAGTTGGAGTTTTGGTTTTGCGAAACGGCGTTTCCTTTTTCGATGCTGATTTGGGCGAGCTCTTATTTCGTTGGTATCCCGGACGGGCTCTGAAAAAGCGATTGTAAGCCACCGATTCTACTGTGCTACTACGTGGTCAAATATACTTAGCTGCTATATGGTTTCCTTTTCTTTTTCTGTACTAAAAAGCAATTCACAACTCCGCCGCGGCGTCCCTCCTGCAAAGCCCAACTGCCTCAATTGAATGGATTGAAACCCCGTCGCTAACTCATTCTTGTCTTGTCCTCTCATCATCGACTAGATTGTGAGAGCTCTGCCCTTCATCATCCTCGGCATTGTCGAGCGGCTCCAACTCCTGTTCACTAGCCGCATCCCCTAGCTCCACGTCCGCTGTATTCCCACGATCGCGAGTTCCTCCCACTAGAGTCCCTATCCTCGATGTGGTGGAACTCATCCACCCAAGAAGAGAGTCCTCTTTGATGACCCTCCGTCGTTGGCCGCCAACCGTCGTTCGGCTCCTCCTTGCGCTTTCCATGGGATTTGGTGCGCGGGCCGGTGGCCGATAATGCCACTGCCAAAACCTACGGGAGAAAAGAGGGCGTAGTATGGGCGCATTGACGGCAATCAGGCCGACTTCGCATTCTCGGACACCCCATCGATTGACTGTAATTGTTGAGGGTTCTGAACCCAAAGTTACCCCGACGCGCATGATCGCGGCCGCGATGACGAACAAACCAGAGCATATCAGCACTGCTATGAACACTTTTTTGTAGAAAGGTACCCTGATCTCCTTCAAGACTGGCAGGGGCAAACAAAGAATGGCGGCATCGGTAACGACGTCTCGTTTTTGATCAGCTTGGATTACGTTCAAGCAAACCGACCATTGAACTCACTGAGAAACGTTGAGACTAGTAGATCTTGGGCCTTGAACACACACTTTTCGCTGGGTAGGGGTCTCACTCCCCAATTATCAGAAAACCTGTGAGTTGCCATGAGCAGAATTTTCAAGGCTAATATCGGAGTTCAACACTAACGGCATGCAGCTGAATGTTATCGTTCCAACCACAACCAAATACGATAAAATCGTGAACCACGTCAGATATTTGAGCACTCTTGCGCTTTGCCACAAATCGAATGTCATTCGCTTGCTTATCTTTCGTCAGATCATCTCCTGTAAAATTCTCAGAGGGACGTGAAATACTAAAAGAACAGCAAGGTTGCTTTCATGGACCACAAATATGCAGTGTACGAGTACCAAGCTACTTGCTGGAACTTGGAGCCCAGTACAAGTCGTGCCACTTCTTCGTCGGATAGAGTGCTAATCTGAGCAGCTGTGAGGTCCACATTCGTGCCATATCGATCTGTACTCACATACATCAGTCTTGCTGTACACCTTCTTCTAGCCATCATTGATGATACTTACATACCAAGTCAACCATCACAAAACAGACGGTGTAGAGGAACAGGGTCTATCGAAATGTCGTGTCAGAATAAGGTCTGCTCAATGACTCGATTGCGCCTTACGACAAGCATTGCATAGTCATCTCCCCTGAGGCTTCTGGGACCAACCATGCGAATCCTCACAAAGAACCGCAGTAGTATGACGAGAGCCCCAACACCAAACCAAGTCCAAATCTCCTTTAGAAACCTATCATCGCGTCTCAAGATGCTTTCTAATTGACTGGTCGCCATAATTGCAGTCGTCGCGCCCGCCGACGCATCAATCCAGCAGTGATCATCTGTGTCCCTAGGTTAGAGGGCTACTGTAGGGCGCGTATCCATGGACCGTGCGTAGATGATGTCGACGACGGGCTTTCCATATGTTACTTGTACGGTCGGCTGGTTCTAAAGTGTTGTCTCGTTTGGCTTCACGCAGGTACGCTATCCTACGGTAGGTTTGGAGAAAAAGGTGAGGTTTGGGAGTCTGAGGTAAGCCTTTGCAATGCCGAACTCAAAGGTAACGAGCGCGCCGGGGACGAAAAAACGAATGACCGAGGTATGTCAGACCAGCAAGACCAAAAGAGGGGTCTTCTTTTTGTGAACTCTCTGATCGCCCTTTCAATGACTCGTAGGGTTTCGTAGTCTCAACTCTATTCTGCAGTGTTGCATGGGACAAAATTCTGTAGCGGCGACCAGGCATTTTGGTTGACCAAAGAAAGACACAAATTTAGCCACATCCCGCCAACCAATATATGGCTGCTCTTTACGACACGAAGACCAAGTTCGGCATGCTGAATTTAGGGTTGATGAAGATCGAGACCTGAGCCGCTGCTATGCAACTATTTCGTTGAAATCTTGAAGCGCCACCTGGCACCAGGTCAGGTGACCACTATTTTTTGGCTTGCGAAATAAGCTTTCGGGAAGATTATAGGCTTTTTGGCATCACAGGTTTAATGCTTCGGGGGCTTCTAGAAGGCAGATATTCTCTGTGGCAGAACATAATTTGGCAAAACAGTCATCCTTACAAATTTTAGGAGTTCGGATGATGCAGAGCATAATGATATTCCGGTCCGGGGTAGGTTCTCTTCAATTTCACCGGCAAGGTGATACTGCTCGATGCTGACTGAAAGCTTTTGCAGTTAGTATTGATGAGCAACCCTCAGAAGTCATTGCCAGTTGCCAAGAAAATGGCAGGATATGCAACTTCAGTAAGACAGATTGACCGGACCATGCGCAAGGAAAATGGGTGTTCTCTCTTTAGGTCACTCCTTCATTATTTTTAGAGCTAAGCTGCCCTTATGCACATGATCCTCCTTTCGGTGTAAAGTCATTATCTCCATAGATAAGTGGTCTTTCGACAATATTCAATGACAGACACGGGCCAGGTATATTCCAACCTCATCCTCACTTCCTCTAAGCGGAGCGCTTCACAACAAATGCACCACGCTCAATGGTGTTGATCAGAATGTGGCCACTCTTGAAGTAGGGGTAGTGGCTCCACGTGCCGACAAAGTCAATGGATCCTCCGAGGGGCTCGTTGTCGTTCTCAGGGTAGATGTCAAAGAAACCGACTTCCGAAACACCGCCTCCGGTGGGATCATCGGGCAGGGAGGAAACGTCGAGAATGCGTAGGCCGGCACCGTAATGGCTCTGGAAGGCGAGGCCGTCGATGACGAACTGGTTGTGGTCGATACCGTAGGCCTCGCTGCGGTAGTAACCAGTCTGCTTGGGCGCCTCGAGGGACTTAATGTCCCAGAAGTAGGTAATGGGGTAACCGCTGGCTGCAGGGCCGGTGGCATCGACCTCATCATACTCGTCGTCGAGGACGAGGTACTCTTGCCACTCGGTGTTGGTAACCCAACCCTGGTGGGTGTCTAAATATCCAGTCAGTCGCTGTTCAGAGTCTCTTATCACGGGACGGAACGAATCAACGTACAGCTAGCACCCTCGTAAGAGGTACGAGAAATGATGTTTGTCTCGTTCTTGTTGGTGACATCATAGATGGTCAAGGTGTCCTCGTTATATCCGTAGCAGATGTCACGGCCAAAGTACTTCTCATCGGGGCCACGGTAGACGAGGCACTGAGCATCGTGGACGTAACCGTCTCCAGCGGCACAACCGGGGGAGGTGGGGTTAGCCGGGTCGCTGAGGTCGATGAAGATTAGACCGGAGCGGCAGGCGCTGGAACGAGGCTGGGCGCCAACAGCAACGGCGTACTGCTTCTCCTCGTTGATGACGATGTTGTGAGTGGAGCCGGCGGGAAGGCCGTTCCAGTGACCGGTAAGGTCACGGGAGTTGCTGAAGGTGACGGGGCTGGCGGGGTCAATGTCCAACAGCTATCGCCGAGAGTCAGTATTGCTTGAGCCTCGAGGGAAGAGGATGTTGGTGAGCTGACCTTGGTCAAATCAAAGATCTGAACTCCATGGCGGGATGCCTCACTGCCGATAACGACATAGTTCTTGTATCCGCGGAGCTCGCGCCAGATGGACTGGGTAGAGTACTGCGGCAGGCGACCGAGGTAGACGAGCTTGCCCGCGGAGGTGATCTCAGCAAAGGCAGCGCCATCAGCCTGGGCAATGATGGCAAACTCGCGGCCGTCGGGGCTGGTCCAACCCCAGGAAGAAGATCCCTCGCCGGCAGTGGAGCCCAGGTCGGAGTGACTCTTGAAGTCGTAGAAGTCGACCTTGTTGCACTTGAAGGTGTTGTTCGCATCGCCGGGAATGACCTCAGCAACGCCGTCGACGCAAGCAACGGGACCCTCATCAGCGAGACGACTAGTGTACTTGGTGGACTCCATCTCTCCAGCCTCTCTTTGGCGGTCCCATGATGCCTATCAATACGAAGATTAGGATTAGCGTTGCAGGTCGGACTGTTACTAATTGCATACCTTTTTACGGGCCATGAGATCCTTATGGATGACACCGCTGTCGTAAATCTCAGAGACGAGTTCACTGGGTGCGATCTCCTTGGCCGAAGCTCCAGAGAGGAGCGCCGAGACAGCCAAGGTTGCCAAGGTGATTGCCTTCATCTTGAGTGGTTCAGGAAGGGTCCTGGAGGTTTGTCCAAGGCAGGGGTGATTGACGGTTGAACCACGAAGATCACTTCGCAAGTTAAAGAGCGGAGAGGTACAGAACGAAACCCTTTGTCAATCCAGCGGGCGAAAACCTCGTTCTTTTTATCTTGTCTCCACGACAACTTGGCATTCTCTTGCCCCTCAGTTCTCTCCTCGGGCCTCGCGGTATCTCTCCACCGCGTTACGAGTCAAAAAAAACATGATTCTTGTTCATCGTCCTGCTATAAACAGAAGGTCAAGAAAATGACGGTTGCAAAGTGGGAGCAACAAGCTTCAATGTCGCGATGCGGAGCACGACTGCCCAAAGAAGCAGGTGTCTATCGGACCAGGCCCGCTCGGTACTTGGACGCACGAATCAGCGGCTCCGTGGCCCCGGCCCGGCAGTCCACCATCGGTCGCCGCAAATTTACTTACATACCCGCCCGGACTTGGCGACAGGCACTGCCATACGGGCGAGAAGCCTCAAACGAGGCGTTGCGATGCTCTTGGCGCATCGTATCTGGCGGCTCGCACAGTCGTGCCAAGCGCGCCGTTGTAACACTCCCGCAGATTGTACCGGCAACACCGCCCATGCAGCGCCAAGTCACAGCGTCATTCTGGTCTTTTTGTGCGTCTTCACCTTCTCGAAAGGATTAAATCATGCAACATCTGATAGATGGCGTCAAGAGATTACATTTGTGCGAGATACCGGCCACTGTCGAATCGCCTATCTGAGGTGGTTCCCGTTCACATTCTCAGATCAGCGAAATCTTTGCTGAATTTGTTCATTGATTTGGCAATTCCGCACCAATCGCCTTTTCAACACTTGAACCTTGATGGTTTGTCGTCGGCTGTTTCCAAAGAATGTAATGGCAGCCACCCACATGCAGTCACTACATGTAACATCCCAAAGATATCGCAAGTTCGCAACTCGCATGGGTCAAAGTATGTGCGTTTGATCAAGTCTCAATTCTGACTTGACGCTTCTCGATGGAGCTTTAATTCGTTTCGAGATTGCCATTGGGCAATGTGTTGACCTTTGTCAGTGTCATGGTTTGTAAGACATTTTGCTACGAGGTACTAATCTGTGATAGAAAGACCTAGGCCGCGGGCAGGGGCTGCATAAATACATAAATACATATCGGCTTCCAATTTCGGTGTGGCCCATGCAATCTTCCGTGCTTATACTCCATTGAACTCTTATGGCATTAAAAGTATTTCTGCCTATGCGTTTTCGCTGTCCTTGATTTAGTCTCATCTGATTATCCTCTCACGAAACTTGTTTGGCTGATCCCATCGGCCCCTGGAAAAGCCCCACTTCAACGGATAAAGTCCCCGCTAGATAAGGTGCGGCCATCCGGAGGAGCTTATGGGAATGATCGAGTTCCTGAAACAGAAAACTTGCTCAACTCTAAGACGACTTCATTTTAAATTTGTAGTCACAGCAGACACAAACGCCATGACTTCAGGTGGGATCCTCAAAGAGACTGCATTACAATCAAAAGCGAGACTTGTTCATGTTTATTGATTGGTGTACGAGGCACTCTCCGGCAGAGGAGAAAGACATATTATTGTTCGGGTTTACAGACAGCTCAATGGGTCTATCCTTTACAGCCTACGGGAGTTGGACTTGTCAACTATTATGATGTGCGGCGCTAGTTGTACTACATAAAGAATACCACTACGTCGGGTCCTCAAATCAATTTTCTTTGGGTGATCTGGTCACTGCATCTAAGCTTTATACACTCGAAGGTCTTGTCCCATAGCCCTGGCTCCCTTCTGATTTCCATCGATCCGATGGTAATGCACAGCGCCATTCCTCGTTATAATCGGGTATCTTTTTACAAAACTTCACGACATCTAATCGGCCCAACTACTTTGTCAGGTTCTCCCAGTCGGGTGGTGGGTGTGTTGCGAGCTGCAGCCGAGGAGGGCCATTCTCTTCCGGAATAGAGGCCAACCCCTCTGCAGGTATAGCCTTCTCCCACACGGCTTCCCACGACTTTCTGGCCTCCATCTCGTCGTTTTGCCAGTTGGGTACCCTGTCCCTCGAACGCCCTTGTTCTGAGCTCTCGGCACCCTCGGCCAGCCAACCTTCTCGCCTGCCATCCATTGAATTTGCCCTGGGGTTATACGCCCAATCCTCGGAGATCTGTTCCGACTTTCTCCCGCGCTCTTCAGCCATTGGACTCGTTCCCATTGGTTGGCCAGCAAGGACCGCAAGTTCGGTGTCGAAGTTGGCGGGACCTGTTTGATGTATTATAGTTCTTTCCTCCGCCGTGGCGGCTACGCGCGTTGATCTGAGTTGCTTATTCGGCAACATACTTCGCCAGTATGATGAGCTCGAGCTGGTTCCTTTCTTCAGGTCCCCCGTCGTTCGTGGTAGGTTGCCCATTGGCCTTCCTTCTCCTCTTCGTATGCGCTCAAAGAGAAGGTTGGTAGAGGGGAAACAAGCACAAACGAAGCCAATCACAAGCTCCAGTGCCCTGATTCATGACTTTTAGCTTCCAGGCCTTCATGAAGCGAGAGAGGGGGGTTAGGGGGGTTGTCGGAGATAAGCTCACGTTATGAGGTCCAACACAACGAAATCAGCAGTGACATCCGTCGAAGTAAGAAACTGAACAACAAGATACATGCGATAGACAGTCACAGCTGTCGCAATGCCCCCAGCCCCGAGTAGCGCAGCAACCTTTAGCTTCTTTCGCAAAGGCATGCGCAAGCCCCAAAGAAGTGGTACCGGGAGAACGAGGATGAAGAAGTCGGTAATGATGGCCAGGCTCAGATCCGCGATGAAGATTTTGCGTTGATTCAGGCATCTCGGATGCGGTGTCTTGGGGTCCCAGAAGGCCGATATCGGCAGGCAGATAACGGTCTTTAGTGTTTGAATTGGGATGTAGCAGATGAGTAAGGTGACGATGAAGACTCTGATTCCCCGCGAGACTCGTTCATGCACAGCAAAGACGCGTGCTTCGAGTAGAAGTAGGGTGACCTTTGTGAAGTATGCTGCCGGGCAGTAGACGATGGAGCTGGCGTACAGCCACTGACAATCTATGCATTAGCTCATGCCTCACTGTCAAGGTACTAGGTCATCCAACATACTTTCATCACCTTTTCGTATGATTCCCTCGTCAGCTCCCATGCATGATGACCCTCACCATAGTGCGCCATCACGAACACCGTCGTAACATAGATCATGATTAGAACCTGACAGTATTAGCATATCTGTTGCGCGCCGCAAGTCGACTGGCTCTCACATATGATACTGCACAGGTCCCTAGTTCACAAGTCAGTCCAGTGTTGACTTTCAAGTTTCCCCGCCTCATCCGCACCGATACCGACCAAAGGGATACGTACAGTCGTCTGGAAGAATCGGTCTCGCCATAGAAAACTTCACAAATGTTCTGATCCCAAAGAACAGCGTCGTGACGGCTGCCAAAACACTCATTCCAACGACATTCCACATCCACCCGGCATCCCTGGGGTTCTCGAAGTTCGGTGTGACGCCAGGCGGGGGCGGAAAAGCCCCTGTCAGGGCGGTTGCGTTACTCATCGTGTCTTCAATCGCTCGACGCGAGCTGTGAGCCACATGGCGAGGCTCATTGCTTCACGATGCAACCGAACAGTCTTCCGTGGCAGATTCGTTTTCCACGCGGCTGCAAAAAGTTTGCCTGTACCTCAATCCAAGGGCCCAAGGTGAAAAGGGCGTCAAGCTGCTCATAAACGACCACCGGTGAACCTGCGACAAGGGGGCGTCCCACACTCGCCCTGACTCGCCCGGCCGCCCTAGTTCCGATTAGAGTTCGTCGAGTGGTCGGGCCTTGTCAGGGTCGTGGCGCAATACCATTCTTAGCGCGGCGGGTTGATCAACAGAGGACAAAACTCTAACAAACACACAAACACTACACCGCACCGTCACCCGTGTCCCCCCCCTCCCCTGTGGGCGGTTGTGAAGAATCAAGGGACTTTGGTGGAGCCGTCACTTCGCGATTTCACTCCTGCTATGGGAGCTATGGGAGCTATGGGCACAGCGCGATGCGAAGCGATGCGAACAAGGCTGCACACTTTCTGCCGACTCGGCATGTCTGAGCGCTGTCCAAGGTTTGCCTCTGGATCGCGACGAACCCCTGCCAAAAAACCTGAATCCGCGGAACAGTTAGGCTTAGGTTTGTTAGATAAACTGGCCTTTGTTATGTACAGGCCAAGTTTATCAGCTACGCCACGACGCAAGAGGCTGTGACGAAGCGCCCGTCGGTCATACAAAGCTTTCTTAGTTCAGATCCGGAAGCGTTCTAGAAGGCTTGCGGATCGACTACCCCGGCAATTCTCGGAAACGATTCCACGGCAGCTGAACCAGAATGCGAGAGGCGAAGGTTCTCTCCGCGAGAAGCTTTTTCGGATACCGGGTTTCTGAGATTGTACAGCTACTTGGCCTCACCCTCTTATAAGCCTCTCATGCTCTCGCTCTCCAATGCCGCGCGGTACCTGAGAAATCCTACATCATCGCTGACTGGGTACGCGGAAAAGCAAGAAACCCTTCTCACCATTTCCAATACATCTTTCTCGCGACGAACAAGGGAAATCAATTCTGACAACCGTGCCGGGACAGTTGAGATCAAATGTGTCTCCACACTACCTCGTGCCCCCGCATCTACAGAGGACAGGCTCAATCCTTGAACACTTAGAAACCCGTAGACACAGGAACCACTAGAATACCTCATAGCCGAAGCCATCATACACTGCTCCATACACATAACTGAAGATCTCCAAAGACAACAAATTGTTGAATTTGGGGAAATGCAATGGTACTTTGTTGGTTTGAGGTAGTCTTACTAATTCGACTTTATCCAGGGTGCCTTAGGTAAGGCTTTCCGAAGCAACCGAATCATACCCTAGGCATCTCGATCTACTGAACACCTGCAAACATTGATTCGTCGTAGTTGTGTTAAGCCTTAGCAAGGGAGGCAAAGAGTTCTCTTACCTGCCAGTCGTCTTGTTGAAGTCGTCAAATAAGGCTAGCAAGACCATTTGAGCCGGAATAGTCACGCCGGAATGGTCACGCACAAGCTACGTATCATCAATCATCACATACCTAGCGCCGAGGACGGCCTTTAAGATTGATTACTAATATGTGCCATGGGAACATCGTCCGCCACTCATAACGTTCCTTCCGAATGACCGAAACTCTGGTCTACCAGCCATCATGGTCATAAACTGAGAGCGACGAAACTTCAGTAACCGATCTTACTAGTCATTGTCATTGCCGATGTGCTCTTTGCGCGGACTTGGCAGCCGGCATCGAACGTGAACATGAAGCTATAGCCATCCCGGCTGCTGCCGGACGTTTAGACCGGCTCCACCACCGGTGGGGGCCCGGTCTGGGATCATCCCCACCACCAAATGCAAGTGTTGAGTAAAAGGGTGACCAATCTCGCATTCAAGAAGCATTTGGAGGTAAGAAAAACGCTATTTGCGTACCCGCGGGCCTCCAGTGTTGGACTCCATTGGCTGGTTCGTAAATTACATTGCTACTATGGCGTTCAAGACAACTATCCGTAATCTGGCTGCGTCCGTCTTTAACTGCAATGCTTTCATCCAACAGGCTCCCGAAGGCGACACCCTATCTAAACTGTGAAAATGTATCCCGGTTCTTTGACCCTCAAGAATTTGCGGTTGTAGAGAGAGGACAATTATGTGATCAAAGATGGGATGGATTGTGAAATCTTTCAAACAATACACGTATCATTGATCGACGTTTCTGATAGCTTGAAGAGGTAGAAGTTGTCCTCAAAACGTCGCCAGTTGTGTAAGAGCACTAACGTTGACAGCTGCATGTGACTTGCAAGGTATCAATCCTCTAAGAGATTGAAGTTTCAGCTCTCAACTTTGCTTCGTGATCGTATGGTGTAATAGTCAAGATATGGTTATGAAGGAGGAGGTATATCCCTGTTCGATGCATAACCTCTGCTGAAATCCTGTTAGTCAGTAGCGCCTCTTCGTAGAACTTATATTGTCGATTAGGTAAACAATTTTATGGAATCTAGACTAAAGTTCTACGTAATCATTCAAATTCGGCTTCCAACCTCGACTGCGAAGCTGATCATTACTAGAACACAAAAGTCTATCCCGCGAGGTCGACCCAACGCACAAGCCTAGTCTATCCAAACCACTAGACTTTGGATGCGGAAATATGGTGGTAAAAGCTAAATTCTTTGCAGCCCTCCGATTGTTACGTGAGCTCACAGTCTGCTGGAGAAAGGTAAATGCAGCCACCTGTCTCTAAATGGCCAACTTCTTAAGCTGGGCACATCCGCACGATTGTCCATTCTTTTGGTGCAGGTTACCCTCAGTTAGCCGTTTTCGTAGTCTTGGTCCTCAACTTCATCATCAAAAAGACAAGAGCGTAGGATGAAACGCAGAAAAGTGCTGTGATGCCAACCTGCGATAGTCAAAAAAATCAGCATTTTGATCCACCTGAGAGTCTCCATGTCACAGAGAACACATTGACTTACTCCTCTCCACCCATAGCTAGAGTCATTGATGTTCATCGTTCTCATGTAGTCCGCACCAGTGCTGTATGGGCAGTACGCACACACGGTGCTGTTTCCGGGGTCGACGACGTAGCCTGGCTCGGACGAGAGAAAGTCGGCAAGGTACTCCCCACAGGTGCTGTTGCCCGGGAGCGGAATGTAAGTCAGTTCGTTCGACTTGCAGTGAACCTCGACATCCCAGACCACAGGCTCTAGCATGCCTTGGATGAGGTAGGTGAAAGGGTCGAGCCAGTAGAGCCAGTATCTCCAGAATGCCGTGATTTGGGAGTAGGGAACGACGACACCGCAGAAATTGATGAGAGCGGCGCCAATGATGATAGGGTTGGCCAGCGCAGCGAAGTAAGCATTAGGACTGTATGCGGCAATAGCCTGCCCCAGCGAAGTGTACAAGAATTCGTAAACTGAATCAGCAAATCATCAGCAAGATACTCATAACAATTTATGAGGCTCGGTGGAAGCTTACGAATCATCTCAAGGTAAACTTGTCCGGAAATCCTCGCTTCTGTAGGGAAGCCAACCGTAAAGTACCACGTCGCAAACGCAAGAGTTCCGCAGACAATCAACACCGGTATCTCCGACAGCAGTTGAGCTGCCACAAAAGCAAACCAATGATACGTCTTGGACTTCTTCTCACGAGTCTCAAACACGTCGCGGTTTTGGATGAATAGCGGCTGCAGTTGATTGATGCACCCAGGAGCAACAAACACGAAATTGAAGACAGCCATGAGCCGGAGTTGGAGGTCAAAAGTGCCGTCACCCAACATCCAGTAAGAGAAACCTCCAAAAAGACCGTTGGTGATGTGCAGTCCAATCTTGTTCCAGACATAATCCGGGTTGCGCCACAGAGCGACGAGTTGTCGGCACGTGACGAGATAGACCTGGTAAGATACGGGTGTTGCGAATCCAGCAAGTTGATCCTCATTGACTTCGTCGGCCGTGGTGGAAGGCGGTGCGTCTTTACCTTCGTCCCGGTTGGAGTTGAGGGCATCGAGTTCTGTAATGGCCGCTTGTCTCTCCGGGGAGTCCAGCCAAGTCTGCGGCCAGTCGATTTCCGTTCCGAAGCGTCCTTGGACCACATCAACAATGTGCTCCGCAGGGTTCGCATGCGGTGGGCAAGCAGTGCCGTTGCGGGCAAAGTAGTCAATCACCGTGGCTGAGTTCTTGCCAGTCGGTCCAAAGTAGGTTGTACGGCCCCCGCGGGCCAAAAGCAGGAGGACGTCAAAGGCATCAAAGAGAGTGGCAGAAGGCTGGTGAATGGTGCAAATGATGGTCTGTCCAGATGCTGCGAGCCTGCGCATAAAGCGACAGATTTCGTAGGCGGACTGCCCGTCCAGGCCGGAAGTCGGTTCGTCGAGGAACAGCAGCGAAGGCTTCGCGACAAGTTCAGTTGCGAGTGTAAGACGCTTCCGCTGTTCGATGGAGAGGCCTGAGCCAGGGGCTATGCAAGACATTGATGATCAGCGTTTGGTTCCACAAAAGACGATAAAGTCAAGTTCCAATGGGAGGATAGACTCACTTCCAACTATGGCGTGCTGTAAAGGCGTCAGCTCAAGCAGCTCCATGATGCCTCGGACGTAGTCTTGCTTCTCCTCATCCGGAATCTTGTGGCTCTGTCGCAGTCTCGCAGAAAACAAAAGGCTCTCCCAGACCGTAGAAGTAGGTTCGTGAACGTCGTTTTGCTCACAGTAGCCCGTCGTGCGCTGGAAGCTGATACCTTGCGGCTTGCCGTTGACCATGATGCTGCCTTCGATCCTTCCGCTGTCTTTCCTCTGCGCCAGGACGTCCATCAAAGTCGTCTTGCCCGCACCGGAGCTTCCCATGAGTGCGACCAGCTGGCCTGGCTTGACGTATCCAGAGACTCCGCGAAGAAGTTGCAAGTCCTTTCCTTCGTGACGAACAAAATAGCTAATGTCCTTGAAGGTAAAGACTGTCTTGCTCAAGGACATGTAGGACACGTCATGGGCAGCAGCTGATTCATCCGCCTTTTCCGTGTCTTCCTTTGTGGCTGCCTCCTTCTGTCGGCTCCGGCGGTCGAACAAGACTTTTGAGCCGGAATCGGAGTGCAAATTGATCTCGAATCCAACCGCAGTCATGAACGCTAGGAAGATCCAGAATCCGATAAGAATCCCTGCATTGCGCCAGATGTGTGCTTTGTAGACTGCGTACTGAGAGTTCATGTAGGTTTCGCCGTCGATGAGTGTCGACCCTGATACAGATCCCCTGACTGTGCAGCTGCGATACTGGCTGCTGTCGTAGGTGGATCCGAAGGGAATAAGTTGAGGCTCAACGCAATTCAGAGTGAGATCCCCCATTTCCTCGGCCATAATGGCTTCAAACGTGTAAGTTGCGGGGTTCAGATATGAAATCCAACGGAACCAGACAGGCATGCTCGGCACGGGAATGAGATATCCTGCAACGTATCAGAAAGCGCGTTCTCACACCACTGGAATAGTCCCAACTTGCCTGCATAGACCATGTACACCATTGTCATCCACCCAGTGATTTGTGAAGCCAGGCCGAAATGCTTACACCAAGCCCCGATCATGCGGAACAGGGAGGCAAAGCACAACGTACACAGAACAAGCATGAACCAGTTTGTGAAGAAGTGGCCAGCTTCGCGTTGTAAATCAACCATGAAGTAGTAGACCAATTGGAACAGAGAATACATGACGATGACAAGCGGGATATCAGTTGCCGTGCACGCAAGGGCGTAAGCTGCCGGTCGATTGAACGCAAGCCGTTTGTGTCTTGAGATGATCCGTCGTCCCATAAATGATGCTGTGGTCTCAGACATCTTGTTCATGGCGAAAAGTTGGATTGGGAAGAAGAGGGCGCCTGGTCGAGTGAAAATGGAGGTGCTATCGGAAGGGAGGTCGTAGAATAGACTGCCGGTGACTAACGCCATGATGAGTGCCGAAGCAATCTGCAGTGCGGTCGACCATCGATCTCCCCAAATGATCTGACACTGTCTTCAAAGTAGATCAGAACCTGGGCTCAAGGTGTAGAGGGGGACAGACAGTAAGTACCTCCTGATACAAGTCGTAATCTGGCTCATGAAGGAAACCTGGTAGGGGCTGCTTTGGCGGGATAGAAACGGTAAAGATCGATTCTTCTCTGCGTCGCGAACTCGCAGGAGACTCTCCACTTCATCGGACAGAGACTTTTCTGACACTGCATTCATCTGTTGTGTCATGCGGTCAAAGAGTGGGCTGGACTTGTACGCATCTTCAAAGTCTGCTGGGCTCGTTGGAATCTTGTCTTCATACCCAGGGCGTATCTGACGCTCTGTGGGGACCGAAACCGACGTGAGAAAATCAGAAATGTTGGCTCCCGGCGTGCATTCAAACCCCATGTTCTCGAAGTACTGCTTAGCCTCGGACGTGGGACCGTAATAGATCTCTCTCCCTTCGGCTAGCACGAGCACCTTGTCAAAGAGATCGTAGATGCCGTTGCCAGCCTGATAAAGAGTGGCAACAATAGACTTGCGCTCCTCGTCGGCCATCGTGCGCAAGACGCGCACAAAGTCCAAAGCGTTGCTGGCGTCTAAACCTCGAGTCGAGTTGTCCCAGCATTGCACGGGGGCCTGGGTATGACTTTAGCGAATATCCATCAGAGACACTCATCCTGGCGTATTCAAACCTGCGTAGCCATGACTTCAGCGATGGAGACTCGCTTCCTCTCGCCACCTGATACACCGCGAGTGACTTCATCCCCGACCATGGTGTTCTTCGTGTGACCAATTGCTAAGGAATTCAGAATCGCATCGGTCTTCTGAGACAAGTATTCTTTGGCAGTGACGGTTGAATCTGGCCGTGAACCCGGTAGCTTGTTAGACGTCGCAAAGTCAATCGTTTGCTTCACTTCCAACGTCGGGAAGTGAAGGTCATCTGGTGGATTTCCTACGTCAGACTTTGACAACTCATCTATCAGAGTGGTATACTTTGCTTACCTTCGGTGTTCATGACCACTTGATTCCGAAATTGTTGCGCTCCTTTGTGGCCAAGGTTGCCATATCGTACGTCGCCGCTCACATGATGGAACTCGTTTCGTTGGTTTGATATGACTTTCAGGAGAGACGTGCAGCCCGATCCTGGTCGCCCGAGAACCAGTAGCTGGGGGAAAGGATTAGTGGAAAGCGGTATTGCCGTAATGCCAGTTGACTCACCATCTCCCCTGGCTGTACTTGACCGGTTACATCATGAAGGATATGCTACTCAGGTTAGAATGTTTTTCAAACATATACATAGACTCTATCCCATACTCTTGGAGAAGTCTTGCTTTTGGCGAAGGGAAACAAGTCGGCCAGAACAGACAAACAAGTGGAACCAAAGTCTTCTCCCAGTCCGTGAACTCTGATGCTCACATCCCGGAATGCAACAGTCAACCCTTGCTGATGCTGACCAGATTCTTGAGAGCTTTCGTCAACCTGGACGGTTCGATCGCTGTCGTAGATTGGTGTTGGAGTCATCGCTACAGCCTACTAAGACGAAATCTGGTCTGGATAGAGAAGACAGTCGATGTGTTGAACAGGGCTGTAATGCACATTTAAGATTGAGTTATAGCCTACTCTGTTCTATTAAACTTCCTGACAAGAATACCCATTCCTAAGCAGCCTCCACAAATAGGGGATTTCCAGACATTGGTTCCGGATGCTGTAATCACTGTCATTGAGTCTGTCAAACCCAGTGGATCCTCTTAGTATTGTCGGTTTCGGGTTTACGGTGTTTCGGATTTACGGAATTACAGGGGTAACAACATCTCATCCGCTTTTGCCAAACCCATCCTCTCTGACCCATTCATCTTCCGCAACGCGCCAACACAGATATCATTAAAGTCTTCTTTCGGACTTGGGGAATAACGATCACTTCCGTGTCTGACCCTTCATACCTCTCTTTTCCGTCAAGCCCTGCGTTCCGATTGGGACGCCTGGGGCCGCGTATCTCGGAGTTAGCGGGATGCAGCCTGCCAGCAAATTCGGAGGGAAGATTCCCAAGGCGTGTGAACCATGCCGTAGACGCAAGATTAAGTGCTCCGGTCACAAACCCTGTCGACAATGTGAGAACAAGCCATCCGATTGCGTTTATCGACTCAAACCGCGCGTGCGACTGTCATCAAAGCGGGCCGCAGCGACGGCAACGGATGCCGAGCCTGGCCACGGTGTATCCACCCCGGGTTCTGAGCGCAATCGCCGGGACGAGGTCGCCTCTCAGCGGTCAGTCGAAGAACACCAACAGCATGTTGCACAAACCGAAGTCTATCACAGCGTCGCTGCAGCGCACCACGCGCCAAAGTCCACCGATAGCTCACAGCTGTTCTATGGGCCTTCCTCAAACTCGGCTTTTCTGCAGCAGATTCATCGAGGCCTGCTTTCCGGTCAGTATGGCCAGAACCATGCCAGAGATGTCCAGGAGGGAGGGCCGGGGCTGGACATGTTCATGCAGAGGAACATATTCTTTGGCATGCCGCTGAAGATCAACGTTGAACCAGCTCAGCCCGCAAGCTGTCCCGTGTCTTTGTTACAAGCAGAAGAGTTCGTTCTGCACTTCAAAACAACTCACTTGTCATCGTTACCCTTCTTCACCCCTTCCGAGCTTGACGACATGGTTCCAACCTTGTTCAACTATACCCCCGACACAAATGTTCAGCCTCAAAGAAAGACTGTGTTTCTTGCTGCGCTCGCGTTGGGGGCATTGAGCACCTCGCAGACCGACGCTGCAGAATCGCTATTTATCCACGCTAAAAAGGAAGCGGCGATATACGAGGATTCTGTTACTCTACCGATGATACAATTTTCGATTCTCATGGCTCATTATCAGCTGAACATGGGTCGTCCCAACTCTGCTTACTTGCACAGTGGCATCGCAACGCGGAAGGCTTTATCAATGGGCCTTCACGCCGGGACCACAAGTGCGATTTCACGAAAGGAAGAAGTTCAGGGAAGATTGGTGACGCTATGGTCTCTTTACTTCCTCGAAATGTGAGTTGCGTTTTGATCAGTCATGGATCCCTTTCCATGTGTACCGTAGACTGACAATTGGTATGCGTAGTTGGCTCAGCCTGGTAGTCGGAAGACGCAGTTCGATGCAAAAGTCGGATTTTGAGTCTTGCCCCTATCCAGATGGACAACAAACGTTGATGGCACTTTGCCAGTTCGCCAACATTCTTGAGGAGGCGATGGAATCGATATATAACAGAAGAACTGACTCCCTTCGTCAGTTGTATGGAAAAGCCGAGAAGCTTTATGGTCACGTCCGTCAGTATGGCGAGAAGTGGGGGTTGGGGACTGCCGCCTCTGTAGAACGGGGCGATGTTGGGAATACTGGGAATGCCGAGACGAGCCTTCTTCTACACAACGGTACGGTTAACCACACACCCGTTTCATTGTATGAATTACATGCTGACTTTCACCAAGTATACTTCCATGCCATTCTGCTGATTTTCCGGCCATTTTTGATTGCCGAAGCTGCTCTACAGTCTGGGGAAGGATCTGGCGGGATAGGCGATATCTGGCTGCGACAAGCTTGCAGACACGCAACAGATGCTGCACAAGATGCACTGGCTTTCACCAGCAACATGCTTCGAGGTCCCGAAAAATGCAACGTATGTCTCTGACGGGTGATCTTCAGGAGAGAACGAACTAACCTTTACTCATCAACCTTAGACCCGGCGATACCACGCATTCTTTATCGAGTCTTCGTGTGCTGTGCTTTTATATGACAGCTTGCGCCATCCAGCAAAGCATCCACATAACTTGGAGTTCATCCAGATGGCCATCTCCTGTCTACGATCTCTGGTTGGGGACGACCCAGTGACAAACGCCATACGTTCCATCAAGCGAATCGTGTGGGCGGTTGAGCAATCCATTAATGCAGCCAAATCCTCGGCCGCATTCTTGGACGTTGCTTCTGCCGACTCGTCGCCGTCGTGGCCCGACGATCGCTTCCCAACCAACATACAGTTTCCATCGCTGGAAGAGAACAGAGGTGCCACCTCGGATGATTTGATCTTCTTCAGCAACAGGGCCTACCGACCACAGCCGGAACCTATCACGGATTACAACATGCCGATGTCCGGGACTGGCTCAGTGGGAAACCCCTTCCCTGATTTAAACTTTGACGTACTCACGACAGATCTGTTCAACTTCTTTCCAGTCGACATGAACTCGGGGCCCCCTGGACATGGTGGAACGTAGCCGAATCCAGTTCAATAAAAGATTGAATAAGTCACAGACAAATGTCTCGAACGCCATATGAATTGTCAATTGTGTGGTTGATTTGCAAGAGCGTTTCTTGATAAATCCGGCAGCTAAACTCAGCCGCACCAGATGAGGCCAAGAATGACTTTGACGGCGGCTGAGTAATTCGGCACGAGCTATATCTCGCGGGGTGGCGGATGCTTGCCGCAAACATTGCATTCGTCAACGGTCTCGCGAGCCCAACTACCCACATACAAGTACTATGCAGCTACACTGTTGATATTTCAGAGGTCGTACAATCATGCTCAGCTAATGGTTTACGACCGCCGTTCATCTTGTTTGAGAATGTCACGCATTTCGGTCTGCCAGCCACTGCAAGTTCCAATTGGGAGGCAGTGATGCATTGGTGAAGAAGCGTCAAGATAAGCTGGAGGAGTAATTGAACAGCACCGCTATGGCCTGCCATCAGTGGATAATTGATCTGGCTCTGTGGAGGCAGGTCGAACCCCACTGAGAATTGTGCGTAAGCTGACACGGAATAGCTACCTCAACGAGATTTCTTCCGATGACAACGCATAATCCGGCATCCCATCAAGCTTTCCGAGCGGACGCCAATTGGTGCGGACAGCTTTCAGACAGACGCGGTTCCGTTTTTCAGCATCACTAAGCAGTCTACGAGAAACGGTGGATCACTTGGAGTTCCGAATACCAGTCACGTCGGTGATCGGCTTCATAGGTCTGGTCAACACCGATATCCAATCTTGGGTTTGAACATTGTCAAGTAAGTGTCTTTCGGTCTCTAGAGGTATCGATCACATACAAACTATGGGCATTTCATGTTACAGAGACGTTCTGTTGCAAATTGGTATACATGGCGGTGATAGCGGTGACAAAAGGCTTTAAACCATTGGTTGACGCAGTCCCTGACATGAAGCTGATGCAGTTGGCCAAGGAGGCTTTGAGAGACGCAAGCATCCTCCTTTACATTCAAGAGGATCATTCACCATGATCAGAGGTATATTCAGTACACCAAGATATTTTTTGTGGGCAGGCAGGTTCTTCCTCTGGAAAGCGATAACATCTATCGGAGTGCAATGAGCAGCATGGTGTCCGGATCGACGACACGAACAACATTCAGGTATGGAAAATTCAGTATTTTGATACTGCTGGGCAAAGAGGAGCATATATTGTAGATTAGGAAGTGGTATTTATTTCGTGGTTTGAATAAGGTTGAGGACGGTTCTGGTACTTGGCTGTATAATACTTAGAGAAGAGTGACACCTAAGCGCAACCTCCCGGATAAAGTTCAGGGTCACTTGTTCTCATCGAATTAAACTCTTCGTCGCCGATCTTTCTAGCTTTCTAGCCAGAACTCGCAATGCTCTTTTGCTCGCCGGAGCTATTCATCAAATTTACCGAGTGACTCAGATGTCCAAAAGATTGCTCAGCCACAGACCGACGAAGTATGGTGCACCCATTATACTTTTGCCGGATCAGTTGTAAATCGTACCAAGGGTTCACAGCAATCAGGTTCATAAGAAAGTCGCTCTTTCAGCCTCAACCTTATGGGCTGAAAACCTTCCTACTAACCGACACCACCAAGGTATTGTCTGTGGCAATATATTCGACCCTTAAAAAGCTATTAGACCCTTCCCATTCTGTATCTTCAATTTTCTTCGCGAAACCCTTCACCCTTTTTCCAGAATATCAAAAAAAAAAAAAACTCAGACACCATGGTTCGTTGCCACCTCCACTATCCGTACCAAGGATCGTCTTGCACGTTGCTATGCTAATTCCAAAACCCCCCCTTCACCAGAAACTATCAAACATAATCGCTGCCATCATCGGCCTCGCCGCCGCCGCCGGAGTCGACGCACAATACCATCGATCCCGCAAGTGGACAAACTGCCACAGCGCCATCGGCGGAACCGGCACCGAAGGCCTCAAAAAAGTCCACGCGCTGTTCAACGAGCTATGGGGGCCAGCTCGCCTCAGAATCCAGCATCAGGCGTCGTACGCCGTCCTCTGTGACGGATACGTCTTTGGCATCGCAAACGACGGCGAAGTCGGCTACTTTGAGACGCCTGGTGAGCGAACCCTAGCGGCCCTGGAAGACACTGGCACGGCGAGCGAGTGTCGGTGGTACACGAGGGCGCACGACTATTCGCACTATTACTTCTTTGGTCGGGAGGGCGAGTACATGCTGGACAATAGAGCCTACATTCGGCGCTGCAAGAAGCAGTATAGACCTTGGGAGCACCAGTAGGCGGGGGGTGTTGGGCTTGGTTCGGCCGTGGACGTGGATTCTGCGTAACGGAAAGTAGGATGCCAGTCGAAACTTTCCAGGCTCATCTTTGGGGGAAGCAATGCTTTATGGGAAGTAGATTAACCCATGGCCTGCAGTAAATAACACGTAATTGATCTTCATCGCACGTTTGGAGCACTCGTCTTCAAACTCGACTTGATAATCCGATGTTGAGCCTGAAGAAGGCATCTATGATGACATTGAGAAGCACCCTTGGCTTTGTCCTCGGCTATCTTTTGGTCTTGTTCGTTTACCCTAAGAGCCGTCCCATGTCATATCTTACCGAGCGCAACCTTCGAGATGCGTGGCTTGCCCGTTAGTCTTGCAGATGATCGGCAGACTAACCTCATCCGCAACATCGGGACTCAACGTCCAAGACAATCTGCAAACGGTGATTAGATCTGAGACTCTTCTCCGCACGAAGCAAGCATAAGACTTTTGATCGTATATTTGAATGTTGCATGTCCACTTCTTCTTGGACTCTTTGCCCCTTCCTCGTCCTGGAGTCGAAGCGCATGGAGATAAGATGTCGACTTCTTGGAAACCGCAATACCGCCAAACTCCACCCTGCCAACAGCGCAGAGATGAGTATCTGGGGATGTCTTCCGACATCTTCGGTCTGGTGGCCGGATTCTCTGTGGCATTGTTTCTAGCAGCCATGTTCATTTTCCCGACGTACTACGTGGAGAAGCGCGAGCAACGCCATTGTGAGGGCAAGCGTCAGGCATCACGACCGCGTGCTGGCGAAAGGGACGCTCTTGGGGGTAGGCAACGGCTCAAAACAAAAAACCACTATTGCATGTACTGACTCTGTGAATTTGCAGAAGCATGCCGATGGGGCTCAGAATCTCACAGAGTGCTCTGTCATGCATGCTCGACAGGACCACCACGCCCATGGGAAAGACAATCAACGAATGTCTGCGGCGGTGGCTGTAGAGAGACGGGTTGCGGATGCAAAGCCACCCGGAGCAGTGATTCTGGGATACATTCTCCGGCATATGCTTTGGACGATGCAGGTGGTCAGCGAGACCGCTGCTCTTCGGACGCTATATCCTTTGACATCACCATTGGTGGTCTGGGGAACGCATCCACGAGAATCACCCATTCTCAGGGCTATCCAAAGACAAAGTCAGAAATGGAAGCAGCTGAAACCTTGATAAACGGCTTCGCTACCTTGTTGAACCAGAGCCTGAAGTCAAACACACCCCGAGTAGGCGAGGTCTCCCCATCCACTCCTTCATTTCCATCTCCGAAACGGAAGCACGAACGTCCGACGCTTGTCCAGCCACGTTGTGATTGCGGCTCTTCGTCAAAATCTCCAAAGCATGGGAGATCGACTTCCGAGCCCGTCGAGTTTGATCCTGCAGCAGAAGAGCCACCACGAAAGCCAGGTCTCCACCACGGGACCTCGAATGCACCATCCAAGACCCTCTCTTGCCCGTTCTACCAGCGAGACCCCGATGGGCGCTTCCGAAATGAGTCCTGCGCAGAATCTGGTTTCTTGGACATGAAAGAAGTCAAGTAAGCACATTACCGTCCTCCTTGAATTCAAAGACGAGCAATCTCATATCGCATACAACAGGCAACACATCTACCGACACCATGCCTTGCCTGTTTATTGTTCTCGGTGCGCCACGGTGTTCCGCGCCGAGGGAGACCTTCATGATCACTTGCTGGAACCGACAAGATGCGACCTAACTTCATCTCTGCCGCCGGCGGGATATACCAGAAAGCAAGAACACGACATCCGAAAGCAGAGGCAAGGGAACGAAGAGCAGCAGTGGCATGCCGTCTACGGCGTCCTGTTCCCTAACGATCCTGGCCACATGGTGCCTTCTCCGTGTAAGTACTTCTTCCGAAACAAACACCTTGCCTACTAATAGAAATTGCACCAAAAACTCATCTCTTTTTTTTCAGATTTCGACCATGTCCCGTCGCAAGTTGACAGACAGGAAGAAAAAGAACCGGCCAACAACGTGCAGCAGCAGCAGCAGCACTTCCGCCTACAGCTTCCGCGCGTACTCGAAAGACGCTTCGTCGAAAATCCCACCAATTCGGAATCGGAAACGCCGATAGCGGATCCGACGACGCGGAACCGGCGGGGGCAGGACGACGTCACCGTCGACGTCGTGCGAGGTGCCCAGACGGAGCTGTACCGGAACTTCCGCCCCATCCGCCAACAGTCGATTGACGACTTCGCGCCGCTGTCACCCGGGCTCGATGATGATGCTGTCCAAGTCCAGACAGACGACTCGAAAGACCGGCAACACTCCCATGATAGTTCTGACCTTGGGGTATTGACCGAGTCTTCGAGGTCTGGGTCAATACAGTCCAACGGGTTTGTCTGCGGATCTGACGAGTTTTCTTTCAGTGAAGCAGAGGATAGGGGAACGTTTTTCCAAATTTCTGGTGCGGATCGGAGTTGAGTGGACTGTTGGACGGAAGGGCGGGAATGACGGAGGCTGCTTTTTCCTTGGGTTATATTAGCTTGAATAGAAAGAATGAAATTGCATTGCCTTCAGTGTTGGTATTCCTTGGTTCCTTGTAGATTTCCTGGCACAATCCGTGAAAAAAAGAAAGCTTAGTAAAGCTCACCAGCCGTGTAAGTCCTGGGAAGGAGGAAGAAGGGCCTCAATGACCAGTCGGCACCAGCTGCTTTCTTACCCCGCCCAGGTGCCGGCGCTAACCCCACCATCGGCAGAAGACGGCACCGACAGAAGCCGGCAACGGCAACAACGTCAACGACTCCGACCCGTGGCGATTAACGTTTGCAGGCATTCAGTCATACAAATTCCCTCCTTGTTTCCATCAGCGACATCTTCCTTTCAGCTTCGTTCGAACCCCATACCCCTAACGACTCCATCTCTTCACCTTTACCTACACGACATCACCACCGTCTAAGCGATCGACCGAACCGAACTAAACCTCCCCTCCCCCCCCCCCCTTCCCCCCGGCAAACCACATCCCAACAATGGAAGACGTCCCCCTCGAGCACGGCTCTCCGGAGCACCTCCTCCCCCCAAGCTGGAAGACAATGGTAACAGCCTGGCTCGCCGAAGACACGCCCTCCTTCGACTACGGCGGCTTCGTCGTCGGCGCCGCCCCGCGCACGGCAACCCTCTGGGGCAAATCCGGCGGCATCGTCGCGGGCCGCCCCTTTGTCGACGAGGTTTTTGCGCAGTGCGGCTGCGCGGTGGAGTGGCACGTCAAAGAGGGCTCGCACGTCGAGCTCCGCGGCCACGGAAACAACAACCCCAAGGGCAAGATGCGCGTCGCCACCGTCACGGGCCCTACGCGCGGCATCCTCCTCGGCGAGCGGGTGGCGCTCAATACCCTGGCGCGGTGCTCCGGCGTCGCGAGCATGACGCGCGGGATGCTGGTGAACCTGCGCGCGGCGGGGTACGCGGGCGTGCTGGCGGGCACGCGCAAGACGACGCCCGGGTTTCGGCTGGTGGAGAAGTACGGCATGCTCGTCGGTGGCGCCGACGCGCACAGGCATGATTTGAGCTCGATGATTATGCTCAAGGATAACCACGTCTGGAGCAAGGGGAGCATCACGAATGCGGTCAGGGCGGCCAAGAGCGTGGGCGGGTTCAGCTTAAAGATCGAGGTTGAGGTGCAGAGCGAGGAGGAGGCGGACGAGGCGATTGCGGCGGGAGCGGACGTTGTTATGCTGGATAATTTTACCGGCGAGGGGGTGAAGATTGCGGCCAAGAGTTTGAAGGAGAAGTGGGCGGGCAAGAAGCAGTTCTTGGTCGAGGTCTCGGGGGGCTTGACGTTGGAGAACGTCGAGAACTACGTGTGTAATGGTGAGTCGTTTCCTGGTCTGTCTCATGGTGTCGTTCGTATGGGTATACTGACTTGTTTACAGATGTCGACATTGTTTCAACGAGTGCCATTCACCAAGGCGTACCGCATGTGGATTTCTCACTCAAGGTTGAGCACTAGCTTTGATCAGTTCGACTTTCGATTAAATCAAAAACAACATGATACCTGAAATTCACACGCGCGCTGGTTATGCGCAATGTGATGACTTATTCTACTGTAGATTTTCGTATGAGCCCATGCCGAGTCTTTACTTGCCCTCGAGCAAGTCCTTGGCCATGTCCCTCAGCTTGAACTTTTGAATCTTGCCACTCGGCGTCTTGGGATAATCGTCCACCCAGAAAACATGCTTGGGCACAAGGTGACTCGACAAGTGCTCCCTCACCCAAGCCCTCGCCTCATCCCTCGTAATCACCTTCTTCCCTCCCTCTCCTCCGACATCCCCACCCTCGCCGTCGCCGTCGCCCCTCCACCCCTTCTTCAACACCACAAACGCAGCAACGTTCTCTCCCAACTTCTCATCCGGCACGCCCACCACAGACACCTCCTTGACCCCCTCCATCTGGAAAAGACAATTCTCCACCTCGAGAGGGTGAATATTCTCCCCGCCCCTGATAATCAAATCCTTGATCCGCCCCGTGATCTCAACATACCCCTCCTCGTCCATTCGCGCCTCGTCGCCGCTGTACATCCACACCCGCCCGTCCCCTTCCTCCCGCCTCACCTCCGCCGTCTGCTCCTCGTCGCCCCAGTACCCCTTCATCACCAAATACCCCGCCGCCGCAAGCTCCCCCCTCTCCCCGCGCTTCACCACCCTCCCGCGATCCGCCGGGTCCACAATCTTGACCGCCGTATGCGGCATCGCCCGCCCCACGCTCCCCGTCCGCTTGTCAAACCCGTCCGCGGGCGCCGTCATGCAGCTCACGGGACTCGTCTCCGTCATCCCGTAACAAATCACCAGATCCCGCAGCCCAAGCACCTCGTACAACCGCCTCATCAGACTCTCCGGCACCGAGCTCCCCGCCGCGATCCCCTTGCGCAAGCCCCCCGGCATCTCCCCCTTCGTCACCACCCCTCCGCCCGCCAACGCCTCCAACACGGCAACAAACATCGTCGACACCCCGTACAACCCCGTCGCATCATACTCGGCAACCATCCGCAACGTCGCGGCGGGATCGAAAGCCGGGCTCGGAAACAAGATCCCCGCCCCCGTCGTCGCCGTCGCCATGTACCCCAGCACGCACCCAAAACAGTGAAACAGCGGCGGCGGCACCACGATCCGGTCCCCCGGCACCAGGCCCATCCTCTCGGCAATCAGGTGCCCATTATTCAGGATCGACGTGTGCGTCAGCATCGCCGCTTTCGGCTGGGACGTCGTCCCGGACGTGAACTGGATATTAATCGTGTCCGACGCCTCCAGCGGCGCGTCCGGGACCACCGGCCGCCGCCCCGCGGACCCCGATGCCAGCAGGACCTCCTCGTACGGCGTCAGCGCCCTGAACCCGCCCGGGAATCCCACCACGGGATGCGAAGCCGCATTATCCAACACGATGACCCTTTTCAAGCTCGGCACGGCCTCGCTCTCCACCACGCCCTGCGCCTTATCCAAATCCGGCACCAGCGTCCTCAAAAGCTCCAGGTTACTCCGCCCCCGGCACGGCTTGTACGGCAGATCCGTCACTTTCCCAATCACGAGCACCTCGACACCGAGATGCCGTAGCGCGGCGCCGACCTGCTTGGCGTTGAAGCCCGGGTTCAGCGGAACCAGCACGGCGCCGAGCTTGAAGGCCGCGTAGGTCAGCGCGGCAAATTCGGCGCCGTTGCCGAGGGATACGGCGAGGCGATCGCCTTTGCGGACGCCTTGAGCGCGGAGGCCGTGGGCGAGGGTGTTTGAGAGGGTGTCGAGAGCGGCGTAGGTTAGGGTCGTTGTCTCGGCGGTGGTGGGGGACGAGGAGGATGTGGTGATTGTTGGGCTGCGGGCTATGACGGCGGGGAGGTCGCCGTATTGAGAGACGATGTGGGAAAAGTGCTGGGGGATTGTTTGGGTGAGGAGGGGGGGCTGGTGTTCGTGTTAGACTTGTATTCACAAAACATTGCTTTCTCTAGTTGGCGAGCGAGGTCGGGTTGACGGAAGTGCCGTCACGAAGCTTCAGTGCTTCATACCGAAATTATTGCAACTCCCTCGATGACCTGCTCGCTCACTCACTACTCACTCGAGCTGAGCGGAGCAGAACGGAGCAGAGCAGAAGTCCGTCCTCACCAACTCCTCAACAAGCAAAGAGACCGCAACTCACCTCCTCAGGACCAAGACTGAAACTCAACCCTTCATAACCCGATGATAATCTCCTCCGCTGCCCAAGAACGGCGTGCAATCCCAATCCCGTACCTCTCCTCCGCGCCGCAGTCCGCGTCACGGCGCCTGCCGCCAATCGAGTAAACCCAACAGTCGAAAGCATCGTTCTGTCCTTTAGAAAGCTTTACCCGCGCTCGACCTCGGCTTCACAGCCCACAGAGGTTAAATCCAATGAACACAGAAAAAAACGGATCTCGAGAAAAGCGAAGAAATAGCAAAACGTGGTATCCGAAAGAGGCCTGTTTACGACGGTATCATGGCTGTCACTCTCTTTCACTCTCTCTCTTTCCAAAGAACGAAACCTCCTTCGTATGCGTCTGGGTGTCGTTTCTTCGGAGAGCAGGGCGCGGGGGGGAAAAGGTTGGCTTTCGGCCCTCCTCTTCGTCCGTCCGTCCATCCAGTCCTCTCTCTCCCTTGACCACCCGCGTCTGGCCGCTTCCTCCGTCATACCTTGCCAACCCGAATTGGGGCCCGGGGGTACGTGCCTTGGCAGAGGGGGGGGGGGCAGCTCCCCGCCCTCTAGCTAATGCGGAGAACCCGCTGCGGGGTCGTACCCGCTGCGGCAGGGAACATCTTCCTATAAAAAGAGCCGCGGGCTGTGACGGTGACGCGCGATGCCAGCCTCCGCGGGATTCCAGGCCACGACATACCCCTTTCGTTTCTAAAACTCTAACCAAGAGTCGGAGCAGTCGGCAGAAAGGACGGAGACCTGGACGGGTTTGAAGCCAGCGTGCATGCATTTGGTCATCTATGGACGTATGCGTGCGTACACACTCAAAACCCAGAAGCACTTTGGTGTGCACACCACGGTTATTATCGTGCATAGCTCGGCATTTCAAATTTGTTCCATTTGCTCACAGACTACCTTGGGTATATGCACCACGATGCTAATGAGTACCGCAGCTGTTGTTAAGCTTCTGTAGACTTTTGCCACGCCGGGCGCTTGCCTAAGAGTACCGATTTCTGCCCTTGCTGCCCTTCTCCTAACCCATTCCTTGAGATCTCCTCTCTGCTATCCCTCCACTTGTATGTCAGACCGATGAACAATGTGATTAGACTCTATGCCAAAACAAAGCTCTACGCTTTTCCCGTTTTCCTGGGGTATGCAGTACGTTGGTCGCTCCTCTTGCCGATGCCACCAAAAATAAAGAAAAGTCAACAAAAAGACGAAACGCGACTTCTGAAACATGCCCAACCCATGACCGTGGGTGAGGACGCCGCTGGAGATGCAAATGGTAAAAAGAGACATGTGGCGGAAGAAAAGTTTTGGCGTCACTTTCATACGTAGTGGGTTGGAGTGTCCTCCTTTTGCTCGCCAATGTGGCGGAGCTCTTCGGGTTTCCAGGTACCTGCATTCATGTGTTAGCTTCAGTGTGGAGAATCGGGATGCGCATAAACTCACCCTCAAAGTCGTGCTTCACATAGGCCATGGGATCATCATAATCCTTGGCGCCCATCTGTTGCACGCCGGGGCTGAAGCTCGTGATGGGGAGCACCACGACATCGCCCACCTTCTTGGATGTCTCCATGCCTGTGAAGTTTTGCCAGTCAATGGCTCCCTTGGAGTCCTTCATGTTGAAGTATCGGGGGTCGTTGAAGTAATTGAAAATGATGTCTGTCCAAATGGCTGGGCCGGTGAACTCGACAACGTTCTTGTCGAGAATGTTATTCAACAGGCCGGCCTTCTTGCGCTTCAGAGCTTCCTCGGTGATGTGAACGACGATCTCGCGCAGGACAGGGTGGCCGGGCTTGGATTGGATTGTCCACTGGCAAAATTGGATTCGACGGCTGTACCACTCCTTCCAGTCAGGGCGATCGGGGTCAGCCTCAATGCCAACGACGAGACCAACGCTCTCGCGTGGGATGCGCTCAGGAATCCATTCGAGGGCTGAACGGATGGCATAGGTATCAATGTCGGTGTAGATGCCGCCACGTGCGAGCAAGATCAGGTATCGGAAGAAGTCGGCCTTCAGGACGGGTAGAGGAAGAGCATCGTAAGCCTTGAGGACCTCGGGGACGGACGCGTAGAGTAGGCGCAACAAGTTGACTGCGACCTTGTCGGTGATGACCTCGTGGACGAAGCCAGGGTGCTGTTCCGACCAGCTAGCTTCCTGGTCGCGGAAGTTGAATTGTTGCTCGGCGGGTGTCCACTTCCACGTCTGCCAGATGTAGGCCGGGAAGCGCGTTTCGGGATCGTAGGGGTATTGGTATGCAAGCTTGTCGTACAGGGACATCTTGGACATGTCCATCATGGGCTTTTGCGTCGCGACCTTGGGAGCAGAGGGCTTGATCTCGCTGCCGGGGGACGCAGAGGCGTATGAAGACTTTTTAGGGTCTGTCGTGTCATGGTTGGAGGCGGCGACTGGTGCCTTTGTAGAAGCTGTTGTGTCGTGGGAGGAGGAAATTAGATAGAAGATGATTAGGAGGAAGGCGGCAACCGCGACGGCTCTCCGAGGAGTGAGCATAGTGGTGTGCGCGCGCGCGCGCCTCTGTGTGTGTGTATGTGTGAAAGAGAGTTGCGGCTTGAAATGATTTCAATTGGTGATTATGAAGTCATCGGAAGGCAAAGTTTCGCTTCGCCAAGTCGTACAATTGGATTGTAAGGGTGCGAAGGAATGGTCGTCGTAGGTAGAGTCGGATGCGACGTGGTCCCTGAAAATATTGGAGGCGCCGGATTTGGGGTGGGTTGTAGAAAGTCGTGGGGAGGAGCTTAGAATTTCCTACTATGACGGAACGATTTCTGCGAAAGTCGGAAAGATCATGTCAGTTTAGGACTGATTAGGAGAATTGGAAAATAAGCAGCAGGTTGAGGCTCCGTGCTGAGGGTAAGTGAAAGCAAGCTGGTAGGGCTGGCAGGTAAATGAAGTCGCAAAAGTCTGGGCCGAAGGGAAAAGGGGAGGGAGCCTGTCAAGGTTTTGTTGGTGAAGGGATGAGCTGGGTAGCGGATAGAGTGGCGTGGGGCCCGAGGACGTAATGGCAGACGAGGAACATACCTCGCGGATGGGGCCGTCGTTGGTCGGGGAGGAGTTGGATAGAGTTCCGGCGATCGATCTGAGAGAGGGTTGTGGCTTACCAAGGGATTGCGAATTGAAGCTCTCTCAGGTATCCGTAGATAAGCAGGCCTAAGTTGTTGTTGTGGTTGAGGTGTCGGTTGGGACTTGGAGAAGGAGAGGGACTGGAAATATTTGGGTGTAGAAGAGCAAGGGGGCCTTTTCCTCTTGTTCTCTTTCTCTGATTTAATCTTCTCTCTCCTTTACGGGGGGTCTCGATTGGGCGATTGCACCGCTGTTTGTCCCTGGCCCTGGCAAGATGAATGTGCCTCAGGGGCGATGGCGAGCCGCGAGGGCGGGTGAGATGGAGAAAAAGATGCGAATGCGGCTGTGGCTGCGGCGATAGGCCACGCCTTGGATGACGCCAGGATGTTGGCCTAAGTGTCCGCCCCGGTAAGATGGGACTCGGTACTTAGAGAGCGGCAGGCTGTGCAGTATACTCCGTACTAATGGTGCAATTAGTCTGACTCTGAAAGAATGGACCGGCGGTTATCCATATGTTGCTTGTGATTGTGATTGTATGCAGCCACGCAGCGAAAGGCAGCGATCCTCGAGAGAAGCTCTGCGATGGGGCGGAAAGGGGAATGCAAACTTGGCACGAGCTGTGTGCGGGAGTACCGTCCCTTGGCTTGGTCTTCAATACCTCACATGGCACGTGCATGGATGCTGCAAGGGAGAATGGGAGTTTTTGGACGAGTCGCAATCCGAAAAAGGTCGCTGTGGTCCCCCCTTCCCCCTGCTTTCCCTGCCTTCCCTGTGTCTTTTCCAGGTTCCCTCCTTGAACACTGGTGACTGAGCAGGCAAACTGAATCTGAAAAACTTGGCCCGTTTACGGATACGTACCTCACTCTGTACGAATTTGTGTGTTGTACTCGGTATGGGTCTCGCATGCACTACTGCGCAATGTGCTTCCGGCCGGCTGGTGCGGATGCCACCCAGTCTTCGCCAGGCGACGGAACACCATCAAGCACATTCTGCCACCGGGGATGCACCTTGGCAGATATTCGACGTCGGTGCTGGCGCTGACTGAGGCGCTTCCGTTGATATCGGGTTGAACGCACCGTGCAGGAGATATGCCACTGGATCATAATCAGCCATGCGGTTTGACAAGACAGGAAAAATCCAGCAAGGGTCTTCTGCGCGCATGTGTCCGGAAAGTACCCAGCGACAGATGAGTCTAGACTCTGGACGATGTGCACGTTCTCAAGTACCCGTGGCCGACACACAACTTGGAACGAGACAATGCGACAGAGGGACGCGCATGCGCATGCGCAGAAATCCGAAAGATATTGGCGGGACGGCGGCGTGGGACGAGGAATGAGCAGTGTGTGTGGGATCTGTCCCCGGCAAGAGCTGCCGGGTGGAACAACGGAAGGACGGAAGAGTAAGACTCGAGAGGAGTCCAGTCGAGTCCTCATCATACCGTGAAGCGTACTAGGTAGGTGTACGAATCCTCTATCGTCTGCGTCAAACTCACGTCTAGTCCGGGCCGGGCTTGTCAGCTCGGGTCTAAGTCAGATAAGCCGAGAAGATCGGACAGTTTTTGACCTCCAGGTAAACCCCGTGCCACCCAAAACCCCAAAAATAAAAAATAAAGTCAATCCATCTGCCCGCCAAAAAGTCGACGCGGAATCTGTTGGCCTCTGCGGAGTTCGTCTCTGTCGCCCACGCAATGCAATGCCACGTCTTGAAAAGGGAGAGAGTCTGCATGACTTAGTCCGTCCGAGGAATGTACAGAGTACCCAGATACCGTTGGCATTTTACACGTGTTGTCGCCTAAGCAGGACGTAGTACGTACTGCTGCTTCGATAGGCATGTATCTCGATTTCGCTTCGAGACACGTATAGACAAGGGACGCAGCAAGCTTTTGGTGATTGGCAATTGTGGATTTCTGTCCATCATCATCGGCGTATCCATATTACCAACATGGAGAAGCGGGCAGCGTGCACGGCGAGTTACAAAACTAAGAAGGCCCATCAACGGAGCATCCGGTCTTCGCAGAAGATGAAAATCAAAAGTTGGCACTGGGCCACTGGCAGGCCGCAGAGCGAGCATCATGGAGATCCCCGGGCCATCACGACATCAGATAAATTGGTGCGTTTCAGAAGGGTGTACCCACAGCACCCTGGATAGATCCCTTCCCAAAATAGGTGGGCATCCATCTGCAGGTCAGTCTCCGTCTCTGATTGGACGACCGCAAAGCAGGAACGGCAGGGAGTGTCTTTCTCTCCTTCCCAACTCTCTACGAATACCAAGGCTTGCTAAGTACCTGGGGTGCTAGGCACACACATACAATAGTACCTAGATCGACTACCTACCTTATCAGTAGATACTTCAGGAAGGTGCATCTATTAGCGTTACCTATCGGATTCTCTCACTCTCGAGTCTCGCTTCTCGCTGTCGTCGGCCACCGTGTCGCCCCTCCTCTCACGAACCAAGGCACCAAGGCACCAAGAGTACAGAGGACCGCAATCAGGAGCCACTTCCTCGTCCAGGGCAGGGTCCTTCCGTCCTCCGCTTTTCCCAGCTGCCGTCCACGTCCGTCCCGACCATGCCACTGAGCCGCAAAACGATACATTTTACGGTGTACCCAAGATATCTAGGCCTTGGCGGGTCTAGATGTCTCGCTTCGCCATCTGTCCGTTGACAGGACTTGGTCAATCAAGGTGCAGCCATATCACACCAGGCGCAAATGCCAGCAGTATCCGTACAGTGGAAGCCAACCGCAAGGACAGCATCAGCCCTACTCACCCACGTTTGGGGCTGAGCTTCCCTCCACCTCGGCTGATGCCCCAAAGTTTGGACAACCTTCAGAACGCCCCCAAGAAGCACGCAAAAGCCCCCGACAGTCTAATCCTGTGCTGGCTACGCTAGTCTCCCTCATGGCGCGTCTCCAGAATCGCAACGGATGCTCCATGCTTCAGCCTCGACTTCCTGCGGATGGCCATGACCCGATCTCCAGGGCTTCTCCAGAGCACGCACGGCTTGGTCTCGGCTGTATCTCTGTCGTCGCCTGCAACTTCTGACGCTCTCCACCGTGACCGACAAAGCACCAATCCGAGTCAATCGAAGCGAGCAAAACCTGTTGTACCGTCACATCCCGCTCAGCCATCAAACTGTTTGGTTCCTTATTCTTTGACAAGCACCCCAGTACCTTACCCCCCATAGCCGCGGCATTTACAACAGCCCCTGGTGTTCCCGGCCGTGCGGTTACCTTTGTGGATCGAGTCATACCAAGGCGAACGACGGTTGATCAGAATCAGAGGTCGCCCAGGTTAGGGGGTGGAACAGGGGCGGCTGGCCAGCTGCAATCCCAACGTCGTTTGCCACACTCCGGACGATGATGCACGGTTCCGTCGTCTATAGTCCTTTCGTCAGTGGTCAGCAGCCCATCAACACGGTCAATGCCTCGGTCGCCTCCATTGAACGGTAGAGCCATTCACAAAGCTACAGACTTGTGAGGCGGCAGCCTGTTGTCCTCCATGCCGACCTTGTCTCTCCAGATATCCCAACCCATCTAGCTTCTTGTCAAGGCAGGGCTGTATCCTTCCTTGGCTACTAACTCCTGTCTGGCTACTTACTCTATAGGATAACTGGGCCTGTCTCTGATCGTCATTTTGTCGTTGAGCCGTTATGCGATTTCTGAGGTCTCGAGTACCGAAGTGGCACCAATACGACTCCTCTCACTTGATCAAGCAGCCATGTCCAGATTGTAACAAAGTCACCAATATTCGTACCGCGCCGCGTTAGCCTCCCCGCGGAGACAACAGCTAGGTTGTGACACCTATCCATTTCCACCTCGTAGGCCTCACTGTGTGAGGCCAGTTGGTCCTGCTACTTTCGTAGAAGCCAGCTGGGATTATCAGCCTCCTTATTGACCGTCCGAGATCCAAATATCGGCTGCTGCAGGAAGCAGCTTAATCTTAATCTTACGCAGCACCACTCTCCCGGGGAATGCACACCTATTGCCTCTGGGCACGGTTCAGACCGGTCACTTTAAGTCTCATATATCGTATTCGTCCACAAGGTCCATGACACGGGACAACGTTCGCGTATTTTGGTAAACCATACGGATAAGATTACACAGTAATCATGGGTTCGGGTCAAGCTTTCATCCAGTAAGCGTATTGTGTCTTTCTACCCAGTCAGCTCATCCTCCCGCTCAGAGGCAAAGAGGAGGACGCCGACGGTGGCCTGCGCCGCATGGACCTGCCGCATATGGCATTGGACCCCCCCGGAAAAGAAGACGAGATCTCCAAATCGTTGGAGAAAACCACGGATGATGAGCAATCGATTGGATAATCGGGTGCTTGTGGACTTGGTACCCCGCCATCCCACCACTCAGTTAGTTCAACAAAACGGCCTCTACCCCGCCATCGTAACATTGCGCCTTTCACTGGATAATAATAAGGCGCTGACCATGTGTAGTAAACCGTCACCGTCACCGGGGGTATCTGCATTCCATCCCGAGTTTGTGACCAACTCAGCGACCGAGCTGCGCGCCTATGCTCATATGTCGAGCCATTTATCAATGGACCTTCTGCACTGTTGGATGAATGGTTCCTATTATCGGACTGCTGCAAGATCCCCGCACGACATCTGAAGGTAGCTACCCGTTGAAAGTCTAGATAAGCCCGATATCAACCAAGGCATTTTCTTATAAGGTTCTCTACTCACTCCATATCGCTACCTCGAGTGGCAGACAATTTTCTTCTATTCAGAATGGCTCCTCATCCTTTGACGGCGTTGTCTGGAGAAGAGTTCAGGGCAGCAAGAGACATTGTCGCCAAGCTCTTCGACTCAGACGTTTCGCTTTTCTTCAGATGTATCTTTCTGCAAGAACCCAAGAAGGATGAACTCGTGCCGTATCTTCAGGCAGAGCATGCGGGCAAACTCATGGATGAAATACCGCGGCCTCCACGTCGAGCAAAGGTTCAGTACGATGTCATCAGAGGCGGCAAGACGCCCGAGTATACCCAGTCCGTGATAGACCTGAAGACTGGCCGGGAAATCGATAGAACCGCGGCAGCACCACAATCACAGACCAGCTATACCCCGTAAGTCTTGTCTCCTATCGAACTTATTTCAGCGGGAACCACCCCGTTGATGCTTTCCAGCGATGAGTTTGCAATATTCCAAGACGCCTGCGTGGCATCTCAAATGTTCAAAGATGCTATGGCAGAGTTCTCCCTCCCGAAGAACTTCACCGTCACCATAGACCCATGGCCCTACGGTGGCCCGGACGCCGACGAAGGGGACATCGCGCGCCTGATGCAGGGCCTCGTCTTCGCGCGTGACGCCTCTAAGAACAATGTCGATTCGAATCATTATGGGTACCCAATCCCCATCATCCCCGTCATGGACGTGGCCACCAGGAAGATCCTCCGCATCGACAGACTCGCCACTGGCGGCGCGGGCGACGGCCTCGCTCCACACCCGCGCGCCTCGGAGCCCAAGTCTCTATTTGTCAAGAACGTCTCCTCCGAGTACATCCCCGAACTCCTCGAGGTCCCGCAGCGCGAGGATCTGAAGCCCATCAACATCACCCAGCCCGAAGGTGCGTCGTTTGAAATCCACCCGGACAACCTCGTCGAGTGGCAAAAGTGGCGGTTCCGTCTCGGCTTCACCCCCCGCGAGGGCGCCGTGCTATACGACCTTTGTTACGATAATCGTCCGGTGCTGTATCGTCTGAGCTACAGCGAGCTGACCGTCCCCTACGGCGACCCTCGTCCGCCCTTCCACCGCAAGCAAGCCTTTGATCTCGGCGACGGAGGCTTTGGGCGCGTGGCGAACAACTTCGAGCTCGGCTGTGACTGTCTTGGCGCAATACACTACTTTGACGCCCTGCTGGCTGACACGGAGGGGAACCCGACCCTGGCCAAGGCGGTGGTGTGTCTCCACGAGCAGGATAACGGCATCGGGTGGAAGCACACCAACTTCCGGACGAACCGGGCCGTAGTCACGAGGCTGCGGGAGCTGGTTGTACAGTGCGTCGTCACGCTGGCCAACTACGAGTACGTATTCGCGTACAAGCTCGACACGGCGGGCGGGATCACGCTAGAGACGCGGGCGACGGGCATCATGAGCGTCGTGGCCGTGGACGAGGGCAAGACGGAATCGGCGTACGGCGCCGTCGTGGCCCCGGGCGTGCTGGCGCAGAACCACCAGCACATTTTCGCCGTGCGCATCGATCCAGCGGTGGACTCGTACGCCGAGGGAGACACGCGCGTTGTGGTGGAGGAGAGCGTGCCCGTGCCGCTGAACCCGGAGACGAACCCGTACGGGAACTACTACGAGATTCGGAAGCGGGCCGTGGATCGGGCGAGCTGGATCGATGCGGAGCCGAGGCTGAACAGGGTGATCAAGTTTGAGAATAGGACCAAGAAGAATGCCATGTCGGGACGGAATGTGGGGTTTAAGCTCACGCCGTCTGCTTCGCAGCTGCTGCTGGCGGACGAGACGAGCCAGGTGTCCAAGAGGGCCAAGTACGCGCGGCATCATGTTTGGATCACAGGCCACCGTGACGACGAGCTTTGGGCCGCCGGGGAGTATACGAACCAGAGTCGGGAGGAAGTTGGTGGGGTGTGGGATATGGTGCAACGAGGGGACTGGTTCGATGACGAGCGTGAGGCGAATGGGGATGGTGAGAGCGGTGTCGTCCACGGCAGGAAGAGCAGTCCCGTCGTCTGGAGCGTGTTTGGGTTGACGCATAATCCCCGCGTGGAGGATTGGCCTGTGATGTGAGTTCTCTGCCGCATCTGCCCCATCCTTCTTCCTCTTCCTCTCGCATTGCTTCACTAGTTCCTTCTACCATGATGATCCCACATGACACTGTCGACTGATACGTGTGTTTAATACAGGCCCGTCGAAATCCATCACCTCACTATTCGTCCCGCAGACTTCTTCACCTCGAATCCGGCGCTTGATATGCCCACCAGCAAGAACAAGACTAGTGTCATTGTTCCGTGTTGCGGAGGACAAGAGACAAACGGGCAGAACGGCGGGAGTGGAGTGAACGGGGTTAGCAAGGAAGGACACAGGCAGACGGTGCAGGATGCGGCTCTTACGCATCTTCAGGGGCCTGGGCCGGATGTTCCGGCCGAGGAGGCGGGCGCGCATACGGAGAGGAGGGAGTGAGAAGGTGGGTTGATATTGGTCGAAGGGTCCGCAAAGGCGGGTTGGCGTGATTTGATGCTGAAGTCATGTAGCTGGAGCTACTATGTGAATCTGAACTCTGTCTTTTCAAATCGAGACTTAAGAATGTGAGGGCTTTGCGATTGGGTGCTTCTCAATGGGGGGAGAGAGACTGTGGCTTTGTGGTCATGGGGTGAAGTATGGGCGCTCACATCAAGTAGGTTATGCGGAGAGTTATCACGGGACTCTGCTCATCGCATAGAGCCAAGAGAACTTTTGGAATTCCATACAGATCTCGCATCTCTGGCATAACTTGGATCAAGGCCGTCTCGATCTTCGCTAGGGGTCATTCTTGAATGATTTACAACTTCTCTCAACGTTAAGCGTGCCAAAACACGCCCTTCAACATCTCGACTATAGCCACCACACCGCCCCCTCAAACAGTCCAACATCTCATCAAAGTACCAATAAGGCAGAGAAGTGCAAGGCTCTGGGACAGCCTACCGGATGGTACGAGAGATAGGATGGAAAGAAAAGCAGGGTTTCGACCGCCGCGGATCAGGAATTTGCCCATATTGCTGCCTCCTTCAAGAATTCAACTTTTTGCCGTTCTTTCACTAGATGGTGTGCATGTATTATAAGTCATCTACGAGGACTTTAGAGTGACTCCTATCGATGAGAATCAAACACAAATGAGCTCAGTTTCGCGCAGAGCTCTGTTTCTAGCTTGGTAGGGTAGGGTGGCGGTTCAAGTTGACTTGGACAGCCCGCCCCCTCCCTCCTGGACTCTGGCAAACGAGATGGTAACGACGCCTTCGACTCTCATCAAGAACTCAAGGACACATCAGGGAATCGACAAGAAACGCATCACCAAAGAGAAAACCAGATTCGTAGTTGCATATCGGTTGAGTACAAGTGGATAACCCTCGTCCGGGATTTCCAGCTTCAAAGACACCCCAACTCTGCCGCCACGATGTCCGGCCGGCCACCTCTTTGAAACTAACACCAAACGCATACCATTGTCATAATCGGGGTATCTATTCTACAGCGACTGACTGACTAATTGCTCGCCTGACTAAATCTCGCTCAACCGCCGCCACTGTCTCGCCTCGTCCAGGTAATTATTACCTTCTCCAACATGTATCGAAGGAGGCAAGTTACTCTCTCTCCCTTGCCGTCGCTTTCTTTCGTGGCCAATCTCCATCAGTTATGGTACACACTCTCTCAAATTCAACACGACCACTCTCAAAAGAAGACCGATTGGGTATAAAGTTAACCGCTTGGCCAGGTTTAAAATCGACGTCGGCCATGTCACGGGCCGATTACGAGAACGCGCGTGTCCGGCCCATCTCCCAGTTTCGCTCGCCATCAGCCTACTTACGAGCCGCCACGGGGGCTTCCGTTTGCAGGTTGTTTGCGGTTCATCAAACCGCTGAAGAAAGCCTGGAGCTTGTCGTTGTCCATTTCGTCAGGATTCTCTTCAGCGGAGTCAGCAGGTGGCGTGGTGGGGTCCTGTGCAGCACTGTATGCCTGACGGTCCTGCGTCTCAATGTCAGCCCTCTTCAAAGTTCACCTCACATCGGCGCTGAGTGGGTGGGTTCTCACCTTAAGCCGCTGCACCATGTCGTCGGCATCCACTTGGATGCCTCCCATATTAAATTGCACAGGCCCAATGTGCTGGCTGACCTTGCCATCATCAGCTCCCTGCCGCAACGCATTGGAGTCCGACTCGTCGGTCCGCTGTCCCGTTCTTGACTTTGAGGCATCCGCCTTCTTGTCGTCGTTACTTCGGCTGCGGTGCGTCTCCAGAGTCTGTAAACTCGAGCCGAGGAACTCTTGCGTATCGGTTGACGACATCTCCAGTTGCGACGAGTCGCCGTCCCGGCCTGCAAACGAGATTGCGCTGCCGGCCTGGCTGAGGTCGCGTATCCAGTCTTCGAATGGCGCTACTGCCGAGGACGAAACTTCGCCATTGTAGTCTCCGTCTGCCTTTGCCTTGGCCAGAATGCTCAAACCTTCAGTCGTCATCGCGGGTGAGGGGAATGTTGACTGTAGGTCATGCGACCAGCCCTGACTGGTGGCCTCGACATCGAACCCATCCCTTAGTACGCGGATCTTGCCCCAGGAGTCCCAGTTTGGCGGGACCAGGATCTTGTCTCTGTCGATCACGTTGTGCTTCAACGGCTGCCGTTTTAGTAGGGAGGTGATGCCCAGACTCGAGTGCACCAGACTCGGTATGGATGAAGGGACGTTCGGTGTGGCGTAGATGAGCGATGCGCCGTCTGGGGAAACAGTGTTAATATGGCCTTTGACCTTGGAGAAAGGGCAAACGTACGTCTCAACAGCACTGTCCGGAGATACTGTAAAACCTGGTCAAAATCGCCCTCCTTCCACCCTTGCGTCTTCTCCAGGCCCTCCATCTTCTCCGCCTACGAGTTCATTAGCATCCATACGATCGATCTCTCGGCATGGCACATCATCTCACATTCTGGCAGACGACGCAGAGCGGCAAACCTATGCCTTCCTCCCATTCGCCGGGCCCAAGAGGCAGTGCGACGTCGCCTTCACTGGTTGTTGCTCCCGTGCCATCGAGGTTCGTCGAGCCGCCTCCCCTACCCCTATCCCGCCAACCGACCATCACTTCCTCCATAGTCGCTTGACACTCGTGGCTCGAGCTCTCAAGAATGCTCCGCATAAACAAGATCCATTCCCTCAGTTGGCGCATCCACAAGTGTGGTGTAGACCAGTCAAGAAGCACGACCATTAGGGTGTTCGGTATCGTTTCGGGTGTAATTAGGGGTTGAATCAGTTTCGGGAACGAGTCTGAGGGGTTCGAAAGCATGTAGAGGGAGATCCGCGCAAGTATGTCTAGAGAAGGAGTCAGCATCAGGAGAAACCAAGTCGAGCTCTCGACGAACCTTCTTGATCGGCATCCAGGACGTCGTAGTAGGTATAACCAAGAGCGAAGCTGTTTGCGATGGGAGGCGTCTTTGAGCTGTTGCGATCCAGGCTTCGCTTCTCGCTGCTATGCGACAGGGACTCGACGAATTCCTTTTGCGACTCTGGCGAACCTCCCAGAACGATCATGTTCTTCTCCGGGAGCCGTTTGCTGCTGGCTACGTTGTCAAGCATGGAGCTCCAGAGGTCCTTCTTCTCTCCATTGCGGCCGTCTGACCCGGCGGAAGCCGAGGTGTACGTCGACACCCGATTTGCGCTTGCCGTCATGATTGTGTTCGTCGCTGAGGAGGACGCATGAGGGGGGACGGTCAAATCGTGGGTCTCGGGACGTGGTGTTTTGGTCCAGGAACCTAAGTGGGTGGGTTGACAGTGGACAGCTTTATGCGTATGCAAATAGACGCGTCGAGTCGCGGTGTAGGTAGGCAGGCCAACAAGTGTTCTGGATTGAGGAGTTTCCCGTGGCGTTCAATATAGGAGATACAGTAAAATAAGCGGCTTGAACCGGAGCAAAGATAATGTATCCAGAAGCTGGAGTCTCAATTTAAACGGGCGGCCGCATTCTCCCCACGACTACTGGCACCTCACATGCGCTTTCTCATGCCCCTTCCTCAAAGTGTCGGGGAATTTGAGGTCCGGACCGGCTGTTTTCCCGAGCTATCTTGGAACTATGCAATGGTGCAGTGACATTGCAGCACACCTCAGTGAGGTGCCGCGTGCGCTAAGTCCTGAAGTGTAATTTTAGGGGTCGTCTTGGGGCGCATTTGGGGGAGATGACGCACTGACAGTGCTATGGCGACCAACCAAAACATCGGCGTTTTTCTTCTTTTTTTTGAGACGGGAAGCTTTTTGAAGCTTGGAATGCCGCTACCCTCAGCCTCGCAGAACTGGAGCTTCACACTCCTAGCCGCCTATCACGAAATTGATATCTGCCGAAAGCTGAGGTGGTTCTCAAGCTTGCTTCACCATCGCAAGCATGAACAAGATTCGCGCAATCCAGGAGCTCAACAAGAAAGAGATTGAAAATGGAATGTAAGTCACTAGGGCGTCGTCCCCCATGCAGACTGAGAATCATGCGCTGACAGGCAGTAGCTCCCCCGAAGGCTCCTGGCACGTCGACTACCGCGACACGGCGTACATTTACTTTGGCGGGCTCCCCTACGAAATGTCCGAAGGCGACGTGATCACCATCTTTTCCCAGTTCGGCGAGCCCGTCTGGCTCAAGCTAGCCCGCGACAAGGAGACGGGCAAATCCAAGGGCTTCGGCTGGCTCAAGTACGAGGACCAGCGCAGTACGGACCTGGCCGTCGACAACCTCGGTGGTGCGACAATTGGTGGTAGCCGCATGATCAGCGTAGACCACGCGCGCTACAAGTTCCGCGACGACGAGGACCCGGACGAGGGCAAGGTGGACTGGGCGACGGTCCTGAAGCAGGAAGGGGGCGACAAAACGGACGAGGGGTCTGGGGACGACGACGAGGAGGAGGAGCAGCGGCCGATGCTACCTGAGGAGAGGGAGCTTGCGCTGCTGATTCGGGACCACGACGAGGACGACCCCATGAAGGCGTTCTTGATCGAGGAGAAGAAGGCCGAGATCCAGGAGGCGCTGCGGCGGCGGGATGACAAGTCTGAGAGGAGGAGAAAGCACAAGCATCGTCATCGATCGCACAGGTCGCGCAGGCACGATAGCGATGAGGAGATGGGGGATGCGGACCGCGACGAGGACAGGCATCGCAGCCGGAGGTCTCGCCGCGATGGTACGCCTGATGACAGGGATCGCAGAGACGAGAACAGGAGTTCACGCAGGCACGCTCGTAGAGACGAGCTCCATGATGGGAAAGCGAACAGGGATGATGGGGGTCGGAGAGATAGGGATCGATCCAGAGATAGACGGGACCGGGACCGGGACCGGGATCGGGGCGATGACGGGGACACGAGGAGGGAGCGCCAGCATCGTGATCGCGATGTTTCGGAAGAACGCCAGCATAAAAGGCGTAGAGATCGTGATGATGAGCGGCTTCACACAAGGAGGAGTAGGAACAGAAGTAAATCGCCATAGTCTCGATGATATGAATAATACCAAATAATAAATGAAGCGATGCTATCGCTGATGTCCCTGAATGCCTTGTTTGTCCATGATCAACGCCGTATGTCAGTCATACCATGCCCTAAACCAAATAGCAGCATGACTCCCATGAGCCAGCCTTAGAAACGTCTCATCATGAAGCGCTGCCCAAGTATCGCTTCCAACCTTCTCGCACGACGTATCGGCGTCCGTCCTCGCCCTTGGATATCACGAACTTCTCCCACCTGGCGTCATGTCCGGCGCCAATAATCACCAAACTGTCCTCCGTGATCCATCCGATGACCCCTTTCTGTGGTCTCGTTGTTCCAAGGGTCGTCTGGTCTGACATGGGCAGGCCGCCGATCAGGGGGTCATCACCTGCTTCGAACGGTGCAGACGAGAAAGAGTACACGTCGGAGAACATCCGCGGCATCAGGGGGATCTTGCCCAGGAAGCCCCAGCGGCCCTTGCCATCGTCGGCCGGCCTGCCCGCGAGAATACCAGATCCTGCCATTTGCGACACCGTCGGGCTGGTCGGCGCGGTCATGGGCTTCTTAGGGTGCGGGACGTCAAACACGTGCAGCGTCGACTTGTCTGATGTGCAAGCGAGCTTCGTGCCCTCGGGGCTGAAGGCGAGGGAGAAAATGGTGGCCGGATCAACGCCTCGCCGCAGCTCGGCGAGCCTGGCACAGTTGCTCGTGGCAAAGACTCTGATGAGAGTGCCCATCTCGCTCGCTGTGGCCAGAAGCTCACCATCCGGGCTTACTTGAATAGCCCGAAGGGCAGATGAGTGAGCGGGGATGATGCTGACGTTGCCGGTTCCAATGTCGACGAGCTGGATCTGGCCAACCGTTCTGCCTGGGAATGCAATGGTCTTGTCTGACATGGCAACAAGGCCGAGAGGGTTGTCCGTGGTCTCGTACACTGACTGCAGGTCGGGAGGCTTTGCAAACGAGTATACGCGAACGCTGTTTTGGAGCGCAACGACGATCCGGTTTCGACCGATCCGGACGCCCCGCACTGGTGTTAGAGAGGCGATCTCTATGGCCACTCTACCTTTCATATCGTCCCAGATAATGGTCTACGCGAGGAATTAGCTTAGTCCTGGAGGGTTGAATGGGTTGATATATACTTTGGTGCTGCTAAACTTGGGTTGTCTGCCGCCACCGACGAGAGCTAGGTAATTCGTGGTTCCCATCATCTCGACTAGACCGATGCCAGCGTTGAAGTCTATGCTAAGGTCAGCTCAATGTGTATAAGAGCGACTGAAGAGGGGTGAGTGCGAACCTCTGGATGCCTTGAGAAGGCAAGACTTGGTATGGAAGACTACCGGATGTCAGGGATGGTTGGAGATCTCAAGTGACCACTACTCGACTTCCATAACTTACTGCATATTCCTGAGTTGAGACCAACTGAGAAGCAACTAGCATCATTGTTGAACGACACGGAAAGTACCACGGTCGAGGGCGCCGTCTCGATAGGTGGGCGAGTGTTCATTGTGGCTGGTAGAGTACGAATACCGTGCCTGTAAGTCGCAGTACCAGGTCGGTGACGCCTCGCCTGCGTGTGTGACGGAGAGGGGCTCGGTAATAAGGGATGAGCGCTGCGGATGCAAGACTGGCGGGCCAGGCCAATATTCTGTTGTTCTTGGAATTCTTCGTTAGGATATCATCCTTGGCAAGTGCATCTCTCGAAAAGAGAGGCTTTCAGCTGGTGATATTGATGGTAATGTTGCCGGGCGACAACGGGATGAAGCACCTCTTAACACCGGTAGTGAGTTGGGCGGGTCGGAGTCAGCTGGATTGCCGAGTCAGGAAGCTGGGGGAGGGTAAGTAAGTTGGCAGGGGAGATTAGCAAGTGTACATAGTACGCAGTTAACAAACAGCCCCCAGCGATGATTCAAAGGGACTCAAAGGCGACGGTTTGCAGAAATGGAAAGGAACGATGCTCACAAACAAACAAGACCTCGTGGACAGTGTCTCAGCAGATGGGAACTGAAGTTACCTTAGGCTGGGAACCCTCGAAGTGAGGTACGTACATAGCGTATCGTCCCGTCTCTTTCGGCGCATCAAACCACCTAAGGTAAGGTTAGGTACCTACTGCCTATGGAAGTACCTAGGCACCTTAGGTAAGGCAGGCACCGGTGAGGAACAGTTGGGATGAAGTGAGTGTGTGATCCAGGCATTTGCCACGTATGTCCAGCTGGTCGCCAGCTGGTGCAGCCGCCTCCCCAAAGAACGCGAAACATGTTTAGTCCCTTCACACACGGTGCAAACGCGCCAACATCCAACGTGCGTGCTGCAGCCAGGCGGGACAGCTTCAGCACTGACCATATGCCAGTCTCGTGACCTGTCATCCTCTCTCTCCCAAAATTGCCCGAGGATACCCCGCTATTGGTGCCTTTCCCGTATTGGCTTAGTGTCAATTTTGGGGGAAAGGAGCGTGGGCCGGGGAGTTGCTGCCCCCTGAATTGGGCGTGCAGGAGCAAGCAATCAATTGGCTGGGGGGGCACTTGGGGTCGTCCTGCTGCAACATTTTGTGTGAAATTGCATTTTCCAACACCCGTCGGTCAAGACCCTCCCGTCCCCTTTAGCACCTGCACCTCCTGTCCGACACCCAGGTCCCAATCCAGAACAACGACATTTGGGATCCAGCAGTCCTTTTGCTCCGTTCATCTACGACACAACACGACACTTGCTGTCCCTCGAAACGATATCGTCGCCATTCTTTTCTCGTCAAGTCGTTGAATTGTTCAACGACTCTTTGCATACCCTCGTCCAGATTAAGCGTTACATTCAACGACCGTCGTATGTTTGCCTACCTGTCTCAGTCTCTCTCTCCCTACTACACCATTCCGGCCCCCATTCAGCAATTCCTCTCCCGACTCCACGAAGCCACCATGGCTCCAATGCATCTACCTCCCTCAAGATACCCCGTTGCTGACCACAGCCGACACTACAGAAGATGATGCGCAGAAAGAAGAACGTGAAGAAGGGAATCCAGTTCTGCTTGATGGTCTGCGGAGCATCAGGCACTGGTACGTCTCCCCCTACCTGGACAATCTCGTGTTCGCTCGACGACGACCAACTTCCGTCGACTGACTTGTGATCTTACAGGAAGAACCACCTTCGTCAACACTCTCTGCGGAAAGAGTGTGCTCGGCCACAAGGAGGCAGACGACCCCAACAGCGCCTCTGTTGAGGACGGTGTCAAGATCAAGCCTATCACTGTCGGTGCGTGACTACCTTGTCAGGCCTTTCGATATCGCATCAGCAAACTAACAATTCCATAGAGTTGGAGTTGGATGAGGAGGGTACCCGCATCTCCCTGACCATTGTTGACACTCCCGGCTTTGGTGACCAGATTGACAATGAGGCCAGGTATGGCGCCACACGCGGGTGTTGTGATGGTATCGCGGTTGCTGACATGTACACAGCTTCTCCGAGATTGTCGGCTACCTCGAGAGACAATACGATGACATTCTTGCCGAAGAGTCTCGTATCAAGCGTAACCCTCGTTTCAGAGACAACCGTGTGCATGCTATGCTCTACTTCATCACACCCACCGGTCACGGGTAAGCCCGCCGCTTCTTGGCCGCTATTGACCGCCACTAACTCAGACAACAGTCTTCGCGAGTTGGATATCGAGCTCATGAAGCGCCTGGCTCCCCGTGTCAACGTTATTCCCGTTATTGGCCGTGCCGACTCCCTGACCCCCGCTGAGCTCGCCGAGTCGAAGAAGCTTGTGATGGAAGACATTGAGCACTACCGCATCCCCGTTTACAACTTCCCTTACGACATCGAGGAAGATGACGAGGACACTGTTGAAGAGAACGCCGAGTTGAGAGGTCTGATGCCGTTCGCGATCGTCGGTTCCGAGGAGATCGTTGAGATTGGTGGTCGCAGCGTCCGCGCCCGCCAGTACCCATGGGGTGTTGTCGAGGTTGACAACCCGCGCCACTCTGACTTTCTCGCCATCCGTTCCGCACTTCTTCACAGCCACCTGGCCGATCTGAAGGAGATCACCCATGACTTCCTCTACGAGAACTACCGTACCGAGAAGCTCAGCAAGTCTGTTGAGGGTGGTGCTGGAGTGTACGTTCCCCAAGTCCCCTTTCTTTCCGTGTTACTAAGCTGACCACGTCATAGCGACTCGTCCATGAACCCCGAGGACCTCGCCTCGCAATCTGTGCGCCTCAAGGAGGAACAGCTGCGGCGAGAGGAGGAGAAGCTCCGCGAGATCGAGATCAAGGTTCAGCGCGAGATCAACGAGAAGCGGCAGGAGCTCTTGGCCCGCGAATCCCAACTTCGCGAGATTGAGGCTCGCATGCAGAGGGAACAGTCTGCAGCAGCCGGCGGCCCCGCCGAGGCCAACGGCGACCACGAAGCCAACTAATTCAACAATTTTGGCCCCTGCTTATGGTTACCCCAAACTGCGACGTTGGTCTTTTTCTATACTGGCGTTGGTTTCCGTGCTGTGTTGAAAGAGAAAGAACAATATTCCCCTATGCGAGTTCGTTTCTCTTGACACGAAGATAAAAACCCCAAAAAGGTCTACTACGAATGCGACGACTGGAGAGAGGCTACCGGCTCGGCAGATGTATGGGAAGAAGCGGTGTACGTTCTCGGGGTGGAGGTACAAAGGCTTCTACTCTAGGTCGAGAGCGAGGGGATCATGGGGGAGATTGGGACCTGTGGGCCACAAGCTACTCGTCAATCTGTTTCCATCATCCCCATGACGTCGCCAACCCACATCTCTCCGGCCGTGCCTTTGCAGCCCTTTTACTAACGCCCTCATTTTCCTTTTCTATTAGTCGACTTCTAATGCTGATATCACATTACTTTACCGCTTCACCAAATTCAAGTTTTGTTTACCACGTGATGTCTAATCGATGCACTACCCATTCTGTGATTCAGACTGTATTATATCAATTTACTACAGAGGCATGTGAAGGAGAAGCATGCAAACACCATCCTGGCACCCGATTGCGCACCAAAAGGTATGGCACATCCTGGCTTGACAACGAAGGCTAAAGCAGCCCTATTTTCACTTGAAAGCAACAACCTATTTGAAGCCGAGACTGCGTGACCACGAATTCCAAAATACGCTACGAGAGCATCGGGGTATTGTTTGACGGCCCAGCTTAGTTGTTCTGCTGGCTGTTCAAGATGCGCAGAATCGCCAAGAACAGGTTGATAATGTCGAGGTACAAGCTAATGGCGGCGGCGATCTCCTCCTCGACGTGGTGGTGGCGCATAATGAGTTGTGTGTCAACGAGGATGTAGGCGCTGAAGATGAGAGCGGCAATGCCGCCGTAGACGAGCTCGCCGGCGGAGCTGTAGGGGAAGAACATGTACATGAAGCCAAAGAGGATGAGGCCCCAGAGGGCGCCACCGAGGTAAGGGATCCAGGAGGTGAAATCGTATTTTGTCTGGCAGGCAAAGGCGGTAAGGAAGATGAAGATGCCTGCGGTGAGAAAGACTGCGTTGAGGACGATGCCTGCCTTGTAGAAGGAGACGATGACGGAGATTGTGTAGGCTTCCATGAGGGTGAAGCCTGAGAGGAAGAGGAGGTTTGTCGGGTAGGACTTGCGTTTCCAGAAGGTGAGGAGCATCATGATGATGGAGCCGAAGAGCTAAGGGTTTGTCGGAGTTAGTTTGACGTCTTGAGATAGGGAAGGGCTTGTGAAGGGAACGGAGGGGTACGTACGGATGCGAAGACGAGGCCGGGGTGGGCCTGAATCCAGGTCTTGTAACCATCGCTAAAGAAGCTGAGGGCGGAGACGGCGCCGGTCGCGATGAGCTGGACGGTGAGGATGGCATAGACTTTGCGGATGAACTGGTTTCTGATGTCGGTCGTGGCCTCTGCTACTGAGCCGCCAAACTGTGTGGAGGATGTATGTGTCAGTGGAATCTGGTTCACGATGGGATTACGGGATATGCGGATGCGGCGGGTTTCCTGAGGAGAGCTTGGGGAGCTGGCTTACCTTGAAATCATCGGGGAGGTCGTCGTCTTGGCTGCTGCGAGGGGCGCCGCCGCCGAAGAGGCGATCGGTATCTGAGGCGGCGGTGGGTTCGGCCTGGTAGGCGGGGGGCGCCTGGGCGTAGCTCGATGCTTCATCGGGGTCCTGGGTCGGCGCCGGAGCGTACTTTGTCTTTGAGGCCATCGTTTACTTTGGGATATTGACGGTTACGTTTGGCTGCGAACTGTATAGAAGTTGTACTTGGTCGTCGAGGCAGCGCGGAGATCGAAAACTTGCACTGTAGGTTAATGACGAGGACTTTTGAACCTTTTTGCGTTGGTTGCCTGTAGGAAGGTTGAAGGAAGGTCCGGGAGGAGGGTCGTCGTCGTCAGGATGGAATCATGTGGGGAGTGCCTGATGCGAACGGTCACTGCATGCTTACACAGCTTTGTGTGGCTGACGGGTCTGGGGAAGAGCGTGGCGTTGGTGGAGTCATGTGATGGCAATGAGGCGTCGCAGAATCCTCGGGCGAGATCGTCGAGGTTCTATTCTTTTAAGAGCATTTAGTTCCTTCTCGGCTTACTTATGTATTTGACGGAGAGATATTTAATTAAGCAGAGTTGACGTGAAATCATGTCTTGTTCGGCATGTTCCCTGCACTTTGGACCGTGCTTGA